ACTTGGGGATGGGAGTAAGCAGTGACTGAGAAAATTTTCAATTTTTACTTTTTTTTTTTTTTTATCTTTGAATATTCTCCTCTTTTGAGTCCCCCAAGGTGAGAACATGATTGGCTTTATAATAAGCCACCTTGAATTTTTCTTAGAGAGTGATTGTGGTAGCTGTAGTTTTGGCGAAGAACTGTAAAAATCCTAGGTTTATGATGCATGGGAAGACACCTAGCCATCTGCACCTTTTCCTACAATTTCCTATGTTCTGGCTTTTCTCAGTTCATCATTTATTTCCTTTTCTGAATATTTGCCTTGACTGCGGGTATTCCACGTCTCTCTCTCTCTCTCTCTCGTTTCCAAACCCTCCTTACTTTTGCTTTCATGCCCACTACTAGTAATTTATCATTTTCCAGTCCGCTTTCTGCACCATTACCTTCCTTTCTTTATTTCTTATCTTCTTAGCATCTCAGGTGCAATCTTGGCATTATATTGCATGGCTTTTTCCACCCTTGAGTTCTTCTACAAGGGATTATTTTGTCCTAAAAACAGCAGGCAGGACCACTAGAAATAAAATGAATGTGTTAAGATTTCCACGTAGTTTTGATTACACATGTGAAAATCCACGGTGAGGCTAGAGTGCCGCAGTACAATATGCCAAAAAAGCCAATACATGTAACATTGGAATATAAATCCTTTTAAAGAACACTAGATCCACAATTTATACATTGCTGTGCATGTTTTCATGTAGAGAATACTTTTGTTGTAATTTTAATCTTGGCTAGTTTCATTGGGGTGGGTGGGTCAGGATTTACATGTTTGTATTTTGTTTAACGTCCGTCTCATGAAATCTTCACTCATATAGAGGCGCCACCATTTGTCGATTTTGTTTGTTTTGTTATGCCAGCTACCTCGTTTGGGGCATAGTACGCTGACAAGATTCCACCAGGCCCCTCTATCCAGACCAATGCATTCTACCTCTTACAATTCTTGCCCATTCTTTTGACATTTGCTTCCAAATCTCTCCGCAAGATGTTCTTTGGCCTACGTTTTCCTTGGGGGTTCCAGGATAGGGCTTGCCTTGTGATGTTATTGTGGACCTTGCGTAAAGTATGCCTTATACACATCCTTTTTCTCTGCATTAATTCTTCTTCTTTAGGGGCTTGGTTTGTTCCCCGCCACAAATTGATGTTACTGGTTTTGTTTGGCTATCTAATCTGGAGGATGCGTCTCAGACAAGAGTTGATAAATGTCTGGATCATGTCTGTTTTTGGTTACGGTCATCCTCCATGTCTCAGAACCATAGAAGAGTACAGTCTTAACATTGTTGTTAAAAAGCCTAACTTCGGTGCGTGTTGTAATTCCTTTGGTCTTCCAGATGTTTCCAAGTTGCAGGATTGCTACTGTGGTCTTTCCTATTCTTGCTCTTATGTCGGCTTCAGTTTCTCCTTGTTGGTCCACTATACTGCCAAAGTAGGTGAAATATTCTACTTCCTCTATTTCCTTTCATGCTAAGTCTCCCGCATTGCGCAGTGGTTAGTGCGTCTGATCTAGAGTCGCGAAGTAAGGAGTTGATCCTTACGTCATGGATTCAAATCCTACTGTGGGACATGGAGACCGTTCCTTTGGATTAGACCGTATAAACCGAGGTCCCGTGCCGCAGTAGGTGCTGGCACGAAAAAGATCCCTCCCTGCTCAATGGCCCTAAGTGCCGAGTATAGGACAAAAAAATTGCAGCTCTCCACCGGCAAGTATAGGCGTCTCAGTATGAGTGAAAATTCTCGAGAGGGACGTTAAACAACATACGATCAAAATCCTTTCGTGCTATGTTTAAGCATGTGATTGTGCTTAGGATCTTTGTTTTTGCAATATTGATATTAAGTCCTATCTGTGCTGATGTTTCTGCCACTGTTGTAATTTTCTTCTGCATTTTTGCCTGGGTATGTGATAGGAGTGCCAGGTCATCCACGAAGTCTTGATCATCTAACTGTGACCATGGTGACCACTGTAATCCATTTCTCCCTTTGTCTCTTGATGATTTCATTATCTAGTCAATTGCAAGAAGATACAGAAAGAATGACTATGAGAATAGTAATCCCTGACAACTCCTGTTTTTACTTCTAATAATTCCGATATTTGTCCTCCGTGTATGACCCTGCATATCAGGTGTTCATAAGAGTTGCGGATGATATTTACAAGTTTACAAGGAACTCCATAAGGCCCCAGAAGTTTCCATATTGTCTCCCAGTCAACACCGTTAAAGGCTTTCTCGTAATCTATGAAGACTACATAAAGGGAGGAGTTTCACTCAGTACATTGCTCGATGATAATGCGCAACGTTGCTATTTGATCCGTCCAAGATCTATTTTTACGAAATTTGGCTTGTTGATCATGTAGTTTATCATCCACTTCTTTTTTCATTCTTTTAGTATGACCCTATTAAATACCTTCCCTGGAACATCAAACAGTGCTATTCCTCTATAGTTGGCATAATTGCTGAGGTCTCTTTTTTTTTTAAGTTTGATGAGGTATCCTTCTTTCCATTCTTCTGGAATTGTTTCTACGTACCTCCCATATTTTCAGAAAAAGTGGGTGGAGTATGTCGGCTGAGTTGTGAAAATCAGCTTTAAGTGCCTCGGCCGGTATATTATCAGGCCCTCCTGACTTGCTATTCCTCATCTGTATTAAGGCTATTATTATTTCCACTTTAGTAGGTGGTCCCCAGTCTACGTCTAGATCTTCGATTGCTGGTGTAATATTAGGAGGGTTAGATGGAACTGACATTTGCCGAGATCTGCAAATTTTGTCCTATACTCGGCACTCAGGACTATTTTAAGAGAGAGGGAACTTTTGTGTCAGTTCCTACTGTGACAAGAAACCTCGTTTATGCGGTATCATCCGAAGGACCAGTCTCCACATCCAAAAGTTTGATTCGAACCCGCAACTTTAGGACATACTCCTTACTCCGGACTCTAGAGCAGATGCTCTTACCACTGCGCCACGCCGGCGATTAGGATTTCCCATTCTATTTACTTTTCGTGGAAAGCATGTTCTTTTTTATGTAACCGTTGTATCTCAACCATAGTGTTCGTGTCAAAGAGTGCGTGCCAAAATAACCGAGTTTGTTCAAAAATCTCTTTTTACTGATAAGAATCAGTGACAGTCTAACATTTTGGATCGACATCAGAACATTCTCCTGGTGACGTTGGTTTGCCACGATTAATTGATAACTATAGGCTAGGTCTTCTATGAAATCGTTTTCAGACGACGGCTACATTGACTGTTCCTAGTATCCCGGGTTTTAGGCGCATAATTGCAAGCACTTTACGTATTCGCTTAAGTGGATTTAAAATCAGTAGACGTCCTGCGATGCATCCAACATTGCTTCAACGTCATCGAACTGCAGGATTAGCATGGTGTCGGAAACATAAGAGTTACATATTTTCAAGATCGGACCAATGTTTTGTTCACTGATGAATCGAGATTTAATTTGCATATCTGTGACGGTCGCTGGAGGGTTAGTCGCGGGGATGGGGAGCCTTATTCGGATGCTTGCACTGTTGACTACACTTAATACACTTTTGGAGGGGTTGGAATTACGCAAGCCATAGGACACATCTTCAGATCATCAATGGAAACATAATTGACAGGGATTGGCTACAGCGACGAAAAAATCTATTCTCACGGAAACGAAAAATATCCTATTATCCTGCAACAGGATAATGCCAGACCGTACGTTGTTGTCAGAAACTTGATTGCCCATCAGAATATCGATGCAAACCTTTCCATGGTCATCACTTACACCTGACATATCACAAATACATTGGGATAAAATGGAAAGACGGTAACGTCGTTAATGAAGCCAGTAAGTGGTGTTGGAGATTTAGGCCAAGAATTAATCAATAGAACAATACTTTCTAAGCATTATTGAACAAAAGCATCATCAGTGAGAAGCCGATGTCACACATGCGTGAACGCAAATAGTGGTCATACGCGGTATCGTTTGAAAATCGCCTTTCAAGCACTGTGCAGTCTTTCTAACGTCCTACAATTCATTGTCGTTTTATGACGTATGAAAAATCCAAGTCAGCATTTCTTAAATTGTATAGTCGTTATAATGACCTTGAAAGCCAATTTAATCTTCCATTGGGTCGTTTTTGGTTGACATATTTTATACTATTTGGACGCCCGCGTGGCGCAGAGGTTAGAGCATCTGTTCTAGAGTCGCGAAGTAAGGATTTGATTCTAACGTCGCAGGTTCGAATCCCAATGTGGGACACGGAGACCGGTCCTTCGGATGATACCATATAAATCGAGTTCCCGTGTCGCAGTAGGTGCTGGCACGAAAAAGATCCCTCCCTGCTCAATGGCCCTCAGTGCCGAGTATAAGACAAAATATGCAGCTCTCCACTGGCAAGTGGTGGCGTCTCCATGTGAGTGAAAAATTCTCGAGAGGGAGTTAAAATACTAAATTTGACTATCTATTTGGTCAGTACATGGGGTTCATGGCGGGTGTGGCCAGTCAAAAGAATCCTCACTCCTCTTAAATATCTGGACTCACCTCTGGTGACTCCAGGGGTCTGCGCTAATGTCTTTGTCCACAGATTTGTTTTTTTTTTTATTTTCGATTGATGTTTATTTATATTCATCTTTTTTCATTTATTTGACAGTGCTCAATTTTTTGAAGTTCGATAGCAGCCGCCTTAGAGAACTTGGTAGAGTGACGTGCACTAATCTTTTTTTATAGTTAGAATTTCTGTGCGGGTAAAATAGATAATTCATCGGCTGATGCATATTTCATGTGTAAGTTTTTGAGATCCGTCTTATCTGTTGAATTAACTTGAGGGTGTTCCCACATTTATGCAGGCGGTTTTGATACCCAACAATTTTAAAGTGGCAGATTAAGAAACAGTTTAATACATGTAACGAAGTATAACATAAGGTGGATAGTTCAATCGTGTTTTTACATCGGGATCGATGTCCACACGCATTGTTTATAATTTACCTTTGTAATATTTACTTCCGATGTTGCAATCCTTATTGACGTGGAGGAAATGACAGTATTAAATATAGAAGCATTTAAACATGTAGAGATATACTGATATACTGGTCATTCATGTAAAACAAAATGGGAAATTTGGCTGGTATATTTTGCCGACGTGAAAAAGTGCGGATTTTGATGCTTGGTCTGGATGCTGCTGGAAAAACTAGCATTCTTTACTATTACCATCTTGGAGAAGTTGTCACAACTATTCCTACCATAGGATTTAATGTGGAGACAGTGAAATTTAAAAATCTTGACTTGACAGTATGGGATGTAGGCACTCGAGATAAAATTAGACCACTCTGGAGGCATTATTACCAGAACACCCAGGCTTTAGTGTTTGTCGTCGACAGTGTCGACAGTGACAGAATCTTAGAAGTGAAAGAAGAACTACATAGAATTTTGTCTGAAGATGAACTGAAAGATGTTCCTATTGCTCTGGCTTTGAATAAGAGAGATCTTCCCAATTGTATGACAAAAGAAGAGATAATGGAAAAATTAGAGATAAAGAAAATCCAGAAAGATAGACCTTGTGAAGCTTTTCTGACAACAATCAGACCCACAGACAAAGTGGAAACAGAGTTCGATAAATTAATGGAATGGATAACTAATAATACTGTCAAACGACGAAATGAGCTTTCATTAACAAATCCAAAAGTTGATCGGTTTTCTACCTACGTATGGCAACCAATAATGAAAATGAAAAGCATGATGTTTGAATGACAATATACATTTTTATTTCGGACACTACTTGTGATCACTTTGTCGGTTTGATGCAGAAAAAAATATGGGGTTGTACACAATATGATATGATCACTAACTTTGCTTTTAGGATGACTCGATAAATCATTCATAAAATATAAATCACAATACAATCTATTTATTTATTTTAATTTTATAAGCATTATTGTGATAATTCTTAAGGTAAAATGAGTTATTAGGAAACGTCATTTTCAAAGCATTATGCTATATTTAAGAAAATACCCTGCCTAAATTCCAACAGTAATGTAATTTTTGTTACTAACATATTTGTTATTTGAGGACCCCATTGGAAATAAGCTATTTAAAAGGCTTTTGTGGGTAATCATATGTTCAACTTAGATCTTTATTTAGTAGCATAGTGCTGAGATAACATGCGGGTTTTTATATACTGGACTAATCTGTATTTTTTAAAATGTGAATCATGACATTCTGTGATATTTTTTCACCTGAATAAAATAAAATGAAATGAAACACAATACAATCTATTTCGTAACATGATACAGAAATGTACTGTTTATATATAATTGGATTTGATTTTTATTTACCTCATAATGTCACCTGTACAGGACGTTAGAAAGACTCTGGTGCTTGAAAGGCGATTTACGAACAATACCACGGTCACTATTTGCGTTTACGCATGTTTGACACCGTCATCTCATTGAATGATGACGCCAAATTGTTAAAAGAAAAGAATGTCTTGGGTATGCTGTTCCAAATATTGGTCTTTTTCGCTTAAATCTCAAACACTGCTTCTGTAAACGACGTTACCGTCTTTCTATTTCATCCCAAATATATTGTCTATTGATTGATTGTATATTGTTTAACGTCCCTCTCGAAAAATTTTCACTCATATGGAGACGCCACCACTTGCCGGTGGAGAGCTGCAAATTTTGTCCTTTACCCGGCACTAAGGGCCATTGAGCTGGGAGGGATCTTTTTCGTGCCAGCACCTACTGCGACACGCGACCTCGGTTTATACGGTCTCATCCGAAGGGCAGGTCTCCACGTCCCACAGTGGTATTCGAACCTGCGACGTAAGGATTAACTCCTTACTTCGCGACTCTAAAGCAGACGATCTAACCACTGCGCCACGCGGGCGATTGTCTATTGAGAAGTCGGGTGATACTGTGTTGGCCAGTGCCAGACATCGATATTCTGTGGGCAACAAAATCTCTGACATTAACATGCGGTCTTCAGCAGGCAGTATCCGGTTGCAGGGACTTAACCGGGATTAAACGGCCGATGAAATCAAAATCTATCTGTTTTACCTCAGAATTTTTATAAAAACTACGCTTTAGTGCATTTTACTCTAGCTGTCTTCAAATTCGTTAAGGCGACTTCTTCAAAACTTCAAAATATTGAGCACATAGGTCACATACACAATCAATGAGAAAAGGTGAAGATAAAGAACAAGACCAATCTAAAATCGACAAACAATACATATATCCGTGAACTTGTCATAAATCCAGGCCCCGGAAACTGTAGAGGTGGGATTAGGTGTGTAGGGGGAGTGAGGATCATAAACCCAGGCCCCCGGAAACTGTAGAGGTGGGATTAGGTGTGTAGGGGGAGTGAGGATCATAAACCCAGGCCCCCGGAAACTGTAGAGGTGGGATTAGGTGTGTAGGAGGAGTGAGGTTCCCCTTTGACTTGAAAAAAGCATTTGTAACATGTAAAAAATAACTAGTTAAAATCACTACGAAAATTAGTAAATTCAATGTCCATAAATTCACTAACTTAAAATAGTTTTACTAGGTATTGGGTATATTTACTAGATACTATTAGTAAATCTAGAATTGATAAGTAACTTTCACTATGTATCTAAGTATCTATACGACTCCCGCTCCACAACTTACAATCTTAGCCGGTAAACAGAAAGATTACTAATCACGACCAACGTTTTACGAGGCACACTAGTTAAATTCACTAGGTTTTTCTTTCAGTGTTAATGTGTAATTTACCTAAGTTTGATGCAGTGAATTAAAGTATAATTATTGAAAAAAATTTGAAGTGAACAGAGAGAAAAAAATTATTCATTTTTACTGTACATTTATCAAATATATACTTTGTAGTTTGTACAAGTATTTGAAGTACATATCAACACCATTAATTTTGTGAATGTTTGTCACCCGCACTTTTTGATGAAAGGTTGGGTATATTGCTTTATTTCACATAATATTTAACTATTGTTTCTATTATTGAAAAATATCTTAGTATATTCGATATAAGCTAGATGAAATGTTTATACTTTCACGCTGTATTAATGTTTTTTCAGCATCCAAAAACCATGTTGCTGCCTTTTGTGTTTAGAAGATCATGATTAAAACTACACACAAAAATTGTTAGAGCCCTGTAATTTATCCGAGAATTATCCTCAATACTTTTTCTCCAAGCGTCTGAATATCTGATATCTACACAAATTAATTAAATAGTAGAGTTTTGAATTTCGTTAGAGCGCGTTCCACGAAGTCTAGAGAGTGAGCCTCATTAGACTGAGTCTGTTTGACGGAGTCCTGCCTTTCTCTGACGACCTCATAGACCCAGTATAACATTCGCTTAAGTTCCATTCCATCATCACAAATCACTGACGTCGCGAATGCTTCACAAGGTCTACTTTTCCTGATTCCTGACACTCCAAATGCATCTTGCATCTTTGAGATTGTCATGTGCTTATGTTTATCCCATTTGTGAAAGGCAATGGCTAGTGGCATATTCTGCAACTCGGTCTCAGACAAATGTCTCATTAATTCCTCTTTAGCTCTTTCAAGTTCATCTTCATCACTACTATCCACAACAAAAATCAAGGCGTCATTATTTGAATAATAATGTCTGTACAAGGGACGAATTTTATCTCGACCCCCTACATCCCACCCAGTCAAAATTAACCGCTTGTTTATCAAAGTTTCGACAGTAAAGCCAATCATAGGTGTTGTTGTTACAACTTCTCCAAGTTTTGAGTAGTGTAGAATGCTGGTTTTCCCTGAGTCGTACAATCCCAATACCAAAATCCTCACAGGTTGTCTCTTGGCTGACGAATTCCCCATACTGTCCCTAAATTATTATTAAGGTGTATCCATTTAATAAAATATTATCAAGCATGTATTAGTTCCACGTCATATGTTACATGTTGTCAATGTAAATAATTTAAATACAAACATCGAGCCCGACCTGAATTTTGTTTGGCCAAAGACGACTGTCCCTTATTAAATTCTTTGGTTTGACCACAGTTACTCATACACACGTTGAACGTTTCTTTTCAATTGCAATGACTTCCTTTAAAGAATGCGAGGAATTAAGTTGATCAGCATAATAAAGAGAATGAGCTAATCACTAATTTCAGCGCCCTTACCATGGAATAGTACACATGTAAATATATGCATACTTACGGATGTAGATTTACTTAAGTTAACTTATTGGAAAATAGGAAGAAGATGACTAACGTATAAGAAAAATTTGTCATTCAGTAAAACTACCACTAGAAACATCACGAAGATGTAAATAGTAACCCTTTTGCGGCGAACATAATTACAAGTATATTTTTCATTTTGATAAACAAATTGTTAAGTTCGATAAAATATAGTTAGTGTTTTTTTCATATTCAAATGTTTTCGCAAAAGCTTAAACTGTTCAGAAATACGCATTTTGATGTATTTTGCAGTTTGGTGAGTAGTACTGAGTACAATCAATCTAAATACAAAGCTATATAAAATCAAAACAGCTGATAAATTGAAATATCGTCATTTTTAATTGGTAATTCTTAATGCTGTAAAGAATGCATTACTAGTAATTACTTCTCAAACATATCATTAAAAGAAAGCAGTTGAATCAAAGATGAGCGATTATTTCAAAATAATGACTTTATCCAGTCATCGGTATTAGTAAAGTCAGTATCCAAATTGCAGATAACCTAATTAGTATTCGCATCAAGGCAACAAAATGATCTCATGTAACAATTTTGAATAATGAACTTAGATTAGTAAATGTTTTACTTTTATAAAAAAAAAAAATTATAATTGAACAATAAACTCTGAAAATGAAATTTTGCTGTATTTTAAATTATTTATTCTGTTCTACAATTTAATTTGAATCTACAGAGGGTTTAGATCTATTCATTCTGGATGTGAGATAAAAAGCCATGTATGGAATTAAACGAAAAGTTAGACAATTTAATTTACCAGAAGATTGCCAGCTTGATTTGTTCTTCCAGTACAAACTTCCTAGTGAATATTGTTACAGACCAAATTTTTTCAAACTCTCAGAATTGTTGTCAAAAGTGTATAGACTTATATAATATCTTCATTCAAACATCATATTTCTTAATGTCATGATTGGTTGCCATACGTAGGTAGAAAATCGATCCACTTTTGGATTTATTAATGCAAGTTCATTTCGTCGTTTGGTTGCTTCATTGACAATCCATTCCATTAATTTATCGAACTCCGTTTCTACTTTGTCTGTAGGTCTGATTGTCGTCAGAAAAGTTTCACATGGCCTGTCTTTCTGGATTTTCTGTATCTCTAATTTCATCATTATCTCTTCTTTTGTCAAACATTTGGGAAGATCTCTCTTGTTCAAAGCAAAAGCAATAGGAACACCTTTTAGATCATCTTCAGACAAAATTCTATGTAGTTCTTCTTTCACTTCTGGAATTCTGTCTCTGTCGACACTGTCCACGACAAACACCACGGCCTGAGTGTTCGGGAGATAATGCCTCAAGAGTACCCTCATTTTATCACGAGTGCTTACATCCCATACTGTCAAGTCAAAACTCTTAAACTTCACTGTCTCTACATTCATTCCCATGGTAGGAATGGTGGTGACAACTTCTCCGAGATGGTAATAGTAAAGAATACTAGTTTTCCCGGCAGCATCCAAACCAAACATAAAAATCCGAATTTGTTCACGTCGGCAAAATATACCAGCCAAATTTCCCATTTCGTATCACATAAATGACCAGTAATTTACATGCTTATATGATTCTTTATTTAATATAGTAATTTCCTCCACGTCAATAAAGATTGCCAAATGTTTTATGTAACCATTGTCAATATAAACAATATCAGGTGAACATCGATCCCGATTTAAAATAGAATGCACCACCCACCAATGTATGCCACTTTGGTAGGATGTTGTTGAGTTACAAAAGCACTTGCGTCAATGCGGAAAAATCCTTAAGTTTATTTAAACAGATAAGACGGGTCTCAACGGACTTGTACAGATAAAATGTGCAGCGGCCGATAAAAGTGGAATTAAAATTTATCTGCTATACCGCAAAATTTTGATCTAAAAATAAACAGGTATATAGTGCATGGCACTCCAGATGTCTATCAAGGTCGCTGGGGCGCCTGCTTCAGCAGTTCAAAATATTGAGCACACGAGTCACACACACTATAAATCTAAAGAGGTTGTAGTAACGTTCATTTGTCATTCATAAATAGCTGGCATTGTCGCGCAGCTGACACAGATAGAAGTCCACAACAAGGTGAACCATGGCGGGAGATCGACTGTACAGTTTTCAGACCGGACAGAAAAATGAATTCCAGATTGTGGATTATATTCTCTTTGCAGGATTATTGTTTTGTTCTGCAGGAATTGGATTATTTTATGCCATCAAAGACCGTCAGAAATCTAACACCAAGGACTTTTTACTGGCTGGAGGGGACATGAACCCAATTCCAGTGGCCCTGTCCCTCCTGGCTAGCTTCATGTCCGCTATCACTCTACTGGGGACACCTGCTGAAATGTACAACTACACCACGATTTACTGGTGGATAGGTCTGGGCTATTTTTTCGTTATTCTTGGAGGAGCCCATGTTTATATGCCTGTATTTTACAGACTTCGCGTAACCAGTTCATACGAGGTAAAATCTGAGCGTGCATATTTTACAGGTACAGCAAATCATACATGAAATAGAGCTAGCTCTCTTGTATAATAAAATATATTATAAGAATATTCCACCATCTGTAAAGAAAAGCAATCGAAGATGTACAACCATCTTAAATCTCATGTACAACCCATTTAAAAGCCAATTATTCTGGAAATCACACAATTTTGGGAACAGATATTTAATGGTTATCATTTTCAAACTATAATTTCAGTATTTGGAACATCGATTCGGGAAGGTTTCTAGGACGATTGGTGCCATTATATATGTAACTCAAATGGTAAGTTGTTTACAAATGAAAGCCTTCATCCACAAAACACAGTTTGCATTGCCACAGCTGCTGTTCAATTTTTAGGTCAAGTTACACAGCGACCAAACAGTTCAAATGCATTCAATCACGCTAATAAAGAATTCTGCTCCTGAGCTATAGGCTTGAACAGAGAGTGCTCGAAATGAACGCACGCTGTTTACAAAAGAAAAAAAGGATATATTAAGTAGATTTAGGTCACAGATTACAGATCTGAAATGAAGTCACGTTTTGGATTGTAATCTCTGCTAATATATTCATGGACGTTTCAAGGAATCTGATATTCTTGGGTGAAAGTGTATTTAAGATCTCAAAGAAATGGTCCAAACTGTGATATTTTGAATTTTTGATGCGATTTGATTTTTAACGCTATGAAACAGAGGCCTGTTCAGCAGAGCGAACGTTCGCAAGCGCTCGCCAAAATTCCTTATACCTCCAATAGTAATTTTGGTGAGCGCTCCGGCAGTTCTCTCTGCTGAACAGGCCTCAGCTGGCGTCTCCATATAACTGAAAAATTCTTGAGAGGGACGTTAAACAAGATACTGACAAATAACGATATCAAACTCTGTCAACAAATTTAGTTTACTCTTTCTTAATATATAGAAAAAGAGAAGGCTTAATATGTATCTCACTCTCACGTTTTGATGGGTTTTTTTTTTTTTGGGGGGGGGGGGGGGTATTGACAAAGTTTTATAATCCAGGAAGACATATGTTCAGTATACTAATCTTTTTGTATTGGTCAGATCATCATTAATTTTAAGCTAACCAAAACACTCACAGTAACTACTATGCAATTAACGACAGCTACTTGATGGCGGAAGCAGTTGTAAACAACCGTCCCTTTTTGTTTGATTTAACTTTTCGGAAATGGCAAACCTAATGAGCATGGAGTGAGATGTTAAGGGTCGAAGAGTTCAATGTACGAAATGTTTATATGGTCGTGGAACATCACATCATCGGAGTCGACATCTTTCTCATAAAGAAGATTGCGCTATTCATTCTTTAAAATGTGGTTAAAAACTAGTACATGTACATAATTTATGTTAATAGTATAATTGTATTAGGTCCTTATTATAATAAATTAATACGAATGGAGAATTTTACAATCTGACAGTAAGAAAGGTATATATTTACTATATTTACTTTATGTACAATATTCCTCAAGGAACGCGTTACTGATGTATTTTTTTTCTTCTTCAGACACTGTACATGTCCATTGTGCTTTATGCCCCATCTTTAGCCCTGAATGCAGGTCAGTTTTGGTGAAATTTAAAAAGTTTAACTCGTTTGATGTAAACTGTGTTTTTTTTATCATAATAACTTTGACATTTAGAATGTACATCGTTTTGTACTTATTTTCCAGTGACTGGTTTTACATTATGGGGTTCTATATGGGCAGTAGGCTTAGTCTGTATATTCTACACAACTATAGTAAGTATATTAAAACGATGCTTTAATATATTCAACTAAAACGTTACTTATGGATCTTTTTCTTGCCATTTTATGAAATCATTTGAATATAATTTATTCGGTCTGGATTGACAATATCGATAAAGCTACATATTTTTGTTTACTTCATTTATCAATAAGGTGTCATAATCTGAACATTTCAATATCAAAACACGGGTGACCAGGAAACTGAAAAGGGGGTGGGGGGGGGGTAAAAACAAAACCATTCCACAAGTATAAAACCTTTTTTACAGAAGGTATTACAATGGGTAAAATATTTTCAACAGGCAATCCTAGCAAGAATTCTGAACTGTAATTTAAGGGCATGGGTAGTGAATGATAAAATATTAACCGAAAGGAGGGAAAGGGGCGAGGTTTCATGATAGTTACACGTATTTTTAATGATATTTGTGATGCAGTCCATACCATTTATCCTATAAAAAAAATTACTATTTCAATATACATATAAAATAATAACAGGTGGCCATTTTATTTTAAGAACACAAATACGTCATATTACAAAAAAAAAAAAAAAATCGTGAGATATTTTTACAAAAAATGTTAATTATCCGTTGTATGGATAAAATCACAAATAAGTCATAAAAAGCTGACGGGGTGAAAAGTGTCGGGGTCAATATTGTAAAAAAAAAAAAAAGCGGTGACCAGTCCTCAAACGATGTTACCAAATCGTCCGTTTTCAATGCTATCGGTATTTACATGGTCTTAAAGAGGAAGGCGGTGGGGTTTACTTCCTCCTCTACAAAATCTTGTCAAGTCTATGAATTCAATAAAATCATGCTATGATTAATAAATAGTGAATGAAAACTGACACGAATCTCTGTATATGGGTTGACAGGGCGGGATGAAGGCCGTGCTATGGACCGATACCTTCCAGGTCGGTATGATGATGGCAGGACTACTAGCGGTGCTAATTCAGGGCAGTATAGAGGTGGGGGGATTCGCTAAGGCCTGGGAACGCTCCGTGGTATCTGGCCGCATCAACTTTGTGGAGTAAGATTTTCAATGTCATTTTAAGTCTATGAAAACTATCAAACGAATTATTCATAAAATATCAGAGTCAGGAATGTATGATTTACTGTTTCAGTTTTGACCCCGACCCTGCGATCCGCCACAGTTTTTGGACCTGTGTTGTTGGGGGTTGCTTCACGTGGCTTTCCGTGTATGGCGCCAATCAAGCTCAAATTCAGCGCGCAGTCACGTGTTCAACTTTAAAGAAAGCACAAATGTATGAGTTAAACCATACATGTAGACCTCGCATTTTTTAACATTTGAACAATAAAATGATTTCTTTGGCTATAAGTAGTTGAATTAAAATTACAGTTGTTCCTAAAAAAAAAAGCCTAACCAGCGTGAATGGGTTATTCATTTTTTTTCCTGCAATAGCTGCAACAATAACAAAGAAAGAAGAACATTTTATTGTTTAAATTTATATCTATTCGAAAAATCATTTAAAGTAGGATTAAGTAGATTCAATATTTTTTAATTGATATATATATATACGTCATTGTACATTTTTTTGATTTTCTTAAGAAAATAAGGAAAATTTATTCAGTGGATGCAATGCATTAGCAGCAAAAAAAATGTAAATACGCATAGTTAATAGGTATTCCTTTTCGGTAGAGCTTACTGGTTGAATTGGCCCGGACTGTGCATCATTTTGTACATTTGTGCTATGATTGGTACAGTGATATACGCCTTCTATGAGACATGTGACCCCAAGACCTACGGGTTAATCTCGGCTTCTGACCAGGCAAGTATCTCAGAAGATCAGATGATGCTACTTTGTGCCTGAAACATTTGCTTTATTTTTTACTTATTTACTTATCAATTAAGCCAATTTTCCGTAGCTTTATTTCTTTTAGCTTTTTTTCAAGTGATAGGCATTTGTTTTATAATATATTTGACTACTTAGTATTTCGTCTTTTTGAACCAGACTTGGGATTGGGTGCATTACATTACAGCTATATTTCCACAACCGCTACAAAAAAGTTTTCATTACCACTACATTGTATCTTATTACAGCATAGGCATGGACTGCTTTCGTTGATCAGTGCCTAATGCAGAAACAGATTTACATGTACAAGTAAATAGGCGCGGATCCAAGAATCTTGATTGCAAAATAAGAAATGACACATTTGCTCATACCTACCTAAGCGGTGTAGTGAAAATTACTTTTTTTTGCTTCAGCTTTGATAATTTTAATTGGCTGGGTTATGGATTTATCTAAGGATTTTGGCGGTACATACATGTGTGTTATCTTAAACTCATTGCCGCAAATTCGCTATATCAGCGTTCGTTATATTCGAGTTTTGCTGTATTCGAATCTTGTTCTAAGTTAGGGAGCGTAGTTACTGTGTCGTGTTGTAAATATACAAGAGATTAGAGTCTGTTTAATTTGTTTCTAACATTTTAATTTCCTGATATTTGGCTCAATCCAATAAGCACAAGGACTATAACTAATTTGATAGATTTTTGTTCTACAGTTACTTCCGCTGTTTGTGATGGATGTCCTCGGACATGTCCCAGGGATCCCCGGTCTATTCGTGTCCTGTCTATTTTCTGGTGCTCTAAGGTATTCACTGATAACTGGTGATCAGCGTTTTGAAAGGGGAGATGTAATCAAAAACTACTCTAAATTAAAAAATTTAATAAATTTTCGAAAGGGGGATGTAATCAAACGCTACCTTTAATTAAATACTGTAGTTTAATAAATCTCCGCAAAGACCGCACGTATATAGATGGAGTTCGCCCCTATTATTTAAAAACTCAGTAAATATTGAAAAAAAAAAAATAATTCTACAATGGAATAAGATTTTTGAGGAATATATATATTTTTTTAATTACATGTATTTGATTTATTTTTTCCTCCTGTAATATATTTTGGTATGGTGCCCCCTCCCTACCCTCTCCAAAAGTTATTTGCTTTTTAACTCTTACAACTCGATTTAGTCCTGCCCTTTTGTCCACCGCTTTCGCAAAAGTGAGGGGATTTTGATTAATTAAATCTCATTTGTCTGTCTGTCCATCAAAAACTTTAACCTTGTCATAACTTTTGAATAAGAAGGGATAAGACTTTCATATTTCACATTACTTGTACATTACTTGTGACAAGACCTTTCCAAATATGCTATGATTTTATTATTCCATGACCTTGATCTTAATGATTGATGTACTTTTTAAAAATTTTCACATTAATTGAAATAGATCATACTTTTGAAAGACAAATGATAAGACTTATGTATATTACCTGTGACAAAACCTTTCTAAATATATATGTCTGTGACATTTGACCCTGTTACCTTGACCTTGAAGTTCGACCTACTTTTCAAAAAAATTATTTTTCATCATAACTTTTGATTAAGAAGAGATAGGGCTTTCATTTTTGACATCTGCATTATCTGTGACAGATTTCTCCAAGTATGCAATGACTTTTTTTACCTCTTGACCTTGGCATTCATATTTGACCTAATTTTCCAAAAAAAAAAAAAAAAACTTTGCTGATTACTTTTGAATGACACAAATTATGATAGAGCGTTCATATTTGAATTTTTTTTTTTTTGAAGTAATATTCCATAAATAATGGTATTTCACCCATTAAGATAATAAAGCTGGGAACCACAATATTTGAATTTGCTTGTCATAAACAGCTTTAAAGGTGGTAGGATTATACCATGTGTTTATTACATGTATGTATACACTTTTACACTACAGTATTGAGTAATGGGTTTATTTGAAGTGCATAAATTGTGAGTAGGAAAATTTTGAAATATTATCTAACAAAGAAATATTAGATGAAGATTTTTTTCTCTGAATTTATGGTGATTAAAATTAAAATATTTGCTTGATATTTGTTTATAAAGATTCTGTGCTTACCTGCTAAACCTGTCACTGATTAAGATGTTGTAACTTCATTTTCCAGTACTTTGTCCTCTGGACTCAACTCTATAGCAGCAGTTCTTCTAGAAGATGTCCTCCGAGTTTTCTGTGTCAAACGAATCAATTCCGAAGTTATCGCCACCTATGCATCAAAGATTATAGGTAACATTTTGTTCTGCATTTGATAACGTTCTGTACAATTGAAGAAATGCTGTTGACATATTTATTGAGAGCACTGACCTGTTTTATCTGCCCGTGTTCTTTTCAGCCCTCATCTTTGGCTTCATCTGTCTAGGATTAACCTACGTAGCATCTCTGTTGGGAGGAGTTCTCCAGGCAAGAAAACTGCATCTTTTGTAAATGTCTCTGAATTTTACGGCATAAAAGCATTTTTATGACTTAAATTCATTTTGTTTCAGTATACAATTATACAAATAAACACTTGATTATAAAGAAAATGGCTTATGACTCAACAATAGCAAAAAATCCTTCAGTGACAGGAATGATTTTCTGGTAAATACAGTAGCATAAATTGTTTTTATTCTAGGCTGCTTTGGCACTGTTTGGAGTCATAGGAGGGCCATTGCTGGGTGTTTTTACACTTGGAATGCTCTTTCCATGGGCAAATGAAAAGGTATTATGGTACAATAGCTTTGGTTCATTGTTTGACAAAAACCCTAAACATGTATATTTCTTATACTTTTGAAATGAAGAAGACAAAACTTCATACATTCTCATATAATGTATCTGCTGTCCATATTAATGTCTAACATCAAATAATTTACCCCAGTACTACTCATTTTTGTTATAAATAAATACATGTGCATGCATTAACAATCTCAACATTTTGAGGGTGGGAGGCATGAATTGTTAAGTCTCTTCATGTCAGGAATTCAATAAAATTAAACCCAGTTGAATACTAGTGATTTTCAGTATATCTTTTATGTAAATGATTCAGGGTGCAGTGACTGGTATGTTGACAAGCCTTGTCTTCATGCTGTGGATAAGTGTAGGGTACCAGATCCACAAACCCAAGGTAGCCACCTTCTCTCCCATCTCTGTGGAGGGCTGCAACTGGAATCTGACCACAAAAGTTCCCCCGACAACCCACAGTTCCCTGTACCTTAACACCACCACACAGAGCTCATTGTTTGTCTCTACAGTCAATGCCACCCTCACAACCACTGCAGACATGGTAAAGGAAGATTCATAGTAAGTACATGATGGGGGATTCCTGGATTTATAAACAGGAAAATTATTTCCTAGTCATAAAGTCTCAAGTTCTTCCTTCAGTCACTGACATGATTAACAAATGCTAACAGTCCACTACATGAAGCATTTAATTACCCAATACAAACCTACATTTAAACAAAATTAACAATGTAGTAATTAGATTCCATCGCTAGATTATGGTATCTGAATACTGTAAATCACTTTTTATTCGCGAGAACTTTATTTTCGCGTAATTACGCAAGACAGTGTGCTCGCGAAAATTTAATTCTCGCGTATAATAGTATTTCTTAAGATTATATAGAGCAATGACCACAATTCGTGAAAATTTTGTCTCGCTTATCAAGAGTCAATGACTATCTCGCGAAAATAAGGTGTCGCTAAAATTTAGTGATGTACAGTATCTCAAATCATTTGATTTCTTCCTTTTTTTCTTGGTCCCGTCTAGTTTGAGATAAGAAGGTTTGACTGTATACTTAACATTTAGAAATGTAATGTTTACTTAGAGTGATATATATACTTATTTTTTTTTCAGTTATGTTATGGACAGATTCTATTCCTTATCTTACCTCTGGTACAGTGCAACAGCCATGATAGTGGTTATAGCAGTCGGAATGCTAGTCAGTGCAATCACAGGTAAAAAAGGAACAACAGAAAACATACTTACATATAAATTGAGAAAAAAAAACACTGCAAGACATTAATAATAGTATGACAATATCACATGCATTGCTACATTGTATATACTACAAGCATTTATCCACCCAGAGTAAAGATTCCTCAGTGATCTCGAGAATTTCTATTTTTGGCTTGTTGATAACATACCAGTGATGATATTTCTAGGGTTTGAGAAGCCAAGCGAGATGGACCCTAAGCTTTTCTGTCCAATATTTGATGTCTTCTGTCCATTCTTACCTGAGAAAATCAGGAAACCTCTAAGATTTGGAGTACGATATGATGAGGTACATCTCTTAGTTTCATCCTACAAGTAGGCATAAAAAGTATATAAAAGCCATACCACTATACCATCTCAATCTCTGAAAAAAGTATTTACTCAAAAGTGTTCATGCATTACATTTATCCAAACCATAGAAATGTTCAAACAAACCTTGTAACATGATATCACATAAAATCACATAAAACTGAAATGTTTTCTCCCAGATGAAGCAGTGTGGAGACTTAGAATTAGAGCTACAGGACGGTATAGAGGAGAAGGAGGAGGCATCGCCATTACAGCAGAAGGTCGTAGCAGAGGTCAACGGAGACAATGCTAGCAAGGCCATGTTGTGATGACGGTCTGGAGCTAGCCTGTCCTCATCCATTGTAACAGCCATTGTGACCAAACTAGAACAAAAACTATAGCATATATGTATCGTAGATCTTGTGTTCATCACTGATATTTTTTTTCTTCATTTTTTTTTTATCATAAACATCCATTGAATCATACTGCATTTATAAATTAATGCATACAATTGTTTAAATACTGCACATTTTTATCTATACACGTAGGTTGTCTGATGCAGGATTCATTGTATCATACTATGACATTGTACAAATTACAGTAAAACACACTTATAGTGAACAAACTTTGAATGAAATGACTTTTTCAACGCAGTGATTTTCCTTCCCCAAAGCTTTAATTCAGTGGATATATATACAAATATTTAATGGTGCATATGCAATTACAATACATAATATGGAATTATGTTTGCATTGAAGCAAAAATAACCATCCCTGGCACTTTGTTATAAAGTGTGTTTTACTGTATAAAGAAACATTAAAACATAAACAATCACATTGTATTATCAAGAAATACTCACGGATAATTTTTACTCAGTACCTTATGTGCCTGCCCTATCCTCCGTTTTCCCCTAAATCTTTGATCTGTATGTAAATGTTTTGTAAAATAACATTTCAAACATGAATTTATTACATTTATCAGACAATCAATTTCAATAAAATATAAAACTGTAGAGAAGTTCAGAATGGTTTGATTTTAAGTTGGTTTTTTTTTTGTTCGATTGTTTGGAACTTTTGGATTATCTGGCCCTGATGGACGTGAGCTTAGCTATCACCCAGCATCTGTTGTCAGCATGTTCTTTGTTAAAAATCTTTTCATTCAGAAATTGTTTTTAATAATCAGAAAAGGAAAATCAAGTTACTTAGAAAATCCTCCATTTACCAATAAAAAAAATGGCATACCTGAGACTGGATTTGAATTTCCTCCTATGTATATATCACTAGAATGTTAGCTCCATTCATATGCAGCCTTTTCTTAGAAAATGTAATTTTTATAACTGGTTGGGGAAAATGTAATTTTGATATGTTGACTAAACACTTATTTTCCACATACATTTACAGGTAGAAAAAATGCACACATAAAGGTTTATCAATTTTAATGAATAACAATTTATAGATATATCTGACATAAATTTTTTAAGATTGTATTCAAAAATAAAAAAAATCACAAAACCCAATTTCCCAAAATATATTATAATCACATTACTAGTATGTTTGTTCATAATTTTCAAAATATGAGATTCGTAACATATTTCATATTTCTCAATTAAAAAAAATGCTTCAAAACAATATCTCTTTCCTCACAAGTTGCATATAAAAATCTACTGAAATGAAATAAATGACATGAGTATAAATGAAATGCACATGATTGAAACAAGTTATCTCCTTTGAATCATAAACCATCTGTGTCGTCACATTAATCCAAAAGAGAATTTTCCCTTACAAAGATTGTTTCAACTTTCTCTCTGACGTATAAATTTTCTAAATTCACAAAATATTGTACATTGAGGGATTGTCAATTTGCTGGAATAACACAGTTTATTCATCTGTACTTCTAAGCTTGTGGTCCATTTTTCCTGTTTCACCATCTGATAACTCTCTCAGTAACTAGAGCAGTCTGATTTTTGAGGTCTGCTGCCAAACTTTGACTACATGTAGATCCTTTATCATCAGATTCCATGTTCTGCTTTAATGCCTTGTTGTTGCCATACTTGTATATCCTTTAACATCAGAGTTCTATGTGCTGCTTTAAGGCTTTGTTAATACGATACTTCAGATCTGTGTGATATTTCTCAACCTGTATTCAACAAAAACAGAATCTGTCTGATAGGAATTTTTTTCCTGTATTTTTTATTCATTCAGTTTTCAAGTTAATTTACTTAAACATGAATTCCATGCTTTATTCAGCCATAAAAATAAGTTTGCTCTAGAAAGACAGCTACATGTATATATACTAAACATTCCATGAAATTCAAAATTAGCTGAAATGAAAATCTTCTTTCCCTAACTGACAAGGAGGTTCATTTAGTACAATAAACACACACCTTCCTTCCATAATCCCGGGCCATCTGTTCCAGCTTGGCATGCTTCTCGGGGACCTCTTCATTTTTGTGATTGATTTTTATGGCCTCGTCAGAAATTCTTAACTGATCTTGGTAGTACTCATGCTTTTGAAGCCTGTGTTCAAAATGCTGAAGTTCTGTCTAAAAATTAAAAGAAAATCAAGATAAAATATCTTATGCACTCATATGCACATATTTAAACTCATCTGAAATTATGTGTTGCATTAATTATGAACAGGTGGTCACCTGAATGAACCAAATTAGAATTTTTTCAATGTGGAATATGAAATAAGGATTAAACCTTGATGGATTCTAGTTCACTTGGTGACATTTTAGCTCTCTGGGCGAGTGCCCACAGCTCGTAAACTCTCGGATCCTGGAACGATTTGTCCGGATCATTGACGCCAGCGGCCATCGACTCTAGCTTGTCGTAATCTGTCTTCAGATCCCTGAACATTGTTTTTAACTCCAGTTTCCTGGTTTTCTTCACCCGATTTTGTTCTACATCAATCAAATTATCCTCAAAATCTAAAAAAATTGAAAAAGACCGACATATACATGCAATAGGCAAAAAAAGAATTATTGTCACAGAATCTTGTCTTCAATAATTAAATGTTACTTTAAACAGGGTATGATTCAATCATGAACTTGCAAATTAAACACAGATGAACTATGGTATCTTGAGTACTGATATCTCAAATACCATGGATATGTTACACTGAATTGGAAGTCTCAACTACTTATTCTTTTGGTACTTTACCCTTGAAATCTCGAATATTTGGACATCTTCAAGATTTTTCTTCGTCCCACCTACTTCAGGATAATTTGTCTTTGACTGTATAGTCACACCTTGTTCTCTTGAACTTGATTGGGCAAAAACTAATAGATACATGTACAAATATTTGAGACATTGTAGGTAAAATACATAAAGGGAAAAGTGGTTTAGACATCCAACTCATTTCAGCATATACATGGTATTCAGCCCATGAGTGTTCAAAATACCACTGAAGGTTAAACTGCATTGAGCATTTTTAATTGTTTTGTACAATGAATTATCAAATAACATTTTAACAAGATCTGCAACTTGGAAAATAAGATAACATAAAACATTTTAATACCAGCAATGGGGTCAAAATTTTCCTGTAGAGAGTTATATTCATCCACCTTCATCTGATGGTGTAAAAATTCCTCTTTTAGTTTCTCCATTTCTGATTCTGAAACGTACACAAATATACAATATAAACTGAAAAGTATGTAACATGGAAACAAAATTTTTAACCTATAAACAATTGACAACAAAAGAAGGTACTGAAAAATTCTGCAGGATTCAATGTATAAAAATCAGAAAACAAAAACATGTACCAGTACAGTAAAATTTTGTTATTTACCATAAATGACACATAATATGAAGTAAAGTGAACTGTATACTATAAATCTGGAAATTTTTGCTGTAGATAAATTTTCAGCAAATTTGCGAGTTCATTGCATTCGCAAAAATATTTTTCTTAAAAATAAAACAAAGCAGTGGTCATTTGCAAAATTTTGAAACATAAAAATTAATCAACAGCATTTTGACCCGAATTCGCAAAATAAAATTGACGTAAAAATTTCCAGATTTATGGTATTAATTACCTATGATATACATGTTTTTGTACCTGAGAATCCGGCAAATTCTGCTTTCTTCCACAGCTTCTGAAGCTTTTTGTCTCGAAGTTGATGATCAAATGTTTCTGGTATTTCATTACTTATATCTTGTGGCTTTGGTATAGATATTACTTTTTTCATGTCGTACTTCTCCAAAAAATCTGCAAAATTAAAGATTTCTTAACAAAACTGTTATATCTACTATCTAAGTTTCATTTCTTTTTAAATAAAAATGCTAGCTGCCTTCCTATTCTTGTTATTTCTATGAACACAAAACAAATCATGCTTGTTCGGTCTTCATCTCTAATCTTACCCATTAATCTCTGTCTAACTTCTGCCTCTTTCAGACCATCTTTATCCATGTCCTCAGCTTTCAACTTTTTTAGTTCTATTTCTACTTTGTCTTGAATTTTTAAATCTGCATAAAGGTCGGCTAACTTTGGTCCTGAATGGAGCTTCAAGAATCAAAAATAATAAGTTTGCTCTAGCTTAATTCTTCATTCTACTGCTGCAGCAAAATCAAAAATCAATATTATCTGCTAAACGTACATGTTTGCTTCTACTGTTATATTCTTTCATGTGTATATTGTTAGCGGGATACCAAATGCTCAATTAATTCATGTCAGTCCTATTAAGTTTTTAAGTTTTTTCTTCTTTATTCTCTTGAATTTTGACCCCAACCTGTGATAAGGGAATACCAGAGTATCTGGGAGATTATATCTAATAGGTAGAGAAATTTCCAGGCCCCATGGGTCTAAGGGACAACCCTGCAGTTTTCTTGGACACTCCTTGTGTACTGATACTGAAATCATCCCCATATTGTATTATGAATCTATTGAATTCAAAACAGGTCAAATCAGAACCCTAACACCATAGGAGTTCTGATTTGATCTGGCTTGAATTAAATTGATCCATAATATAATATGAGGATGATTTAAGTACATGTATCGGTCTGTGTGTCCATCAGTCCACCATCAGTTTCCAATTTTTTTCTTAGCAGAGGTTGCACATATTGAAATGATAATTTGGTATACAGATTAATCATAAGAATATCTAGGTCAACTTCTGTTTTGGGTACAATTGAACCATTTTGGATAGAGTTATGCCCCTTGGACTTAGAAAAATCCCAATTATTTGCAGTTTCCATTCATTTTCTTTGCAGAGGTTGTACATATTGAAATGAAATTAAGTATACAGAATTATCATGAAAATTTTTAGGTCAAGTTCTGTTTTAGGTGTACAATCAAGGCATTACTGGATAGAGTTATGCCCCTTGGACTTAGAAAAACCCTTATTGTTTGGACTTATAAAAAATTCCAATCATTTGGGGGAGGGGGGATAAGTGTTTTACAAACATCTCTTGTTTATAGATATTTCCAACATAATCTTTGAAACAACATAGACCCATAAGCCATTATTTAACCAAATTGACTGGAATCTATGTAGGAATGTTTTCTGCCCCAGTGGTTCTATATAGAAGAAGATTTTAAACAATGCCACCATTTTACTTTCATTGCTCCCTTTGAAAGGGGCGTGGTTCATTGAACAGAAGTGAATAGCTCCACCCGAAATTGCTCTGTGACAAGTTTGGTTTAAACTGACCCAGTGGTTCTAGAGAAGAATTTGTATATGTTAAATATTGATAAATGACACAATCAAGATGAAAAATGCAAAAAAGATCTGGATGAACACTCGACACTTTTACAAGACCCTTGGGCTCAGGTGACCTAGAGCCATTTTCTGACCTATCAAAAATTATTGACATTGTTAATGCTAAGAGTCAACCTTGTTGTAATTAAGAAATAATTCCCATGTTGGAGGAATTGTTGAAAAATATACCCTGATAGTCAAAAAATTTTGTTGGCAAATAAAAACAGAGCTTAAAGGGCAAGTTTTTTTTTAAATATTTCCAAACAAAATCTTGAGACTGAGGGATATATATTCTTGGATTCCAAGGATGGGGGTTATTATTTCTATTCTGCAATAGCAAATATTTTAAACTTCCATACAGCGAAATGCAGATGCTAGATTTGGACATTCCTCACAAGTGTCTTATGACATCACAAATTCACAATTGGATGCTATCCTCTTTCATTTGTGTCTCAAGGATAAGAAAAAGTATGATGTAATCCCAACCCAAAGCAGATTTTTCCCCCATAAATTTGTGTCAAAATCAAAGAGATACCTCTATCCTTTTCTCCTAAGAGCAGTCAAAAAAGAGGATTATCCATAATTTGTTGATGACATTTGCGATTTATTGGAGAATAATGGCCGCGGCATCTCTTTGATTTTTGCAATAACTGTAGTAGAATTATTAATAAATACAATTTAAAATGTTATTTATTTAAAAGCTAGACATTACAAACCTTCTGTGCTTTTTCCCATATCTGATTCGCTTTGAGTGTCCTAAAAGGTCGTTCTCCATCCAATGTTCTTACATAAACACAAAGTAAAAACAATAGGTACAAACTTTCAGTCTTTATGTTTATCAAGTTTAACATTTTTTTTTTCTGAACTTTACTGCCTTTTATATACGACACGTGTACGTTGGTTATAATCTCTCCATTAGTGTCGACGGGGCACAAGTTGCTGATCCTTTAGGCCTACTTGAGCGTGACTTTCTCAAACAAACAGAAAGTAGAAAATAATACGACGATACCGATCCCGAATTTAAATACCCCCCCTTTTTTTTTTACAGCATTTGGGAGGTAATAAAGATTATAAGTAAAACATTTGATTGTAAAAAGAACAAACAATTTTTTTTTCACTTGATCTATTTTATGAACAATTTTCCCTTTTTAAAGTGATTTTATGCCCAAATAAATCGGGTTCGCAATGATGAACAAAACAGGGAAATCCCAACTGAAGGACAAAACGAAATACAATCGACAAGACGAGGGGATTTTAAAGACAAAACATTGTTACAAAACATTATGGCTGCTGATTTTGATTATAAACAAATGTTACTTGAGCTTGATAAATCTCTAAAAACTGATGAATTCGAGTCGCTCAAGTTTTTGTGTAAAGATGATGTCAAGAAAAGAGAAAGAGAAAATGTCAAAAGACCTACTGATTTGTGGGAAATTCTGGAGACTCGAGAAAAACTAGGTCCAACAAATTTAGTGTTTCTGAAGGATCTTATTCGTTCTTCTTGTAATGGTCGTGTAGATGTGATGAGGATAATTGACAATTTTGAGAACGGAATTCCAAATGATCAGCAGTTCGTACCTCCTCGGACAGTTTGCCAGCCATCACAACCAGTGATGGTGAATCGTACTCCTTATCCAGTGAGCCCTTCTAGTAAGTTAAAGATGTAATATAAGATTGATTATTTGAACCGTCAATTTCTATTTCTAGTGTAACAGGAGAGGAGAAATTGCAGCGGACAACAGGGTTTGAACCTAGGCCCCCTGAATCTTTGGTCAGGCGCTCTACCAACTGAGCTATCCAGCCACCGGTGATCTAAGGAGGGCTGATGACACCACATTCATCCCTCCTTAAAGGTCTTTGGCCCTCCAAAGACCCAGTCCAGACTAATCCCTGGCATGCCTCTCAGTCTCGTATGTCACTTCCAGGGAACGCCACCAAATGTAATGGGAGGGGAGAAAAAATGCAGCAGTCCAGACAGGTATTTGATTGCCAGTGGCCAGATAGCTCAGTTAATAAAGCTCCTGACTGGAGATTCAGGGGCCCCAGTTCAAATCCCCGTTTTGTCCACTGCATTTTTCTCCTCATTTATTACATATGTATATTTAGATGAGCAATCTGATTATGTACAGATTTGAACCTTTTCTTGTTTGATATCATTCTCATATTTAATTTAACACTTATTTTCTCTATTTTCACAGATCAAAATGCATGTAATACAGTGAATGTTGACAGTAAGTTAATTTTTACTTGTCTTTAGCTCTTCTGGACAGTGGCCAGAAGATCTTGTGCATTAGTAAGGTGACTGTCCCGTCTCCCCAGCTGTCAAGTGCATATAAACAAATTTCACAATACTCCTCCTCTTTTTGATTTCCATGAGTGGTGTTGCAATGGTTGCTAAAGATAGAATTTTCTGTAATTTTTTTTCAATAAACTTCTTTTCCTACAGTTTTGAATTGATTGAACAGTGCTGCATACTAGTAGTTTAGTAATAGTGCAAAATTCATTGAAAAAGGTACTCCTCTTACCATTTTGGTCCAATTTTTGATTTTATTGAATATTGTTGCAAAATTCTGTAAAATAATGATCGGTCTCATCTAAATCATATTTTAAAAAGAATGTTTTAAACATTTTTGAAGATTCATCAAATAAAATTTTGATAGAGCACAGTCCTCTGTAAAACCATTACTCGAACCTTCTATGTTCTTGTTTTGAATTATAAAACTTGGTACGCAAGTTAACTAAATCAAGATTCATAATTCTGTTCTTGCTGTTGAATTGAAATCCAGGTGCTGCCAAATTAGAACAGACAAGTAGAGCTACAGGCTCATCAAAGACTTATATTTGTGATTTTATTTAACCAATTTTGCATACACTTTTGCCTTTAATTTTCCCAAAAGTTGTCAAGTTATTCCTTTAAAAAATAAACTTTTTTTGTAGAGTATATGAAAGAAATCAATTTCTTAACGAAGAATTTGGGTAAGGAATGGCGGTTCTTCATGAGGACTCTAGGTGTAACCGATGGCGACATGATGTCGGTGGAGCAGGATTATCCGCGGAGTTTACGGGATCAGATATACCAGTGCTTGGTACAGTGGATAAGTGACAATGGTGGACAGTTTGATCGGGGGAAAGTAATAGCCGCACTGCGAGACTCGGCCGTGGAAAGATATGACTTGGCTGGACGTATTGAAGATCATGACGTTTAAACAAAATCTTGAAAGCAAATGAATGTTTTTGTGATACTTTGTAATGTGATACTCTGTGCACAGTTATCTGTTCTTGATTATATTGCAAGTTTCACTAATCTTTAAACATTTCTGAACCAAGTTTACTTTTAAACATTCTAACCTTCATCTTACTTTACTGAAAAATGTCCCTCTGTATATCTAAAAGCACTTTAAGATTTTGCTTGAAATTGGCTGAATGGTTCTTTAGAAGTTGTCAATAAATTAATGTAAAACATTAAGCAGCTGTATAGAATATTAACTCTGATTAGAATAGCTCTGTTTGAGCTATGGTAAGCTAACTAGTACCTATATGTGCCCATATTTGAGCATATTCAAGATAAATTACAATGTTTCATATTTTTTTTTTTGTGGATTCCTCAATTCTATCCTATTTTATGTTTGTAAATATTATCACATGTAATTACCTATAATATATAATTTTAGATCACCGAGTCACACAGCTGACATTATCTGTTCATGTCGATGATTCCATAAATTTTTGAACATTTCTATACTTGTATTGATTTTTCTCTCTATGAGAGCTATTCCAACCTTTCCCAATTTCTTCCATAGGTGGAATACCAACATTGTAAATATCAGTTCCTGTTCAAAGCCTTAGTGTTCAAAGCAATACCTCATGTCAATAATCTACTACATTGTGTGCTACTAACATCGTCTTAAATTATACTCTTGAACATGACAGTAAGAGGGATTTAGCTAGAACATACATCATGGAAAGGACCAAATGTCGTCTAATCTGATCTCGGTAGTTTTTGGGTGCTAAAAGTAACATCTAACCAAAAAAGAAAATATACCAATTTGTTTTGGGTTTTTTTAAGTGCGAATTTCTCCTATGCCTATGCTTTTGTATAGAACCCCCTCCCCCCCCAAAAATATACATAAACTCATCAACTTACAAGATTTTTGGGTCCTTGTGTACTAATTTTGGCCATGGATATAAGTGGATAGTTCAGTCTGTAGAGCACCTGACTATAGTGATGCAGGGGTCCTGGGTTTGATTCCCGGTCCAGCCACTGCAGGTGAAATTCCTGCCAGTGGCTTATGAGAACTTGGTTTGTGTCTTCGAGGGCAAAGACAATTTAAGGATGGAGGAATGAAATGGTTTGGGTCGTGGATATTGGCCTGGACAGCTGGGTCTGTAGAGAACCTGAATAGTGATGCAGAGGTCCCGCTTTTGATTCAAGGGCCAGCCATGTATAGCCATAAAAATCCAAAATAATGTCTTCGTAAACATAGCTGCTTTCTTTGCACCACAAACCAAGGCCATAATCCTGATTTGAGAATATATTGATAGGGTCAAGGTCACTTAAGCAAGCAGCAACTTCTCAAAGGGTTAATAATTTGAAAGAAAATAAATAATGTGAAAGAAAATATTCTTGGAATTTTTGCTTTAAGATGCTCAATGAGACTTGTGGGCATCTTGTTTGCAGTAATGCACTGCTGATCACCAGTTTATCCAAATCAAAGTATGAACTGATCATTTTAAGAAATTCAATGCATTACAATCTCCCCATTTTCAAAGTTTTCTTTAAAAAAAAAAAAAGGATGTTTGTAAAACATTTATGCCCCCCCCCCCATAAATTGGAATTTTTCCCAAGTCCAAAGGGCACAACTCTGTACAAAATGGTGCGATCGTACCCAAAACAGAACTTGACCTAGATATTCATCTGATAAATGTGTATACTAAATTTGAATATCATTACAGCATGTACAACCTCTAACGAAGAAAATGAACGGAAACTGCAAATAATTTGAATTTTTCTAAGTCCAAGGGGCATAACTCTGTCCTAAATGGTGCGATCATACCCAAAACAGATTTTGGCAACGGTTGTAAAGAAAATGAACAGAAACTAAGTGGACCCACAGACAGCAGCAACGCAATATATGCCCTCCTTTCTTCAAAATGCGGACATAAAAAGGGGGAAAGCAGCACAAGAATAAAATAAAACTGAAAAACGCTATGAATTCCAAGGTACTTTTTATTTATACACCTTGAATACATACAACTAGATTTTTTCCTTCAAATGGGAATTGCTATCAGCTTTGACAAATAACAAGGAAAATGATGCAAGCATTCTGTTTTCATGTCTACAGTCATATTACAAGACGATTTCATGTTCACATGCTACATAAAGAATAATCATATTACATGTGTCATCACTGTCAAAATCAAACCAATTAACAAAAATTCTCTCTGGGAATAATAGCCACATCCTTTTCGGATAAAATCAACCATTACATGCTGGTCTGTGAACTCCAGGAATTCCACATCTGTAAAGTGAAGATGGCATATTAAACTCCATTCAATATCTTGTTATAAATTACCAAAATAATCGTTTCATAACCTCTTTTGAGTTGAAGTACAAAATTAAACTTTGTGAATTAATCCAGAATACAAATATGTGCCCTTGAAAATTTTAACAGAAAATTAGAAAAAATTCAACACAAATTTCCGCCACTCACCACTTTATCGGAAGCTCTTTCCGTCACGTGAACAACACAGTCATGTGACGTCAAATGCTTTAAAATAAAACAGGATCCGACACCTGTCCCTTCACCTGAGGATTCCACATGTTATTGTTTGGTATTCCATCCCCCACTGGACCAGGAATAAAGCTCTGCTGAGCCATAGAGAACTGACCACCTCCCTGACCAATACCCTTACTGTAGTACTCCATACCCATAGAGCTACTCTGCTGAAGAACATTTAAATAAATGAAGGTAATCAAAGACTATAAAGATCACTTCAATAATCAAATCTTAGTCATTACACCCTAATTTCTGCAATGGTTGTTGAAGTAGATATACTCAAAGCTTACATTCAGAACTTTGTCCATTTGTTGGTCAGAAATGTCTCTCCCTTCCAAAAAATCAGCATGATTTTTAAGAGAAGTTTCACTGGAGGTGATTGCCGAGGAACTGGTGTCATGTATTGAGGAGGCTGTACTCACAGGCCCCCACTGCATGCTCAGTTCTAAAATCAGAAGAAACATAAATGTTAGTAAAATTAATGGTGATTAAAATTTAACAGATGTAGCAAATATTCATGGCTTTTCAGATTATTTCTGAAAATAAGTTCCGACATTACAAAAGATTCACTTCTTAATATGTAATAAACTGCTATATACACGGATAATAAATTGTTAAATTATTTCACATTGCTTTTATTTTATAAAATTTAAAACAAAGATAAAAAGCATACCATTCGCAATGTTCCAGAAAGCTGGACTGTAGTCGCTAGCGTTGGACATGGGAGGTGCTGGAATGGGGCCAGGGGCACGGCGCTGCGCCCTCTCTCCCCCTATAGGACCCATTGGTCTCTCTCCTCCTATAGGTCCTACAGGCCTCCGATCCTCCGGCTTGATCTGGTCAGACAGCTGGGGGGACACAGTGAGGGGTGATGCAGCTGGTGGTGGGGGACCAATTGGACCAGGGGAATTCCCATCTACAACAAGAATACACTTTGATAATTTGTTATACTCAAGTCATAATCAGATGTGCATTGAATGTGAATTTGTGATATACAAACATGTTATAGTTGATGAAGTATGAAATTTTAGATGAGATGTTGTGAAATGTGCACTGAAATGCATGAGGAGGGGTTGGGATAAATGTTAAACGACAAAATGAAATGGGGAATGCCAAGCAAATGATGATGCCACTGAGAAATTTACCTCTTGGCATCCCACTCATTAATGGAGCACTACTGGGTCGGCCTTGTGTAAGAGGAGAGAAGGGGCGTGGTGGGACAGGAGGTTGTCCTGGGACTCCCAGACCTGAGGGGACCGTGTTGCCACTTGTCGGGACCCCCACTGAAGGGGAGGATCCTGCAGGAGGCTGAGCCTGTCCACTTGCCACAAACTGATGGATCAAGTTGGCAAATTCCTGCTGTGATATCATCCCTGGTGACAACAAGTTAGGTCCTGGGCCACCTAATCAAATTCAAATTTTCATTGGAGTTATTGTAAGGTTCTATTTTTAGGAAAATTTTAACCTCGAGTGACATGACAAGACCTAGTTTAAAATATAAATTTTACAAGACATGACAAAAATAATAAAATTACCTAAGTTTTGCAGCTGCTGAGCAAGTGCCTGTTGGTACAGAAGATATCCCATAGCCAAGTTGTTAGGTGGCATGCTTCCTCCGGGGTGATTGGGTGGAGCTCCGGCTTGGCGAGACGTGAAATCTGGAGCATTTGGATTGAGCGTACTCTCAATCTTTGGCAGAGTCATAGGTTGAGAAGGTGTTGAATATTCCTCTTTCTGACCAGCTGTAGATGAAATGTGACCAGGATCAATACTAGCATTCGTCTGATTTCGTGGGGACATGTTGGTATTAGGTGTAGACGTACTAGATCTTGGAGACATTGAGGGGGATTGACTGGGCATACCAGTGCGGAACATTCTACTGTCGATTTCATTCATCATCTGAGGAGGCATTTGCATTCCTTTAAATCTCATTTCCAAATCCTGTGGGGATGGGTTTCTGACAGGTCTGAATCCAGGTGCTTTAGCCTGAAGTTGAGGATCGACTTTTGTTGGAGCTAAATCTGAGGCAGCACTGGAAGTGGTAAGGCTGCCTATCACACCTGCTGCTGCTACACTGGCAAAATTCATCCTCTCAGAGGCATCTTCCTTCTTCAAGAGCTGATCAGCATAATTGCTGAAGATATTATTAAAAGGTGAAAACGAGCCAGCATGAGAATTAGGTGGCATAAATTGTCCGTTTGGCCCCATTACATTTGGAGCAGTAGGTCCATTCTGCTGTCCACTGATGATGGGCAATGGTTGTGGATCCTGTTTGTGACTGCCTGGTCGCTGCAGTACCTTGACATTCCCTGGAACAGGTGGTCGTATCTGTACTGGCTTGTTTGGCAATGGTTGCTTACTGGTATCAGATTTAATGGTAAAAACAGGGGAACCCGAGGTCGTCACTTTGGAGGTAGAAGAAGCCAGAGTATAAGAACCTGACGTGTTACTACTGGTACTGAGAGGTACTCCAAACCCTCCTCTATTCTTTGTTTCATTAGGAAACAGTTGGCGAGTGACATTTTTCTCTGGGTTCGTCTGCCCTAGTTGAATTGATGGAGTCTGTTTTGGTTGATTCCTCCTTGGAGATGGAATAGGTGGTTGTGTTGGTGGACCACCCCACACCATTGAACTCGGAACAGAGCTACTGACAGTTGTTTGGGATCGTGCACTGCTTGACTGATTTTGACCCCGAGGTCCCATATTTCTGGTGTTAGAGGATGTTTTTGTGTTGGAAGATGACGTCTGGCCATGTGTTGTTGCGGGAGGCAATACAGTCTCTGGAATAAAGAACATGGACTGGTCTTTAGTACTGGTCTTGTTCTTATTTTTAGGTAGAAGTTCCAGCAAGTCCTTGTCTGGATCTGCTACCAGAGCAGAAATGAGGGTATGAGCTTGCTTGGTTCCTTCCACAGTGCCTCTGCAATGACAGAAAGTGATCAGTGTGTAATTGATCATTTATAATGTACCTGAATATTAGTTGTCAAGGCATGAGCCTCTTTTCTTTAGTAGTTAAGCTTACCTGATGGTAATGACCCTCTCTCCAGATCCACGCTGCTTCTCTACTTCAATATGTGCTCCTGATACCTCTCGTATAGCATTGATGTTACAACCCCCTCGACCGATTACACGACTGATGGCAGATGAGGGCACTTGCACTTTCTTGGACTTGCACGAGACTGGTCTGCAAAACAATACATCCAATATAACTAATCCAGTACACAGTTAAATTTCTTGAGTTTACAGTTTACACTGAAGAGATTGTAGTTACCTTCTAACGACTTCTTTCCATCCCTCTTCCTTCTTCTGACCTTTCTTTGGGCTTGCTATCACAGGAGTTGACTTCACATGAAGGCTGTGAACAGAGGGTGTCACATTTTCACCATTCTGTTTGTTGACATGCAACACATGGTCTGACTTATCACTGTTAATAAGAAATCATTTTCTTGCCTTAAGAAAAGCATGCAAAGGAAAAACAGGTATCAATTTAAAGCGTTTCATTTTTTTTAAAACCCATCATACTTACGGCTTGGTTTTCTCCACATTCTTTCTCAATTTCTCCACTTCTCTATCACTGATTTTCAAGCTCGCTGGCAGAGTACCAAAGTCATCCAAATCTCCAATACCTGCAACAAGAATTATAATCACAGAATTCAGTTCATAGATCCTTTCTTCCATATTTCTAAATTAAATCAACATCATAACATAAACGAAATTTAGAGCAATAAAGTTACCAGATCCAAATGCTGATGAGGCTGAGTTGTCGCCCTTTTTCTTCCTGTTCACACTCTCGTGTCCCGCTGAGTGGTTAGAAGTGGTAGTGGTACTCAGAGTCCGGGTGCTGGTGACTGGTACAGGGACATTCTCTACATCTGATACTCTCTCCTTCTCCTTGCGATTTCGCTTGTTCTTTCTGGATTCTGTTGAACTTATGGTAGATGTTTCAGCAATGCGATTGTTATTCTTGTTTCTCCCTGATTTGCTATAAGCTGGTTCACTGGCAGTTGGTAACAAAGTGCCTGATAAGAAAGGTCATTTTAGATTAATACAAAATGTAATTATTAATGATACACATATATTGTTCTAACAAAATTTTGGTATGTAAGATACAACTGTAAATGTTTATAGGTAATACTAGCAGTTTTTAAAACAGATCCTTAGAATGAAACTTACCCATGGTCGACACAACAGTGGCAGTAGGGGGAGTCATTGGGATCCTTTCCTCAAGATCTAATTTTTCTTCCTTTTCTGGATGGTAATGGTCATCCTCACAATTTTCAGGTTCTGGGGTGGAGTTCTTACTATTGCTGTTTGTGCTGAACAAAATTAAGTTGTAAAATGTTAGAGTAATATAAATATATACATATACTACATACTCACTTTTGATCAGACACCACTGACCACATGCAATCCTCTTAGCACCATTAATAAAACACTTACTCTTCTTCCTCCTCCTCTGGATCTTTGACGTCTTTCTCCTGCTGTTTCTCCTTCTTTTTCTTCTTCTTTCTCTCTCTCTTTTTGGCAGCTGCTGCTTTCTTGTTTTCCTCGTGTTGTCTCTCCTTGTCTAACTCCTCCAGTAGAATGTTGGCGTTTTTGAAGGCCTCCGCGGCTTGTCGATCTTTAGCACTTACAATGATCTCCATACACTGCTGACATTTCTTCTGCAGTTCCTACAGGGAATTAATATTGTATTAATTATTAGAATTTGCATGTTAACAGTTCTTAATTAATTTGACATATAAGTATGCTATAATAAATCAGAACTAGTTTAACTTTATCTCAAACTGGATGAAACCAAGAAAAAAATTTTCAATATATGTGAGGATTCAGATATTGAGGATGAAATACAGAATGAATAAGAAGTAAAGATTTTCAAATCAGTTTAATATATCCATGGTGTTCAAAATATTGGCATTCGAGTTTTACACAGTTCAACTGTATATGTATTATTTTCATGCTAGGATAAATACATTTGCTTTATACCTTATCAGAAACAGTAGCGATGTATCTGGACAGCTCCTGATCTGATGGAAACTGATTTACATGCTTCACCATCCACTTGCTAACCTTCACGTGACCTTTCCGAAATGAGGACATTAAGCAAGAGACCTTCCGATTGTCTTGACTGTCAATGTCAGCCCCTGCTGATACCAGTAACTGAACAACGTCTAAATGTCCTCCTGAAACACAACACAGATTGTTAATATCAAGTCCTTCACTCAGGCAAGCAAGATTATCAATTCTAAATGTTAGAACATTTTTATACTTACCATTGCACGCAAGCCAAAGAGGAGAGTTCCCCTTCTTGTTCTTCACATCAACTGCAGCATTCCTAAATGTTATCCAGACATACTGGTTAAACATGTACATGCAAATTTCTTTCTAATGAAACTCTTTTCAATCATCAGTTTTCAAGGGTACAAAATAATTTTTACAAACCTTGACAAAAGGAGTTCTACAAATCTGTAGTGTCCTTTGTCTGCCGCAATAGTCAGAGCAGTGTCCCTGGAGGAAGGTACAGGTGGAGCGTTGACATCAGCCCCTTTGTCCAGCAACACTCGACCTACTTCCACGTAACCTCCAGAGGCAGCCTCCATCAGTGGAGTAAGACCAGTCTAAAGCATGAAAATAATCAATTTTTACAAAGTACCAAAAAAAAAAAAATTTTTTTTTTCAAAAATGGCATGTTTAAGTTAAATCTGTAAAACATACAATACTAACCTTAGCTCTGTGTTCAATATTGGCTTTTCGATCTACCAGTAGACTCACTACTTCATGTCTGCCTTGGAAACAGGCTAATGTCAAAGCTGTGTTTCTGTTTGTCTCAATCTGAAGAAGATAAGTTTATAATTATGCAAAATTTTTGTTCACATTAGACACATTTATTAATTCTAAATATCCATATAAAAATGATACAGACCTGCGCATTGATGTCACTTCCCATGTCCAGTAAGAGCTTCACTGCTGCAGTGTGCCCATTCATCGCAGCCAACATCAAAGGAGAAATGCCTAGTTTACTTCCAGTCCTAGAAGAACAATTAGTACATACTGTATATAGGATATATTTAGCAATCATCTTACAAAGGCATTTTCACTAGTTCCCTTGTTGCTTAAATTATCATGGCGAGTTCAAGCACAAATAATGCATAAGAAAATAAAAATATTCATCCTCAAAATTGCAAAAATTGAACTTTACCAGTTGGCCACTATTTGGGGTTAAAAACTTCAAATTACCTGGAATTGATTTCTGCCCCATGAGACAGGAGAAGTTTGATGATGTTTACATATCCTCCTGAGGCAGCCAGACTTAGAGGGGTGTAATCAGAAACATTCCTGTGTTCCTTGTTGGCACCTTTCGAAAGCAACAGCTCAACCACCTGTTACAAAAGAGCAAAATTTGTCATTACAGGGAAACCAATCCGTCAATCAAACCTGAATTTTATAACGATATTGTTCTTCTTTTACCTCGTATCTTCCACCAGAACAAGCCAGAGAGAGTGGGGTGTCTTTTGTTCTCTCTGACTGAGCCTCCATATCTGCTCCTGATTCCAACAAGATTTCAACAACATCAACATGACCTGCTGTTGCAGCCAGAATCAATGGAGTGAAACCTGAAATTCCATAATTTATTGTATACTGAAGTTGTTACTATTCAGCTCTGCATTTTTCTTCATGAAATGAAACGATTGCTTAATTTCATGCAGCATATGTAAAATATAATCATACCTTTCTTGTCTCTATGCTCAATGTCGGCTCCTTTTGACAACAGGAGGTTGACGAGCTCCGAGTGTCCCCCATGACAGGCTAATGTCAGTGCAGTGTCATGATTGCTCTCCGTCTGGGAGTCTAGATCTGGGGTACACAGTGGGGAGATACTCTGAGGTGAGGCTGGAGAGGGATTGGGGGTCAGTGGTGTGGAAGGTGGGGGAGTTATGGTCTCAACACCCTGCATGTTCCCATTGCCTGTCGCCTGCTGTTGATTGGTGTACAGATGTCGCTTGGTGCGAGTGTTCTTTTGTACCTGGGCTGTTTGTGGCGGTGCGGGTTGTGGAGGTTTGATCTGCTGTTGTAACTGCTGGGTCAATATCTGAGCTTGTTGCTGCTGCTGCAGGAGTTGCTGTTGTTGTTGCTGAGTCATTGGCTGTGGTGGCTGGATCAGCTGAAGGGGTTGCTGGATCATGGGTTGCTGTGCAAACTGTTGTTGTGGGATCTGCTGGGGCATCTGCTGACAGGATATAGAGGGATTGGTTATCTGGGGTTGGAAGGTTTGTTGGGACAACATGGTAAGTAGGTGTTCTTGTTGTTCTGGAGTCAGTTGTAGTTGAGGGAGCTGTGGAAACTGGATGGTTTGTTGTTGGGATTGATTCTGCTGTTGCTGGGGATTTTGTTGTTGCTGTTGTAGTTGCAACTGTTGCTGTTGTTGATGACGAAGCACAATATTCTGGATCTGTTGTCTGTAGGTTGCCAGGGCCACAGCAGAGTTGTTGTTGGCTGGAGACTGGATACCAGCCGGGGATTGAGCAACTTGCTGGTTGGACTGGTTTCCTGAAATGAGAGAAATCAAAACATAGCAAATCTAAGCAGTGTCTCTTATAAAGAAACGATCCTGAGAATCATTCTGAGCAAAAAAATAATTCATTCACAACTGACCTTTGTTCTGATCTCCAGGTAGCATATTCGAAGGAGCTGAAGTTGCAGTTGGTGTGGTGGGAGCACTGGAACTAGGAGTTTTTACTCTGTTGCCACCTTTACCATTGGCTCCACGTTTTGGGGTGTTTCCGTTATTGCGCGGCCAGTCTTTACTCTCCTTTGGTGTGCTGGCTTCAGATGAAGCTGGAGAAGGCAGACTCATGGGCTGACTAGATGATGCTGGTAACAGATTGGAATCGTATGGTATATTTGGGAATACAATCTGGCCGCTAGCTGCAACATCCGCTGGTAAGAGACTTGTCACTTGTTTATCAAGGTCATTGGAGGGCTGAGGACTGGCCGGTGATTCACCTTCTACTTTCTCTTCTGATGATGACCCCTCTGCACTGCTCTCCTCCTGTTTTATTTTGACCTGTACTTCCAGAGTTCGCTGTAGAACTTTAGCCCCTTGTTGCAAGACGTGTTGCAGATGTTGCTGTTGCTGCTGCTGCTCCAGCTGATGCTGAGCACTCAAGAACAACTGCGCCTGGGCTTTCTCCTGCAACTCTTTCTCCACCTTCTGAAGCTCATGAAGAATCTGCTGCTTCCTGAGGATCTGTTCCTCCCGAGTGGCTGAGGTGCTATCTAGTTCTTTGGCCATAACATTATTGATGATTGCCTCTAATCTTTCACTGGCCTTGACATCCAGCGACTCGTCTGGTAGATTCCCCATGTCCCCATACTGTGGGGGCGTTGGTGTACTGTCCCCGGGCTGAGGGGTGACGGCTGGGGGAGGGGGTGGAGGAGGTATGTTTGTGGTTTTGCTGGGTTTACTGGAACCGTCACCCCCACTGTTGTTATGGTTTCTTTTTCCTACAGACTTCTGCATGTTTTTCCACACCTGGTCAGGATTTCTCAGCGGTAGATTCACATCCTTCTCACTCGCCTTCTTTATCACATTTTGTGCAGCTAAAAAAGAAATTTACAGTTACTTTATAATACTTTGATTTTAACTCGTCTCCTAAAAATTCTTATAGTAAAATCTGATCAAATTGAGATGGCAATGGAGCCTCAGTGTTTCACGAACACATCTTTTTTTTAAGATTTCTTCTAGCTTAACTTTCGGTTTACTGTGAAATCACTAATTTTTGTGGTGGTTTAATTTTCGTTGTTTTCGAGGTATGAAGACCCCCCACGAATTCATGTCCACCACAAAAAGTAAAATGTTATAAACATGACTACTCAAAAATTCTTCATCCACGAAATCAAAACCCCATGAACCTGTCGATTTTTCTCAAATCACATAAAATTTGACCCCACGAAAATATGTGATTTTACAGTATTCAAACTGGCTGTGACAGTTGCCAAACTTTAGAGATTTTTTACACTACATTTGTTAAACAAGTGTATGGGACTGCAATTTAAGTTGAGAAAGGAACAAAATTCTACAGTACTCAAAATCAGGAGACTTAAATACTATATTTCTGTAAGTTGTTTTTACCTGTTTGGAGAGAGGTAATGTTATTCTGGGCAGGAGAGGAATTGGGATCGCTAGGAGGAACAATGTTTCCCAGGCCCTGCACAGGTACACGTGACTGTAACAGAGAATACAACCCAATAAAGACAACAACACCAAAATACAGGTAACTCTCGATACCTCGAAGTCCGTGGGACCGAGAAAAAACTTTGAGAGATCAAGAGTTCAAGATTTCAAGAGTCCAGAATTATCGGGTTTGTTGACCGGTTTTGAAATTAGTCTTACCGGATGTAATAATTTTCAAGCAGTGCTAACCTTTTACACACGTGTTTAGAAAACAACAATATGTTTTCGTATTGTAGATAAATATTTTTTAAATTGAGTAAATAAACAAGAGGCCCAAGGGCCTTGAATCGCTCTTCTGATAAATTGTACAACCTATCACTTGTATTTGAAGCCTCTAACCCTAAGAATCCTAAGACCAAAGTTGCATCACCTGACAAAGTTTGATGATTCTTAGCCAATTAACTACTTCTTGGTCTACATTCTTGGAAAACCCAAAATACATCAACTGACACAATTTGATTATTCTAAGCCAATAAATACCAAAGATACTTAAATATAGCCATAAAATGTCGAAAGTAGGTCACCGTGACCTAATTTTTGGTCGTCACTCTCCGAAAACCCAAGATGCATCAACTGACAAAGTTTGATGATTCTAAGCCAATACATACCTAAGATACTTAAATATAGCCATAAAATGTCGAAAGTAGGTCACTGTGACCTAATTTTCGGTCATCACTCTCCGAAAACCCAAGATGCATCAACTCACAAAGTTTGATGATTCTAAGCCAATAAATACCTAAGATACTTTAATATAGCCATAAAATGTCGAAAGTAGGTCAACGTGACCTAATTTTTGGTCGTCCCTCTCCGAAAACCCAAGATGCATCAACTCACAAAGTTTGATGATTCGAAGCCAATAAATACCTAAGATACTTAAATATAGCCATAAAATGTCGAAAGTAGGTCACCGTGACCTAATTTTTGGTCGTCACTCTCCGAAAACCCAAGATGCATCAACTCACAAAGTTTGATGATTCGAAGCCAATAAATACCTAAGATACTTAAATATAGCCATAAAATGTCGAAAGTAGGTCACTGTGACCTACATTTTGGTCAACATTTTTCAAAGTCCCAAGATGCATCTCCTGACCAAGTTTGATGATTTTAGGTCAGAAGGTAATCAAAATATGCCTTTTAAACAATTTGAAAACATGCCTGCAAAATTCTAAAAGTAGGTCACAGTGACCTATTTTTTCTTAAATATGTTTTAAGGTCCCAAGATGCAGCAACTTACAAGATTTGATGATTCTAACCCTTTCAGTGCCTGAAATAATGGGATTAAATGTTTTAAAAAGGTTAAGTCATAAAGTTCAAAAAGTAGGTCATGGTGACCTACTTTTAAGTTGACGTTGTTCAAGGACCCAAGATGCATCAACTGACTAAGTTTCATGATCATAGGCCTTAAAGTGTCCAAAATATGCCTTCAAATCAATTTGAAAACAAATGCCCGCAAAATTAAAAAAGTAGGTCACCGTGACCTACTTTTGAGTTAACATGATGTGAAGTCCTGAGATGCATCAACTTACAAGATTTGATGATCCTAGTCCTTACGGTAAGCAAAATATAAACATTTTTATTAATTGTAAATTTAGGTCAACTTTAAAGTGACCTTGAGACCACGCCCTTTGCCCCAGGGTCATGCCTTGAACAATTTTTAATCTTCAACATATCCTGATCCTTGTATGTAAGTTTGGTGAAAATCTGCCTGGCGGTTCTGGAGAAGAAGATTTTTTAGCAACTAGTACTTTTGGTTTTGTTTTCCTGATTATCTCCCCTTGTTTTAGGGTCCCAACCCTTATTTTAGTATAAATGGTAGCCCTTGGGCCAAGGATACCCTGTGGCAAATTTGGTACTGATTGGCCAAAGGGTTCTTGAGTTATGGCCCATATTCTAAAAAGTTAACGCACACCGCACACCGCACAAATGGCCATAGCATTAGCTCTTTGAGCCTTTGGCTCAGAAGAGCTAAAAATGTACATCGTCACTTCATGTTTATTTATTTATTCTTTTTGATACGGACGTCAAACTACGCATTCGTTAATTGAAATCGACATTTTTTACCGCGTCTTACATAGCATTGTCTACTTCAAACATGATCATTAAACCTTGAACAAAGTTCTGTAAGTATTTGTGCAACAATAGTCGTAATATTGACATTGAGGCTGTTTCTGCATTTTCATATTTCATTAAACTTTGATACTGACTCGAAATAAAAATTAAACTATTTAGTTTTTCGTCTTGTATTCAATTTACTATTTTTCATTGACACCACTTCTCTGAGTTATCGTAAGACAGTCGATGATAATTATTTTAATAGCATGTAGGCAACATATGATTGATTATAAATCAATTATCACCTAGCAGTATAAGTGTCACCTGAATAAACATCCCGTTTCTCGAGACCCGCGTCTTTTGCCTGGGGCCATTTAAATGTCCAGGTAAAGTTGCTAATTATGTAACATTGTATACACATAGCCACTTCGAGGTTTCAAGGGTAAATTCCAATAGAATATACATAGCGTGACTGCATTTTGACTTCGAGGGATCAAGGGTTTCGAGAGATAAAGAGTTCAAGAATCAAAAGTAAATTTGCTTAGTTATATTGGGAAAAAAATCGGGACCGGAGACTCACTTCCAGCGATCAAGAACTTCGAGTCATCAAGAGTTACCTGTAAGTCTTTTCAATGATTATGACAATAATTCGACTGAAAATTGTGAGAACCCAATTTTCCATTTTCTCTTTGTAGTAAGAGGAATACCTCAGGAATGTTGCTCTCAGATGGTACAAGGGCAGATTCAGGGGAATTCATAAGTACTCTGTTTGGATACTCCAACAACAGCTTGACAACCTGTGTATGCCCACCTTTGGCAGCCTCAATGATCATTGTGGACCCATCCTGATAAGGAAAAGAAATTGCAGTTATTGAAAAAGTTACTTGTGAAAAAGTTCTGGAATATCACTTGCAAATACATGTACAATGCCATGCCTTAAGTTTGTGGGCTGGGTCAGCTCCGTGTGCCAGGAGGAGTTCAACAACAGCAAGATGTCCACCAGCACAGGCAAGGGAAAGAACAGTGTGGTCATTGGTGGAAGTTGCACGGTTCACATCAGCTCCTACAAAATGATTGCCATTACGTACTCTTTCAGCTCACAAACAACATACAAATTATAAAAGTATTCCTTCTAGATGTAGAACATATGAATAAATACAATACCTTTGCTGATGAGAAATTGCACTGTACAGAGATAGCCAGCCCTAGCAGCTTTCATCAGTGGTGTCCTACCTCCCTCTGACTCATGTTCCTGTTTGAAACATTCATAAATATACATAAATAATATCAGTTCATCAAAAACAATGCAACTTGGCTGAAAATTGCAGAAATCATTACATACCAGTTCAGCCCCATGCTCCAGAAGAGCCTCTGCAACATCAGTGTGACCATTCTCACAAGCATATGTCAGAGCGGTGTCTCCAGTCCCAGTGGTAGCATGGACGTTTGCACCTAGAACCAAAAATCCAATCATTAATCTCTTCCAACAAAGCAATTTTCATTTCTGTACATCTTTTTTTTTTAAGAATGATCATTTACAACAAGACCAACCTGCTTTCAAGAGATACCGCACAAGATCTAGATGTCCTTCTTGTGCAGCCTCCATCAATGGGGTGCTACAGCCCAACTCGATGTTAGCTCCTGCTTTAATCAGGAAGTCTGCCACTTCTAGGAATCCCCCACAACAAGCCAGGGTTAGTCCTGTCTCCTGGGTCTCCTCTGTCTGAGCATTAATGTAAGCCCCTGTAACAAAATAATACATTTCTTTTCAATTTCATTTAAAATGAACTTTCACTTATTCCCCCCTTCTTTTTTTTAAATATGAAAATCAGTGCAAACACAACTAGATTTATTTTGTTCAACTTCTAATGAGGTTGGAAATTGACTGGTAATTTGCATTCTTGGACACGTTTGCCAATTATTTACTCACCATTGGCCAGAAGTAATCCGACCATTTCCTCATGACCCTCTCTGGCAGCCTCCATTAGAGGAGTGTATCCCTCATCATTCACCTCCTCTAGATTAGCTCCCCGCTCAATCAGCAGGGCCGCCAGATCAACATGGCCTCCGCAGGCTGCCAGAGTCAGGGGAGACTCAAAGCTGTCAGCTGGCATATTGACCTACAGCACAAAACAGGATTCTCTTTCACATCTTATTAAATCTGCATTTTCAGTTAAATGTTTATGTTTTACTGCATAGAATTAACCGACATGGATTCACCACCCACCTGGGCACCACTGTCCAGCAGAAGACGTGCCACCTCTACATGTCCATCCATTGAAGCTTCCATTAATGCTGTGTGCATCTCATCTGTCTTGTGCTCTTGATCTGCCCCGGCTTCCAGCAAAAACTTCACCATTTCTAAATGCCCTGTTAACAAAGTATTGGATCTTATATAACATCTGTATAAATAGACAAAACCTATTTATTTCACAGAAAGATAAGTTTATGAAATATCTTCATAAGCTATACAAACTTACCCTTATAACAAGCTAGGGTGAGAGCACTCTCCTTAAATTCATTAGAGTGGGTGTTGATTCCTGCCCCAGCAGCCAGGAGAATTCTGGCCACACCTACATGTCCCGCACTGGCTGATTCCATCAATGGGGTGTGTCCATTCTCGTTGTGCTGTTCAACATTGGCTCCGGCTTCAATTAATTCTTGCACTACATCTTCAAACCCACCACATGCAGCATAGTGCAAGGGGGTATTGCCTAAAGGAGCAAATCAAAGAAATGGAATGAATAAACAGAAATAAACATGATAAAGGATCAAGTTCAAGAAGGTTATTCTTGGCATCAAAATACAGTACCTGCAGAGGACTGTGCATTGACATCTGCATCATGTGTGATGAGAAGTTTAACAATGTCCACATATCCCCCACTGGCAGCCTCCATTAGAGGGGTACAGTCTCCCTTGACCCCTCTGTCTTCTACATTTGCCTTCATTGCCAATAAGACCTGTAAAACAATTCACATCATTACAAAATGAAAATTCAGCTAAAAGGAAAACTGTAATGTAAACACATATTTCCCACACAATTAAATTAAATGTGAAACTTCAGTGTTGTTTTCTTCAAACCTTCAGAGATTTATTGAGCATTAGATTTCAAACTTACTTGGGCCAGTTCATAATAGCCAGCTGAGCATGCTAGTGAAAGTAGACTTTCTCCTTCTTCAGTGGTTTCATGAACACTTCCTCCCTCGTGTAACAGTTTACGGACTGTTGGTACATCCCCGTCACTGCAGGCTTCAGCCAGGGACCTGGAACTTTACGTAATTATCACAAATTTTTAACTCCAGATAAAGATGCTTTTCATCAAAGAATTGCGAACGATAGTATTGTTCTCCCGCCTACCTCCAAGTCAATTTTAAAAAATTAACATATTCGATATTTTTCCAATCACTTTTTAATATATTTTGTTCTTTAAAATCAGATGGTCTATTAATCTAAGAAAAGTACTATAATCTAGACAATAAGTGTAGATAGGTACCCCTCTGCTCCTGTTAACTGCCCCTGCTGGCCAGCTCTCATTCTGTGCAGGGCCTGAGCTGCTTCATCCAGTGCACAGCTGACTGAGGACGTCAGTTTCCTTAATACTTCAGGGTCTGTCAGAGCTTTACCATCAGCTGTTGATAGCTTTCCTATGCCTGAAGATAAACCTGTGATTTTTATACTAATAGGTAATAACATAAGAAGCTACTATTAGTAAATGTTTTTTTTTTTTTTTTTAAGGTAGGTCCCTACTCGTGGAATTAATTGGTTAACAGTGCAATTTTTGTCCTGATTTACATTAAGAAATACTTTATCTACTTCAAAAGCACAAAAAGTAGATAGATAATCTATATTTTTATTGAGATAGGGTGTGAAACACTCATGTACCCTCTTGTATCAAAAACAAAATCACAACTGTTATAAAGACGGTCTACATTTTATGTCACTGCACACGGCAAATAAATTCTTTTGAACATAAATCACAAGGATAAGAATAATAATGAATAATTTCAGGCTGCGGTACATATTACTGGTTGAAACTAAGAAAATATTGTAGAATTAATCTCGTTTTACTAATAAAGTAACTGAGCTCAAAACTTAAATAAAGCTCTCTACTAGAATAATTAATTTGTTTAGCCTGATTTTTTTGTCTTTATTTATGTCAATCGATGCTTGAAGTATCTTTTAGGCATGATAAATGTATTGGTCATCTGTCTTTTCACTGAGATATGGGGTAAAACATACAGGTACCCCCATCGAAGTGTAATAGCTCAAGCCTTTTATGTCACAAAAATATTTATAAATCAGCTAAAAAGTGAAATATTCTTTTTAAGAACAATTTCATCAAAATTTGTACACCCGTTCCTAATCATAAACATAAATTTTATTCTCACATTTAATTCTGAATATTTTATATACAAAGGTTTGGGGGGGGGTGGGCATGTCCACTACTAATGATACGACTTTCCTGGATGCCTATTACTATTTACAAAAGATTAGAAGCAAGAATACAATGTCTTGCAAGCAAAATTATGTCTAAAATTTCATATACAACATCAGTAGCCTGTGTAAAGTGTGTTGATTTTTTTTATTATAACTGCGTACCTTCATTCGTATGTAGAAAATTTGCCGTCAAAACGAAAGTAGGAAAATCCCATCTGCATATCATACCAATTGTGCACAAATAAAAACAATGAACGAAAAGTATTATTTAATGACATAAGAGCAAATTATTTGCTAGGTTTTCTGTAAATAGGTATCAGAAATATTGGAGTTGTACCAATGCAATCATAAACATATAGTATCAATATAACATCCTAGGTAAAATATATCTGAAATGACTGGCATTCAACCTCGCGCTTGTTTTTATACTGTATAAATCTCAATCCTTGCACAAAAATACCCTCAATCATCTTTCTTTTTAAAACCGAAAACGGCTAATTCCGGCTTCCGTTTACCACGAGTAGGCCCCTACTTTAATATCAGGTTGTCTTGATATCCTACACAAGGATTATAATAGCCTTTAAAATTTTCAACCAAACAGTAAAAACGTATTTCCCTCCACTTTACTATCCCCAAACTGTTTGTTTTTCTACTGTAGAGTTATGTGCCTCATCACGCAAAATAAGTGTTTTAGTCTCAAGATGAAAATAAGACAAAATTGGGTTAAAAAAAATAATAAAAAAATATTTACAAAAAAAACTCCTTTCTTTCAATCTCTTCCAATAATGTATATCTACGCTACCTCAATCTATAACAAAGGACATAATGTGGTGTCCACCCGGCACAGTAAGTAGCAGTACTGACAAATCAATAGTTATCCTTACCTGCTGCCTCCAGTAATGCCTCTAGTCGGGCGTGGGTCTCAGGGTCTATTGAAGGGATGTTTGATGCCTCTATTCCTTCTGTTGGTAAAAGAAATTTTGGTTCGATATCCTGGTCTTCTTCATCAATGTCATGATCCATTATAAAAGAACCAACCTAAACGAGAGATAAAAATAATGTAATGAAGACATAGTAAAATATACTATACCTATGTATTGTTACAAGATCTGAGAAAATAAAACTGAAAATTATATCCAATGAAATGATTAAATCATATTCCTTGAAAAATATTGGTATTTCATAAATTGACCTAAAAGTGCAATAGATATTCAAAATTGAAGATTTCATTCAAACTAATTTCGGAACAATTTAACATCAACCTGCCATTCCTATATTACTTGATTGGTCAAATAAAAGGTTTTATTACTCTAATGAGGATAAAAATGATTTTGCAATCTAAAATAAAGCATTTGATATTCATTTTTGTCTTTCAATGTGTGTATGGATCATCTAATGTGCTGCTGATTGAGCATTAGGATCAATCCTATTGTGTCTAAAGGTCACAGTACAGGGCTCATTGGAACTAGAAGATTTTCTGTAATTTAAATTTTCTCTTCTTTCTTTTTCATTGTCACCTATTGCACATATATCTTTCAAAAAAATGCCTAAGATTGTGTACCCGCCCAATAAATGGAATTTGTGCTGGCCAAAGTTTGAAAGGTATATGGAAATCCAGAAATATGCTTTTATGAAAACCCTATGTTTTTTGCACAGATGAGGATCTATAAAAATAGACATATTTTAAGACCTGATAGGATAAAACTTTCTCTTACAATCCATTCCAAATTTCTTATGATATCCTCCTCTAAAGTGAGTGGAGTCTAGCAAAGGGGATGTAAGAATCTGTTTTTGGTCATTTTTAACAACAGAGAGACAAGTTTTTGATTTCAACAACCCATCTAAATCCCTATCTAGATACCAGTCATTATAAATAAATATGGCATTAATAAAAATTGTGATTTACTGATTTATATAATTAATTGTATGATCATGGGCATTCGATATTAATATTAGCTTTGGTTTTTACATCAGAAAATGTAACAACTAGTCTATTTAATATCATTTGATCTGCTTATGCTCATGACATCGAAATCACCAAGATAAATTTATTTCTATCTCTTGTACAAAAGTAACCTTTTTTTTCAAATATTTGACTTTATTCATTGTGAACATAAAATGAATATCTAACTACCTATTAAAACTTGAAGAACTAAGCACACTTCTTAACTTCTGAATATAACACTGCAAATGATATGCCTATCCAGAAATGGTTGCTTTCAAAACTCATCAGACAAAAACATTTACCCTTATCATGTTTATGTAGAAGGTGTTTCACTTTCAATGCACATTAAATATGAGACCAGATTAATAAAATTATTCATCATAGTAACAGAACAAATGCTGTAATGAACATTAAACTTTTGACAGTAGTGAGTCAGATTATTCTTTTCAGAATTACCTTGCTTCTTAAACTAATCTGTCTTGGTGTTTGAGTGCATCTATTTGGTTATCTACATACTGTTATGTAATTAAAGTCAAACATCATAAAAATTATAGTTAATAAGGAGAGAGGTAGGTCTGAATGAATTAGTGAATTTTGCAGATCAAATACAGGCTAACTGAATCAGCCTCAATACCCTTCTCCAACTGATAGTCTAGAAAAGAAAATGCTAAATATACATTATGCCTGCTCTCCTTTGTATATCTTTTACGACAAAAAATCTCTAGATTGTGTTGTCATGCTTGTTTACAAATAAATACCAGAAATTCAACGGTGAAATGGAGTTTGGGCACTACTTTAGAGCAAGTTATTCTGAATGTAGAGATCATCAAAAGGTTGATTCATCACCTCTTTTAATCCTTTTTGATCTAATTTACCCTACATAGATCAGCAAAACTATATAAAACATCTGATGTCTGTAAAATTTTATGACAAAAAGTTCACCGTGGAGGCAAGTTATGGAATGGAAGTCCCAAATGAAATCAATATCATGTGCAAATTAATTTGCATACATTATCTAACATGCTTCCATATCTGTGCATTCTGTATTTCTTAAAATCATTAGATTGCAATGATTTTTAAATACGTTTTCATGAATTTCAAAGAGACAAAAATTGTAGGAAAGGATTATGTGCACTTTCTTCGTGGAAAATGGTCACATGCTTTTGTCCAATTAGAAACGCAGGTTCATGACGATAAGTATTTACATATTTTCTGCAAATTACTGACATCAAATTGATTGAGACGTGGACATTAACACGAGACTTACATCAGAAACCTCGTCATCATCACTTATGTCTTGACCAAATGTTGACTGCGAGGACTGTATGGCTTCGTTTTTCTCTAGCGATGGATACGGTACTGTCTGACTACCTTGCTCGATTTCGACCGTTCTAATGTTTTTATTTGTTGATACATTTTCATCTGAGGTAACATTCTGCATTGTTGCGATCAAACTTATCTCAAAAACATAAAATTATTACGTTTCATTCGATTCAAACTTGTTCTTGGTGTGCAAATCTCCTCATGCTAAGTTGCCACCTTGACCGCCATTACCAATGTTCCATTGCAATGTCCCGGATGAACATATGTGCGCAGGAGCAGACAACTAATAAATTTTCCGGAAGCATGCGTGCGATGTGGGAAGAGCGCATTTTTTTGAAATCACAAACATAATCTATGATAATACTTTCATCTGGATTGTGACTTTATATTGATAAACTTACAGAATATTTGCATGACATAATAAAACACACTTACCTATAACTGGTGGGCATTACGGAACTTAATATTTGAAACACGTTTAATGAAATGGAAATAATTAAGTTAATATCCTTCAAAGTTTGAATGAAGTTAACCAATGTTAGACATGTCTCAGCCCACGGACATGACCACCACCCCACTTTTTTCTAAATTTTTTTTAAATTTAACGTTAACATTCAATGACATTTTCACATCAATTTTGATGACAAGTGACCGCCACTTTTTGTTGTTATACTAGGGAAACAAGCAAATTTTAGTAACTGAGAGAAAGAAAAAGGGTTCAACAAAGAGAAAAGGAAAAGGACCACGTACCCCCTCCCCGCATTTTTTTTAATTTTTACTGGTCAATTAACTTTTTTCGCAAGTTGGACCCCCTTTAAAACCGGTCCAAACACATAATTTTAAAAAAATAATAAATTCATTTTTATGGGGCCGTGATAAGTTATAAAAGTTTTAAATAGGAATTTATTACACACTTAGTAATAAATACAGGTTTTTTGCATATGCGATATGGCTTTGAATAGCCATATCAACCCTGCATGTTGATATGGATTTGCAGGGCTGATATCCGTATCAGCCCTGCACTTTTTTCAGGGCTGATACGTTATTGTAAAATCACACCCTTAGTAAATTAAACCACAATAACAATACTTTGATCATACACAATTTTTGGTGACATATTCTCTTAATTTTAACTTTTTGAAAATAAGGTTAATCTTAATTTACAAATACATGTAATACTATAGAAATTTTCAAATTACGAGATCAAATGCATTGAAATAGAAGTAGAAACAAACCCAAATCTTAAGAGACATTAGACTATGTACATGTATGTAAGAAGTCCATGCATGATTTTTACTTTTTTCTTCTCAACTGAATGTGTTCTGTATTTTATTACTAAGTATGTAATAAATATAATAAAACATACCCTTTTCCACACACATAATTTTAAAAAAATAATAAATTCATTTTTATGGGTGCCGGGCTGATACAGTTATAAAAAGGGTTTATTATTCTCTATGTAGTTTATCTATGGGCGGTAATATTCTCTATTGAGAAGTCGATCGATGGTTCGTTTCAATACTCCCCCTGAACGGGAATATTGAAACGAGCCATCGACTTCTCAATAGAGAATAGGATAACAACATGACCATAAGTTATCAGGTGAACATTGTGGCCCCAGGGCTTCTTGTTGTTATGATAAAGCCTTGCTTTAATTTTCATTCCTCTTAAACACTTGTTAAATATTATATATGTGTGACATGTTTTCTTTATAATTATATCGGAATATGGCTGTTCAAGAAATCTATACAGACGGATTGCTTAGCAGCGTTTACTGACTGATTAACAAGATTTTTTTTTGTCATGAGAAATAATAAAAAAAAAAGATAACATTCAGGGAATGCAAACTTGTACATTGTATTAAAACTTTGATATTTGTAATTTTCAAATTATATATTAAAGTACTTCAATTTTCCTTGGTCCACGGTGTCTTATATCGATGTATCACTGAGATATATTTTGGGTGGAGGTGTCGTAGAACCTAGATGTCTGGCCAACATAGCGATTTCAGACAAGCAGTTTGCATGCATGTATGTTACGAAAAAGGTCTTTCCTGCATGCATTTTTTAATTTTCAGCACACTAGCTGTTAAGGTCAGTGAAAGGCAGATTTCAAGTTATTTTCTTGCATTGAAAAATGGCAGCATAGGCTGAAAAAAATAATTCCTCGTCCCATCTTAAAACTAAAAAAATCTTCCCAAGACCCACTAAGCAGGTTATCACAACACTTACACGCAAAGATGTGAATATGTCGAAGATTAAAAAATGTTCAAGGCATCATCCTGGGGCAACGTGCATGGTGTCAAGGTCGCTTGACCAAAAAAAATGTTTTATCAAAATATTGATTTTTTTTTTTACAATAACAAGGTCTAGGGTCATCAAATCTTGTCAGCTGATGCATCTCAGGACCTCATATCATGTTGAATCAAACATATGCCACGGTGAAATACTTTTTTATTTGTATGCATTTGTTTTGAATATTGAAGGCCTATATGGACTTCAAACTTTGTCTGTTGATGCATTTGGGGTCCCGGAAGTATTTCATAAATCTACATGGCCTACTTTTACGATGTTATGGCAAATCTTTTTTCAAAACATTAAAGATTATCATTTCAGATACATACTGAGAGGTTTTGACATATTTGATAACAAGAAGGTCACGATGACCTACTTTTTGAACTTTACAGGTATTCGTTTTTAAATTGTTTTAGAGGTATTAAGAGGTATGTTTTGAACACTTAAAGGCATATGATCGTCAAACTTTAATTGTCAGTCGATGCATCATAGGTACTCAGAGAACGTCAACTGAAATATAAACCACCGTGACCTACTTTTGAAATATTAAGGCTATATTTAAATATTTCAGGTAGTAATTGGATTAAATCATCAAACATTTTTAGTTGATGCATCTATAGGCTCCTCGGAGTACGTCAGCTGAAAAGTAGTTCACTGAGACCTACATTTGAAAGTTTTTGGGCTTGTTTACTTATATTGGTTTCGAATCATCAGACTTTGTGACTTGATGCTTCCAGGGTCTTAAGAGTATGTCATCTGAATATTTGGTCACCGTGAACTTCTTTTGAAATGTCATGGCGATATATTAAAATATTTAAGGCTTAGAATCATCAAACTTTGTCACTTGATGCATCTTGAATTCTTGGAGTGTGTCAGTTGAGGCATTGTTATGGCAATAATCACAATTGATAGTGTGTCAGTTTACAAACCGTAAACATTGTTGTTAAGTATAGTTTTCATCTGTAAAACTATATTTAACGGTTGTTAACTATAGTTTACGAATGTTAATTTAAATTTTTCTGTGTGTAATAAAGCGTTAACAATAGATTTTGTTGATAAACGTATATCCACGTTTGTAAACTATATCTGAATGTTTAAGATAATATAGTTTCACAAATTGAAACTATATTTATCAGCATAGTTAACGGTTTGTATAAAACTTTTTCAGTTTTGCAATCGCAAATGATTGTTTTCAAGTATAGTTTACGGTTGTGAAACATAGTTATCGCGTTAACTATGGTTTACAGATGTGAAATATAGATTAACATTGTTAACAAAATGTGTGTCATGATGAATTTGGCCCATAACAATTCTGACACACTCCAAGAATTCAAGATGCATCAAGTGACAAAGTTTGATGTCACTGTGACTTACTTTTGGAATTTCACGCTATATCTGAATGTTTAAGATAATAAGGCGCATAGAATAATAAAACTTTTTCAGTTGGTGCGGCTTGGGTTTTCGGAGTGTTTTACCAAAATGTGTGTCATGATGACCTAATTCTGGAATTTCAGGACGTTAGACATACTTACAGAGCATCAAATCGCAAAAAGGGAAACAAAAAGGGGGGCAATATGAAAAATACATAACAAAGAGTCCAAAAGAAAAGAAAAGGGATTTTAATTATTTAACGTTCCTTCCAAATTTCAGCAGTGGAATAAGAAGCAGTTTGTGGACGTGTAACTGTGTAAAACAATAATTTATACTCAATTTCAGAGATTTTTTTTAAAATATGCGAGCTTTTTCCTGTTCTTTTTTTTTTTTTGTGGGGGGATATTGTGGTGGTGTTTGTTTCTGTTTTATCTTTTCTGTATTTTGATTTAATTTATGTATAATTTCTTCTTGAGGGACTTGTCTTTACGGGGGTGGGGGTATATGACAATGTGACCGGACGGCAGAAAATTCTTACTCCTCCATGGCACCTGATCTAACCTCAGAGTTGTTTTTAGATGTCCGTGTTTGCCCTGCCTATTTGTGCAAATGAGTGGGAGATTAATTAAACCCCCACCCACCCCTGGTTCTGACGCCTATGAGATCCCACCAACTTTTTATTCTGTTTTCAGTTCAAAGATTTTACAAGTAAGTTATACATGTATTAATTGTCAATTAATTAATTTTCAAACCTCTTTCAAAAACGATGTTGCTTGATTCATGGATTTAAGCAGTGTAATAGACCTCCCGTTCTATCGTTACTTTATTTATTGAGACAGACTCATGCACCTGGATCATTTGTCAAAAAGGTCTCAGTTATTAATGGCCGGTCCAGCCATGTGGCTTAGAAACAATACCCTCAGAAATGGGACTAACCAAGTGTTCAATTGAAGGTCCTTTAATAGAGCTTACAAATTATATGTTATCTCCCAGAGATCTGATTTCTGGCATTTGTGTAAACATGTCTACCGTTACCTCACTGAGAGGTTGGTGTTCCTTTTACTTTACGAATTCTATCAAATTTCAAACATGTATTGGTTTTAAATGCGTTCACATGCGCGCTTAATTTCTCAAAGACAAAAGGATCGACAATTATTGAAAGGACTGAAAGTTTGACGAATCAATGGACTGTTACTTTGGTCTTACCAACTGCCCTAACAGTGGTGTTTGGAGGAAAGGCTCTGAAATGTCGTTTTCAAGCACCTGTTCCTGAACAAGATTTCCAATGTTGGTGTGCCTGTGTTTTAGGGAAAAACCAGAGGAGATAATTGTCAGAACAAAGGTAGGTAGTCATTGGGTGGCCAACAGCCCAATCCGTGAACAGCCCAGACAATCCCGCTATACAGGTGCCAAAATATGGAAATTGTTGAAACATTCATATTTATAAACTATAATTTTAAAAAATTACAGATAATCATAGATTGTAAAGCATAAGTGAAATATTGATTTTGTATTGAATAAATGACATTTTTTAAATGAATATCGTTTTCTTCTGTCAGATGGGACATGGAGCCAGCAGCTCTGCCGGTAAGGGGGGCGGGGTACCGACTCTGTACATTTACGGACTGAGTGCCCCCGCCAGAGCGGCGTGGATGACGGCCAAGGCTGCGGAGATCCCAGTCCACCTCAAATACATCGACCTCTTCAAAGGCGAACACAAGACGCCAGACTTTGCAAAGGTACTTGTACCTGCGTATTTCTAACTTACAAGTGTATCTACAAACAGTCAATCAATTCATATTTTTATCTGTTGTGGGGCATATTGTTAGTGTCCAGTGCAATGTTCATTATGACCCACATAATGATATATTAACATTTGATTTAAGAGTCAAAGTGAAGGGGGGGGGGCTTTGGGTTATAGAACTTTGGTAACGCAGAAGTGGCTAGCATCATCAGAATATCTGTTTGACTATGTACTTTGAATTAATTTAAGGAGAAACTTTAGAATTGTACTATTCTAAAACAACATTGCTTAGAACTTGTAACTTTTTTCTACAATAAAGTCTTGTGCGGTGAATACTTTTCAATGGTTTACATTTAATAATCAGATGCTCTCATTGCCCAATATGTAAAAATTCCACGTCCAGTTTTTACATGAATGTACATGAGGGGTACATAACTCTTCTCTTATTTATTTTTTACCCCTTTTACAACTGGTCACTTTTCTGGAATATTTCAATTATTGGCCCCCATACCTGATTATCTATTTATAAAATGGACTTTTTATTTTGCTCCTATCTAAATGTATATCAATCCAGGACTGTTTTGTTTAAATAACTGAATGAATTTAAAAGGTAAAAATTGTTCAAATTTTGTAGATTAATCCTGATATGACCCTACCAACGTTAGTAGATGGAGATTTTACATTGTGGGAAAGGTCAGTGCAAATTCTTCCATCTGTGAAATAGTAACCATGTAAAATTAACTCGAATAAATGTACATGCAATTGATTTTTCTATTTAGTCGTCCTATAATGCAATACATGGTCAGCAAATGGGGAGGGAAGCACTCCTATTTATATCCTAAAGACCTTCAAAAAAGGGCCATTTGTGATCGACTCATGAACTTTGACCTTGGATCTGTGTACAAAACAGTGACAGAATTCACAGTAAGTGAAACACATAAAAATCTCTAATAATGGTACAATGAATTCAATAATTACGACCTTTCTTTCATTACAGTACCCCCAGTTATTTGTTTGATACATGGTACAAGGAATTCAGTAAATAATTCAACCTTTCTTGGGTTACAGTACCCCCAGTTATTTCAAGGCAAGCCCCCTGATCCCGACAAAGAGGCAGCCATGAAGAAAGCCTTCGAATACCTCAACCGACATTTAGACGGCGGACAACAGTACATGACTGGTGATAACCTCACAGTCGTTGACATCTCCATGGCAACCAATATCTCCCTGACCGAGATCAAAGGTTACAAGCTGGACCAGTGGCCTGATCTGGTGATATGGTACCGTCGAATGAAGGCCCTGCCTTACTGGGCCGAGTGTAATCGCGGACTGTACGAGTGGAAGTCGCCTCAGTGATTGACGGAACCAGGAATACTCACAATGTTATATAATTAAACATTTGCACTTTATACATTTACAATAGAAACAAAGGAGAATAAAATCCACATATTAATTTTATTTCAAGTGAATCAACATTAAACTAAAACCCAGGAGATTTTGGACTTCAGCACAGTAAATGTTGCCTGCTTTGTTATTGTAATTTACAGATTTTATTTGGGCACAATATCACAGCCATGCATACATGTAAAACATCAATGCCACATAATCTACACTCTGTGTATGCCACGTGATTGATTTAAAATATTAACTAACAAAAATGAAAGCAGTCTCTGAACGATAACTATCTTTTTACAATTTTTTTAAGACAACACTTGACATATTTAAAATGCACAGCATTCTTATAGTTTAACAAACATATACACATATATACATTTAAAATTCAGTTCTAAATAAAAATCAAACACTGGAAGATGGATGGCCAGCATATTTTTACCACAGTTCCACAAACATGAACACATGGTATTGTGTTATAGTGTTATGAAGGAAGTTTTTCACTACCATAAACAAAGTAGGTCTGACTATACATTTCTTGGGTTTATAATCACAGATTTTATTATGGTATACACTTGCATGCTATTCTGTCTAAAATTAGACCTAACATTTCAATTAATTACACTATCTGGTATTCAAATGCCTGTTCTAACAATCTCAATAAAAAATAAATACAGTAATAAATTTATAACAAACAAAAAAGTTTGACAAATAAACAGGTCGAGACCACTAGATTTTCTGACGTCAGCATAAATTTGCATGTAAATTGGCTATCTGTTTACTTTGCCTACTGCTGAATGAGCCGCAACGCATTATGGGCTACTACAAGTACCCAGCTTGTTGAAAATAAAAGGCAATTTGAATTGTCCCTTGGAAACTTATTTTCACTTCTTTTTTGAGATTTGTGAAAGAAATATTTAAAATGATGTATAATCTTTCATTTCTATGCTCACATTTACAAAATTTGCTTTATGAAGCCTTATATCAACTTATAATACATCGGCCTAAACCATTGTTCAAACTGAGATGTAGGTGCTACCGTGTCGATAAAACATTGAGATTTTTTTTCATGTGATATACGTGTACATAGTTTAAGCAGGTAGTATATAGGTCCTTGGTTTTAGACAGCAGGAGAAGGTGTGCAATTATTATTTAACCCCTCAATATTATCAGAAAGTGTTTTATGTACATGCAAACGTCAAAGCGTTTGTACGGTTTTCGAAGCAACTATTAATCACCTACAACAACTCCAATATTAAATGTGAGTATGGAGCAGTGTCTTTGGAATATAATCTATCAATTTCGGTCTTATAAAGTGATAAAGAAGCTCTACAGTTTTTCCGTTGACAAGTTAAATATTGTGCAGTAAACCGACGAAAACAACGTGTCGCCATTGAATCGTAAACATGTAGTAGATTGTCATGCTTTGGGACTCATTCACTTGATTGGAGAATGGGTGTGACAAAGACATCGTCACGTGTTGAAAATTGCCTTTCATATTAGGTAATGGTCTCGACCTGATAAAGCCTGTTATTGGGCTCAGATGACTAACACACCATGTTTCCTTGAAAGCAGAGAGGACCCTAAGTAAAAGATCTTGAAAGAAAAATAATCTTGGCATGATGAATAAAAAAAAAGTACTTATGAATGCAAGTTGTTAATGATAACTTGTCATGAAATGTTCACAAAACATTGATTTATCTCATGTTTCGATGGATGAAGTTAAACTTGATTTTGAAATAAATAATGGCAATACATAAAAAGAGCAAATATCTAAAAAGAAATGCTTTTTTCTGAAAAATGTATGCAGTATACAATGTATTTTTATATTTACTATGAATTTAAAACAATACGTTTGGACTTGAATGTGGTATCCAGTCATTATACATTAGTTCCATGTATATAGGATTTGTTCATAAGTTAACGTAACTGGCCTCAGCACCACAAATCATAATACTACTCAGTTTCACTTCATCCAGATGAATCTTCCAAAGGACATCTCATTTTTGTCTCAAGTCAGCCACTTCAATTCTCACTGTATCCAGGACGCGAACATGGGAACAAGACTACAAGAATTAAAAATAATGTGACCCAAAATACCATGTCTATTATAATTTGCAATAATGCCCATTGAAGTGGTAATTTTCTTTGTTTGAATGGAACCTTTTGAGCTTTCTTTTGGACTATATCTATATGAGTAATAAATACAACCTAACCACCACACCCCCTTTCTTTAGATCCAGGGATGGGGGTCATGAATTTCACAATTTTGGAAAAGGATGATTTTTTAAAAGAATTTACACATTTTCACTATTTGATCAATAGCATCCCACCCCTTCCCAGAATTCTTGACCTTTGGACCATAAATTTCAGTTCTGTTTGGAGGATGAGTGCTGAATTGTTTTTGACAATCTTGCCATCAGTTTGCGCAAGTCAAGGAGCAAAGAATATTTTTGAAGAATGAAAAGATTTTGAAGGTTTTAGACCAACCTCCCAGTCTTGCAGGGAAGGGGTACCATGAAATTCAAAATTTGTGTTCATCTTCACCTATAAATGCTACATACTGTATAAGCAGGAATTTAGCGAGGATTCAATTTTGACATTTTTAGCCAGGGTGTTGAGATAGCTCAAATTAAATATTGCTAACAATTTATGCCACATAAGAGATAACTGTTTTATTACTTTACACCACAAAATCACTAAAAATACTTCTCGCAAAAAAAGAATTACTGAATTTTAAGGACAAATCGCTAAATTTGCATCTCACTAAAAATTCCACTTCTACAGTATTAAAAAATGGTTCAGCAGAATCTGAGAAAAAGTTGAAAATGTTCAAAAATACCTACTGTAAAATCACATATTTTCATGGGGTCAAATTTTCGTGGTTTGAGGAAAAAATTTTGTTTCGTTGGGATTTGATTTCGTAGATAAAGAACTTTTTAGAAGTTGTGCATATCTAAATTTACATTTCGTGGTGGGCATTTATTTGTGGGTCTGCTCATACCTCGAAAACAACAAATATAAAACCCCTACGAAAATAAGTGATTTCACAGTAATAGACATACCGTAATTTCGGGATTATAGGTCGATGGGGTATATAGGTCGAAAGGCTCATTTTCAGCCTTAATTTTTGAAAAATCCTAAGATAGGTCGAACTTACTACATGTGTATATAGGACGAGGCTTTGTTTCCCGTTTTCTAAAGATTCTTACGCAGATACAATGTATCGGAACAGGTAAACCCCTAAAATTACTGGGGTTATTCCGTGACATGAACGTATCAAGAAAATAAACAGGTATTTTAATGAGTACAGCATTTAAATAAAGTTTTTAAAAAAAATGTTGTTAAAACTTCTTTGAATTGTGTTACTACTTATTTTTCTCCAACTTGCCTGTTCAATGCCTCCGTTGTTTCACACTGTTGTTAAATCAGAGGCATAAATAACACGTAAATATGTTATTATTTTACAGCTATAACTCGGGAAATACTTGAGACCAAAGAATAGTAATTCTGATTTCAGAACAACTTGGACACATTCCTAATAAATTTTATTCAGACATTATCTATTGATGGACGACAATTACTTCGATGTCTGCCATTTTTATTTTTCTTCTCCAGGGATTTGCTAAAACACGCAAATGACCATTGAATGTATATATCAAGCAACAGCAAAGAATTGAAATCATATTAAAAATCTATAAGTTTAATCTATAAATTTAATTGAGAGTACATTCCCAATTTGACTGTCAACATGAATTTCACGGCTTTGTTTGTTCAATGATGTGTAACACTAATATCCTATAACGGCACGTGGGTTTCTTAATCATGCCCCGCAGGCATTTAAACTGACACAGGTGTTAACCTTTGAGTACACAGTGTAAATCCCTTTATCTGTCAGACAATTAAAATTCTGTTAGAAGCCAATCTTTGTATGCCAATTTATAATAAATGAATTTATAACTTCCAAAAACGTATGGGAGTACCGGTATATTCAAGGTAAGTTCGTTTGACCGGTATTATAATTAATTAAAATAAAAAAAAAGAACAGTTATGTCTCGTTTTTTTTCTTTCTTTTTTTGTAATTAAATTTAGGAATTGAATGGCAACAAATTATTTCATTCATTTTACATTTAATAAACATAAGACAATAAAGAATATTTAATATACTATTTCAGTTTATCGCTACTAATAAATGGTAAAAACACTACAGTTGTGATTGTGAAAAATTTCCATATTTTAAATGTTGATACGGTTGCGGTTTTACTTTTAGTACACGATCACGACTTCCTAACTTCACAAGATGGATACTGCATGATGTTAATGGATAATACATTGAGGAATTATTTCATAGATGAAGCAATGTTGTTTTCCTTTGTCATCAACGGATATTTAATGGAATTTATTTTGTAAGAAAGCTATAGAATAAATATTTTATTGTTTACCGGGGCATTAATTTTTTTGTGAAAAATAATCAAAAAAGTTACGAAAGTGGCACAAATTTGCTTTGAAATTGACGTAAATTTTACTGATTTGGGGTCATTTTTCGTAAACTTGAGCCTTAAATAGGTCAAATTCTGAATATTGGTCAACCCCAGCGGATCCAAGAAAAAAAGTATCGACCTATATTCCGTAAATTACGGTACATTAACCCTTGGGGATCATGATTTGGACACACATGAATCTGCACTTCCTGAGGATGCTCCATATGAGCAATAAGCAACTGTTACTACCTGTTTTCTATCTGATTACTTACATCAAACAATGGTGGTGTTTTGGTGTGCTGGTGAAATCCTCTCTCTCTACATTGTCCAATCTCTGGAAGGCCTCGATCAGATGTCAGAGTAAATATCCCAGTCCTGTCCAAATATAATAAGATTTCAAATGCTTCCCCAAGAAAAACTTTACAATGTGTAGTTAAACCTTGTTAAGTCAAATTTGCTGGGACCAAGAAAATGCTTTGAAATATCCAAGGTTTCAAGATATCCAGGGTTAAAATACTTGAAAATAAGTAGTTGGAACTCCAAAACAACTTCTACCTATCCCTGGTATTCAATATATCAGTGTTTCAGACACCAAAGTTCAAATGTATGATAATCCGAGAATAAAATCGAGTTAAAGAAAAGGAAACTTATTCACCCAGTGAAAATTACTTACTCATTATACTTTGGTGCACATACAATGGCTATGGCCTCTGGTAACATAGCCTGGTACCCATACTGATTATGCATGTCAACACTAGACAGGAAGGCAGTCTGGGTTGGATGTGTCTACGAAATCAAGCATGATCTACATTTATATGATTTAAGATGACAATGAAAATCACGAAATCTCAATTTTTAATAGATTATATGTGTAAATTAAAACTAAGTGATTTGAATCATTCTCCTGCAAATCCTGATTGCTGGGAGTGTCGCAGACAGAAAACCCTTTATCTGTGACAATAAGTGATTTGATGAATACACCTACATGGATCCACCCCAAAGTGATGAGATCCCTCGGATCTTGGTACATAAATAAGTCCTCCTCATCCTCTGCTACACATGTGTCAGTAGTTCCTGTCTGTTTAGGGACCAGAACATGTGTTATGTGGAAACTGTTATGTACCTACAGAAAAAAAACCTCTTGGCATTCAGACTGTCATGAAAGATAAAGAATTAACAGGTAAACAGCACAAGAAATTTGTAATTTTGATCTACAGATAATCATAAATTAAATGTTATTCCAGCTTTAAAAGCTAAAATTAACTGTTTTATCATGTAACAAAATGCTGGAAAAAAAAAGTAATTCTGCAGTAACACTGCTCCTCAACACATTTGAACTTTAAGAGTACAGGCATTTCAGGATATAGGCTATGCTAACCAACTTTCCAGCAAGAATACCACAGGTTTCAATATTTCTTAAGGTGTTGTGCTCTGCAAGCACCATGAACTTTCTCATCAGATCTGACGGGACAACAACTTCCCGAAGGCCCGAGAAGCCAGTACTGGTAAAGTGGTCAGGTTTGGTGCTTCTGTCAATGTCTGGAACACCATTTCTAAAAAAACAAACATTGTTAATGTGTGAATAAAAAGTAGGAGTATTCTACAAATTCAGAAAGTCTTGTTTTTAGTAAGATTCAGGAAATATCAATCATAAGAGCTAAGCATTTGATAATCTGACAGACTTCTGTCTCCAACTGAAACATACATGGTTGGGGTGGAGTAATCAGAGATGACTAGGTTTTTCTTCAGCTCTCTATCAGGAATACTTGGGTACTGAGAATCTTTAATCAGATTTTTCTCCACTGGTCTCTCCCCAAAGTCATTGTGAATATAAGTCAGACTCCCCGCCGTGGCTGATGGGCGCTGGTTATTCAACCCTTCCTTGCTGTCATTTTTCGCAGTGTTCTCACTACTTTCACTGTCTTGATCAATATTTTTCAGTAGTTCTTTTTCCTTCAGTTCCTGAAGTTTGCGTTCCTGTTCATCCAGCCATTTTGATTCGGCTTCACTTTTAGCCTGTATTTGCCTGGCTTCCTCTTCCTGTCGTCTAACTTCCTCTTCCTGTCTCAATCTCTCTTGTTCTCTCTCTAACTCCTCTTGTATAATACGCTAATTTAAAGCAAAGACAACATAATTTTTTCATAATTTAAAAAGCAAGAGGCAATTTCTTTTTTTTTGGTATAAAAAACCCAGGCATATTCAAGTATTACAATAGTGTTTGTGATTTTCAGATATAAATTGAATTCTTGATATACATAAAGATTGAGTTAGGAACGACTTTACTTTACCGGTCCCCAGAAAAACGCGCTAAAATGAAGTGTCGCCGAAGGCAACTTCAGTATATAGGAGATCGCGTGAGCGATCCGAAAAAATTTCAAATACGAGGTTTTTTGGCCTTTGCGAGACTAACCCTAATCAGTCGAATACTAGTGCAAGGACTAACCCTAATCTCTCAGGTGGGTGCAAGACTAACCCTAATCAGTCGAATAGTGTGCAAATTTAACATATTTCAGTTGAGTGACGTAAATGTTACGTCATAGTCCAATGAGCACGAGGATCTTGCGGATCTGGGGACCGGTAAAGTAAAGTCTACCCTTGAGTTATTCAGAATTTTCCATTTTTATTACCTCTTCTTCTGCGCGCTTCTTTTCAATTTCTGTGTATCTCTTTTTCAAAATGGATTTCAATTCTTCGGCAATGGGAAAAACAAGCTTTACTTTCTTTAATGTAAAATGAATAATGAGTTTCAGTGTATATCACACACCAGTTGATTCTGCTGTACTTTAATCTGTGCAATGCTGATTATAAATTTATCTGTCACACAGATAAAATAAAATTCCTCCTCAGACTTACCTTCTTTATTGCTGAAACATCACCAGCAGGGGCCGAGCTATAATCAGGATGCTTGGGTAATTTTTCCACAAACAGACTAAAAATAAAACTGTTATGTTAAAAAAAATAATTAATACAAATTTGTATTTAAAAAAATTTTAACAGTAGTACTATCAGTAGCTGCAGAACTGTAGCTCTCTGCTTGAGAAAATTCGGACAGATAAAGCAGAGAGCTACAGATCCAAGCATGGTAAAGACCTTCGATTTACGCTGCCGATTATTTGTAGCTCACTACGAGTATTTTTTCTTGTATTTTATGCTTTCCCAGATTTGAAATTAATTTTAAATAGTATTTGATAATTTATTTCCTATCTAGCTTGTAACACGAGCTTTGATTGGTTACAAAGTCGGGTGTAAATATCCGTGCACCCGACTTGAGCCGGGTGTAAATAAACGTGACGTCACAATGCATACATTCTATATGATAAAAGCTAAAAATCATGTTTACAAAGCATTTTTATGGGTACAAAGTAAATAAATTCGTTATCCAGGTCCAATCAAGATTTGAAATTATACACCCTTTTAGGGTGTATGGAATAAAACCCGGGGTAAATCCCCGTACACCCTTGATTGAACCTGGATAACTAATATAATCATACATTAAACTTCAATTCCTGATAATTTACTTACCTCTAAATGCTTACAAATGGCTGTTTGTGGTTACGGACATCGAAAGGGAATTCTTTTATACCTACATTACAAAACTATATACAGGACTGTTTCAGACCGTTAAAAGGTAAATAAAGTATCAAATATAAGATTTAATATATGAATTATTATAGGATACAATTCTAAAAGCCAGAGAAAGCTTAGACTACACGAAATACATACCTAAAGTAGCGACAAAAAATTGTCAGTGTAAATCAAAGGTTTTTACAATGCTTGGATCTGTAGATGTCTGCTTTATCTGTCCAAATTTTCTCAAGCAGAGAGCTACAGTTCTGCAGCTACTGATAGTACTGTCACTACACATGCAGACATTTTCTTCATTATCAAAGTAAATCAAAAAACTTACGAAATAAACTTTGTATACAGGATAAATGCCTGCTCATAGTTTTTTTCATCCTGGTAGACCTTTGCCATCCTCAGCATTTCATGGCCAGATCTGAGGTACCTCCTAGGGGGAATCTGAGGGTCAATCTCCACCTTACAGGCATAGTTACATAATTCTCTCACCCTAGCCCCAGGGTCCCTGATGTGGGAGGTCAGGGAAACATTGGCAACTTGTGCCATGATACCTTTGAAAATTAATTTTAAAAAAACATTATTTAAACTGCATTAAAAATTGTGAAAATTACTACAGAGAGCAAAAATATGATTATCCATTCAAAATAAATTTCAGTCTTTCATGCAAATCTATCATATCAAAAAAAAAAAAAAATCAACTTCAGCTTTCAAACTACATGCAGATGCAGACTGACTCTGACTCAGTCTGAGACTGGAAGATACTCATTGATCATGAATTAATCATGCCCATAATTAGACCTGAACGTCAACATTAATGATTTCGTTATAAAAATAATCACACCTTACCGATAGGAACTAAGTAAGTTATTTACAAATAATTTGTCATCTGCAAACTTTCTTCCAACATTTTGTTTACTTCTTTTGCGTGATGCTCTATTAATGATAAATCTTTAAGTAGGACATACCACAAATGTGTCGCACAGTTGGTCGGGAAATATTTGCTCAAGTACAATAGGCCTAAATATAATTCTTGTCAACGCAGAAAAGACTGAATGCAAGAGGGGACACACAACAACCGGTCCCCATCGAAAAAAAGGAAATAAAAAGCATTAATAATTTAATATTGAATACCCCCCCCACCAAAAAAAAAAATGGAAGAAAGAAAAAAAAAGAAAGTATAAATAAGAGCAGCGCTTTTTATAAAAATATGGTATAAGTATTTTCGTGGCCGTTCCTATGTGTTTTTACTGTTATGGTTTTTTTTTAACCTACTTATCATTATTTTCAAATAGATTTATTAATTGATTCAAGTTGAAGATACATATACTGATATAGGTTCATTTATTTGAGGATAGTTAAAATTAAAGAATCGTGAATGTTCAGAGCAAATACACGGAACCTTTGAAATACCAGAGGTGGGATCAAGTGCCTGTGAGAAGTAAGAATCTCCTGTTCTAAATCTAAGTCCGTGTATTGACCAGGTCTACAAATATAGCATTTAACATGCTTAAAATAGCGAGAACCAACAAATGGTATCAAACACGTAACCTAAAAAACATATGACCAGACGATCTGTTGTATATACATGTATATAAATTTACAAAGAAGGTCATTATATAGTTTTTGTGATAAGCTAAATTTTATCAGGTTTGTTGAAATACCGATACCTAAAGCGAACAGGACGGTACTAAGAGAAAACCAAAGGGTGATAAAAGCATCAACTAATTTGTCAGTGGTACTCTTGGTACTTATGCAGAGTATACTATTGCGTATCGAATCAGTTTGGAAATGTAAACCACGGGCACTTGTTCCGGAATTTTTTTTAACCTATAGTATAATAATAACACTTGTGTTATTATTATACTCAGTATGGGTTAAAAATTTATTACCGAAACAGGTGTCTGTGATATAAAATCTATATCTGAGTGCAGGTGATGTTATAGATATAAAGGGTGGATGGGTGGGTGTGTCGACGTTTGACAATTTGAAGACATACCGTTTATAATTAGTTCGGCTATTATTACCTTTAGCCAGTAAAACATTCAAACATGAAACAGGTGTTACAAACTATTGTCTTTAAGTTCGAGTTCACCGGAGTATGTCGACATGTTACATGACACGATTATGAATGACAAAGCTACCCTCTGTTTCAATTAATTAAAGGTCGTTGATCTATCTAAATTTCGAGTTGAAAGCTAAAACAAGAGATTTCTTCTTGTCTTCTAAAGTTTTTTTTAATAATTCTTTTTCATAGAAAAATAAAAACAGGTTACCTAAAAAGGGAGTGCAATTAGTGCCCATCGGAATTCCGACATTTTTGCGGGCCTGGTCTTCAAAGACTATATTATAGAACCTTCGATCCAGCTCCTACTTTAAATATCCACAACTTTAGAGTATACTTATGTGAAGAATCAAAAAGGATCTTTAGATAAGTAATTTTATAGATGACCAGTCACAAGATATGAAAAATAGCGAGTTCAATTTTTGTTGAGGAAGCAGTCGTGTGTAAAGGGCAGAAGAGTATTCTTTGTTTTACGCTTTTGGTGTTTTGAAAATTATGGGGAAAAGGGTTTGTAATTTTTTAACACATGTTTCCACATTTTATTCACACCTATTTTTGAATATGCAGTTGCACTGAAACTTCTCCATACTGAGCCGTTAGGTTGCACATTTAATCAAATTTAAACAATATTTCATTACGAATAATCATAATAGGATTGGACAGGTTGGGATCTGATGCCCTAGGACTTTATGGTTTACGGTGAATTTAATTGGGTGGAACATTTATTGGACCCTGCATATAATACTTCCTTGTTTGTAAGGATTTGAATGCCTGTAAATAAAACTCAAAATTACTGAAAGATGAAAATTCATAATTTTCTATACGTATATCGGAAAAGTTTTCTGTTCTTGATTTCTTTCTTTGGAAAAATAACTATTGCGCTACCTACGAAAAAAAATCGAGGAGCTTTTCTGGACTATACAAGTCCAAAAACTGTTTTGAGAACCTGAGCTTGCATCCTGCTTTTCTTCTATTTTCCTCTCAAAATTTAATTTGAACATTTTGAGATTAAAATAGAAGAAAAGGAGTTAAAGAAACAAAAAAAACACGTATTCTTTTTATACATGTGAAATTGCCTGCGCAAAAATAAAATATGGGAATGAGATTTGTTGTTGTTGTGAAACATCGCTTTTGCAACACATAAACTATTATAGTTTATAATCATGATAATAACCCAGGCACTAAAACAATCAAACAACACTGCATATAGTGTCCCACCCCTTTCTTTGAATAACTCTTGATCCGCCACTCAAGATATAACGCGAAATGGAAATGTACAAGTTAATTAATTTTTATAAATTCAAGTTTAATATAATTTTTTATGTCATTTAACGGTTGATAGATGATGATTGATAAAGAGCACATTCTGATTTATTCAGGTAATGTTCTAGATTTTTTTTAAAAAGACAATCATAGGCCTAGTGCATCACGAGCATTTGGTGCGAGACTTATCCGACGGAAATTACCGATTGGCTCCAAAGAGTTTGCGAGTCCAAACGAAATTTTTCAGATTTTTAATTAGTGATTTGGAATCATCATATCTGTGGGTAGGTTGTCTTTTTTGTTACATTTACCAATAATTGTTGTTGTGATCTGCAAATTATTTTGAGACATATCATCATTAAACTGCATATGCAGGACAGAAATTGACATCTCCAGGCAAGCAGAGGGAACAGGGGAAGGGATAATAGGGAATTAAATATTTCGTGATTGAGTCACATCTTTTTTTCTGTAAGATTTTTTCTATGACAAAAGTGCAAATGCCATCCAGTCCTATTTGTACAGGGCAATTATCAATTGATAGAACTTGTGTAGTGAGATGTCTTCCTCCCAAACATATTTGCTGTGTCACAGAGTTTGTGCTCATGTGGTTATAATTATATAAAATAATAAAATGCACCTTTTCTAGTAATTCTTAGTTAACTTTTAAACTTGGTAGAAAATGTGCAGTCCCGTTGTTGTCAATTGCATCATGAAAGAGTGGCATCTACAGTACTCGCTGACTCATGCAATGATTCCACATATTGCATGAGAAATGGTATCACAATTTGATTATTTTTTTTAATGTATCAAAGTTTTTATTCAAAATGTCTTCTGTATTTTTGCAGTAATAAGTAAATTGTTGCATAAAAATTATTTTTATATATTGTCATCATTACATTTGATTTATCGCTTAACCTCAAACTAATTAGATATTGCTGCATGTATTCAACACTGACAATGTTTATAAAATACACTCTTTTCACCTTTACATTGATATTTGATGTTTAAATTGGTTAATGACATTTTTCAACATTGCTTAGCTACTGTATTACTATAAACCACTCTTACAGATTTAGATTGAAATACAAAAAATGTGTACTGCTATTGGAATTGAACTTGGTCTCAACATTTTGCCTTGAGTGATGTATTTATTTCTGTCAAGGACAGTCCTTATTTTGGCTTTTAATATGATTGACAGTTAGACCAGGAAGTTGTGATTCACATGCTGCTATTTGGGTTAGGTTGGACTGTAGCATGTGTTTGCTAAATTAGACATGTTCACATTTGTCATACGACCTATTTAGATCATATCTATTTTCACACATAGGTTAATCAGGATGAGGTGTGGTTCGCACACTCCCACAGCAAGTGATACTGATAATAACTTTAATTTGACTTAAAACTGGCAAACATTACTCTTGAGATGAATTGACTATCACTGGCATTTATTTTACGTCAGCATTTATCTTGGCCTTGACTGTCTGAGATTTAACCATATTTTTACTTGGAAATTATTAATGCCATTGTGTGTAGTTTATTTTGATTATCACGTTTTAGTAACTAAGTCAATTAGATGCATTCATTAAATATATCAAAGTTCATCCAGTCCTTAACGACTTTGTGCTACTGTTTTTGTGAGTTCCAGGTAGTTTATACATTATAACTTCATTTGTGCCATTTTGTGGCTAACCTAACATCTTCCGAATTCTATAATGCGTTGATAAATTAGGACATAACAGACCAAATACCAAAGTTTATGTTGACTTTGCCATTAACATTTACCCTACTCCTTTCTACTGTCAGACATCGTGTCCTTACACATGTATCAGAAATTCTATCAGAAGCACAGAGGGGAGAATTCTGGGGAGTAAATACCTGCAGTTGCAGCATTAATGTGCACTGTGCAGTGTATATTCTTAGGACATGTTTTTACATAACTTTGAAATGCATTGTAGTTTGAATTATAGGTTCAGGTGACAAAAAATATCCTGTGGATAATAGCTTCCCTGAGTTAAAAATAGTAACAATGAAATAGTATAAATAATCTGTCAGTATTGCATTCGTTAGTTTGTATCTGGTTAGACAGGTGACATATACCTAATGTTTACCTGTTTCTCACATGTCAATTAGGCACATGTCTACAGCGGCAACTGGTCCATTAGCATTACAGTACATAAAAGGAAATATATATAGTGTAACAACAATAAAATTACTAGAGAATACTATTTCCCACATGAAATCTATTTAGGGTATGTCAACAGTCAGAAAAATTTGCGGAAATTTGTCACAGTGTATTTTGAAGATCAATTAAGACATGCAATGGTGATGCAAAAAGTCGGGGGGATTTTTTACTCTCATATTAAACAGAAATTATTATTCTGTAGAATATAGACCAGTGGAAAAATGTTTGCATGATTTCATAATGATAAAGATTCTATTTGGAAGCACTGCCTAGAATATGTAATATGAATATGTGATGGTTTTATAATAGGATAAGGAATCTTAGTCTGTTCTTAGCTTCAACAATATTCTTTAAGGTTTTAGAACGATTTTGATGTATTGAGAAAATACCATCATGTCCCCAGTAGTGTCCTACAATCTGTTCTTGATCTTTTGTCCTAGATGTTTAGTCCTACTCCTATTATTTTCTTCCCTCCTAAAAGGATTATACTAAGCTATACCATGTGATTTTCAGTTTATTACATGTATTGGTTAAAGCCCTGTACCTTATTTCTAACAATGTAAACTTGAATGATATATTTTGCTTTGGTTCTAAGCTTGACTTCCTTGTCATGGTTTTACAATGAACAGCTAGGTGTAAACAGAGGCATCTCTGAGACTTTACAAATGAATATTGAACATATAAATTAACGTTTCTCCACAGGATACAAAGTATACTCTTGTGAGCTGCTCAGCATGTAATCTCATTAAAACAGCAGCCCTTTTTCATTCAAAAAGTAAATTACTGGCAGTGGTCCAGCATGTCTGAAGTCTACTGCTACAGAAATCATTATGTCCATCAAAACAATCTCAGTCAGCTCATATGATTTTTTTGTTAAGTTAGTTTACAAATTGTGTTTCTTCAGCATTGAATAGAACCAGTCCTGTAAGTGGGGCAGGTCATGATTATTGTAGTAGTGAGACCTTCCATCAAATGATTAATTAAAGTGATTCCAGAATGTTAATTTATTATCACATCAAAAATAAACAATTTAGAAGAAGTTTTATTAGATCAGAAATTTTTTCAACATTAAGTGTTTCTATTTTCAGTATTTTGTATAAATATTTCAAATATGATTTGATTTCTAAATGACTGCAATAGATTTAGATTTTCCTCAACTTGGCATAAAATTACTGAAGCCAGAAGTAGAACAGTATATTATAAAGCAGCACATAAAATATCAATATAGTTTATGTGCTCTCTAAAGACTGTCTGCAGTGTAGGGCAGTGTCATACTGACTATTCTATACTCAAACAGAAGTGTTACAGTGGGAGATGCTAGAATATCACTTTCCCATTTTTCAAACTGACTTTATTTTTTTTTATGTCAGATATATCCAGGAATCATACAGAATCTTTTGAATTAGCTGAATGTTGAAACTACGTATTTTGTCCTGTCGTTCACTCAAACAGCCATAGGAAATCAACGCTCGCTGGACACTGCAGCAAGGTAGGAATTATCTTCTCTTGCTTCTCTTGTATTAACTGCTGGGAAGTTGCTTCATACAATTGAAGAGATTGATTTTCCAATAACATTGTTAGCAATTCCATGCTTGATAATATTATGCATTTAAAAGAATTTGATTAGTATTTTGATATTCAAGTATGTATTCATTGCATAAAGCCTGTACATTATCAGTGAATAGACTAAATTCTGAAAGAATATATTTCTTTGAAGTTTTTTTTTACACATTAAAATAAAATGTTATTTTTGAAAATTATTGAGATAAGTGGTGAATTTAAAACAAAATAACTTTTCATCAATAATAAAGTCCTAGGAATGCTAGTGTGACCGCCACTCGGGGAGGGTAGGGGTCCACTTGGAATAAGTAGTGCACCCTATTACACACACGTGCACACCTGGCCTCAACACTTTTACACTTGTAACCAATAGACATGGTTACTGTCCTTGACATGGACTTGTCAAGGAGTAAGAATTTATAAAATGTTCTTTACATCTTTATTAAAGGAGTGATTTTACATTATTTACAATCCTGTGGCTGGGTCTGCCAGCTGCCTGCTCTAGCCCTAACTCCTAACTCTCTTACTGCTAAACTACTACTACTGAGATTATCTCTTGTTCTTTGTTTTGATAAAATATAATCTTAGCCTTAAGGTAAATTGAGTGATTATTTGATTTACTCAAGATTCTTTGACATCTGTACGATAGATTTATATGGCCAGGTAAAGTGTTAATTACTGTGACACCTATACTGTCTTCAGGGTCACAAAAGATAATTGCACAGGGGATTAACTAAATTGACTTCAAAGAATATAATTAGATAACAATGTACTAGATGTAGTATTTACAAGCCATCTGCTTAACTTAAAACTATAAGGAAATTTGAATCAATTAAATGCTACGATGAATAAAATAGAAAACTGTAGTTTAAATAAAAATATAAATATTGTAATATTTAAAAAATATAAATTATGTAAGACCCCTAACTCTTTGGTTAGTGGCTATACATAAATATTGTAATATTTAAAAAATATAAATTATGTAAGACCCCTAACTCTTTGGTTAGTGGCTATACAAGGATAGAGGATTGTCTCAAATTGAGGTGTCCATTTTCAATGGAATATATATACTGTATACAGGATTATTTTCGCCCCGTGTTATTTTCACCCTTTTACACTTGCTTACAAATTTGCCATTTTTAATTCGCCCAGTCCCAGTTCTGTTTAAGAATTTATACTGTGTTCTTTAATTTCACTTGTTTTAAATTCGCTAACCTGTGGCAAGGGCGAAAGGGGCGAAAATAAAACGGGAGCAAAAATTTCCCTTTATACAGTTATAATATTACATATTTTTCATCTTTTTCCTATTTTCATTTTTAATCTGCACAGAATGAAAAAAGAAAATGAACTATTTTTAAGTATATCTAATTTATCATGGCCAATCAAAGATATCACAAATTTCCCCTAACATCCTTTCTGTTATCTCCATCAGCATCATGTAGATTTTGTCAGGTGACTGCATGGCACCTGATCTCTCCTCTGATGTTTCATTTTTTTCCTCTTACACATTTTGTATTGTTAATGTTTTATGGACATTGATATTGAATATTATTCGATATCTCCATATCCTTCTCCATGTCAACATTCTGGGTCTTCACCTGTCCATTCATCCAATATTAGAATTTTGCAGATTGAAAATATTTTCTCTTCTATTGGCTTATTCAGGCTCATTCTTCACTCTCACACTATCCTTCCAATTTAGTAACATTAAAGCAAAAAGCAATAAAACTATGACATATGGTAAGTTTTGATCTTCAGAAAAAGATTATTACTTTTCCCAGTGTACTTTTAGGTTACTTAGACTGTTGCTTATTGTAGACTTTGCCAGACATATTTTTTAATTTCTCAGCAACCTTTCATTGGTGTCCTTTTGTTGAAAGTGAATGATTGGTTAGAATGGCCAGGAATGGTTTATTGAATGGCTTTTCCGTAAAAGTATTTGATACTAAAAAACAAAAAATGGGCAGTTCATTGAGAATAAGTCCAATGGTATGAGATATAAAAGAAATACCTTATTAGCATATTTCTTAAAGACAATTATTATAAATTCAAAATTTATTTACTAGATATTTTATGGAAAAGTGTACAATAAATAAAAGTGTTAACATGAAACTTGCACATTGCTCATTAGATAATGAATATAAGGAAATTAATCAATAACTCTTAATTATTACTGCAAATTTTCTAATTTCAATATATAAAAAGTTTTTTTAATGTGTTTTGTTTGTTTGGAATTAACATAAAGATAACACCAATATGACACTTTTCAGAATGAAAGAACTGCTTAGTTTTCTCTCCAAAGAATCAGAAATGTCTTTAGTGTCAGATTAGGCCTGGGTTGTCCTGTCGGTTATAGAGTTAAATGGTCCATCAGTCAGCCAGGAATTTGTTGTAGAACTACCGATACATTCTGTTTTAAAGCTGCGTTGTGTACTGATGTGTCATTCAGTGGTATGTTGTGCATCACTCCTGGCCCCTGTACCGATTTGTCTAATCCTCAGAGGAAAACACAAATATCCCAATTCTGATATCTACAAGAAAATGACATACAATGATGATTAGATTAAGTTCCTTTTGACATTATAGATGATGCCTTGATTTGAATGTCAACGTCACTTATTGTTGATGTAGGATTACCATCTGTAATGTAATGTAGGATTACCATCTGTAATGTTATGTAGGATCACTGCCTGAAATGTAATGTAGGATCACTACTTGTAATGTAATGTAGGATTACCCCATGTAAGGTTGTGTAGGATCACAAACTGAAATGTAATGTAGGATCACCACCTCTTCTTTTATGTAGGATCACCAGATGCAATATAATGTAGGATCGCTACTTGTAGTGTAATGTAGGATCACCCCTGTATGGTTATGTAGGATAACAATTTGTATTGTTATACAGAATCCCTTCCTGTAATGTTCTGTTGGATCACCATCTGTAATGTAATGTAGGATCACCATCTGTAATATAATGTAGGATTACCCCATGTAATGTAATGTAGGATCACCACCTGTAATGTAATGTAGAATCACTACTTGTAATGTAGGATCACCATCTGTAATGTTCTGTTGGATCACCATCTGTAATGTAATGTAGGATCACCATCTGTAATATGATGTAGGATTACCCCTTGTAATGTAATGTAGGATCACCACCTGTAATGTAATGTAGAATCACTACTTGTAATGTAGGATCACCATCTGTAATTCTGTTGGATCACCATCTGTAATGTAATGCAGGATCACTGCCTGAAATGTAATGTAGGATCACTACTTGTAATGTAATGTAGGATTACCCCATGTAAGGTTGTGTAGGATCACAAACTGAAATGTAATGTAAGATCACCACCTCTTCTTTTATGTGGGATCACCACATGCAATGTAATGTAGAATCACTACTTGTAGTGTAATGTAGGATCACCATCTGTATTGTTATACAGAATCCCTTCCTGTAATGTTATGTTGGATCACCATCTGTAATGTAATGTAGGATCACTGCATGTAATTTAATGTAGGATCACTACTTGTAATGTAATGTTGGATTACTCCCTGTTAGGTTATGTAGGATCACCCGCTGTAATAGTGATGGAACGATTGTAATCGATTGTAATGCTACTAATCGATTATAAAATAAATGTCGCCGACATCGCTAACAAAAATTAAAATTATCATACTTTAATTTTATTACCAAATCCAAGTGCAAAGAGCATAAAAGAAGTGATGAATGTTGAAAACATGGAAGGATTCTGTGTCTTGTTGATACTTTTACCGCCATGATTAAATATGGGGTCAGACTAAAAGTAGGAAACGGTGATATTGCAAGGTTTAACTATACAATGGAAAACGGTAAATAGTCTAGTCAATCTTTAAACGTAATTATAATCAGAAATACATGTCTTACTGAACTGGAAAACTTGCAATTTTAACTAATTAAAACTAATTTAAAGAAATACATACATGTATGAAATGAACGGTGGGACTAATATCAGTAAAATACCCATTGCATGGACTTTATAAAAAATAAATTCCCATTCTGTTTTTAATAGTCCTTTTTTTTTAAGTAAACAAAATATTATTTTCCACTTTTTAAAAAAAAAATCTTAACATTTTTGAATATTCTATGTAAGTAAATTTTTTATTTTGTAAAAGTCTGACAGAAATCTGAACAAGTTTTAACTTTTCTATATTAATTTCATTAAAGTTCAAAATTTCGATTATAATCGATTATTAATCGATTATGCCCAGCCGATTATTACCGATAATCGATTCTGATTTTTTTCCGATTCCCCATCACTACACTGTAATGTTCTGTAGGATCACCATCTGTAATGTAATGTAGGATCACCGTCTGTAATATTATGTAGGATCACCACTTATAATGATAAGTAGAGTTGTCACCTTTACTGTTATGAAGGATCATCTCCTGTAATGTTATGTAGTGTCACCACATGTAATATTAAGAAGGATTACTACTTTTAATGTGATGTAGGATCATAATCTATGATGTTATGTAACATCAACAGCTGTTATGTTTTATATATGCTTATTAACCTTATTTCCTATAATTATATATAGGACCATTACTCATTGTACAGTAAAATTAAGTCATAATTAAGTCAATGAGACCTTGAATTTTGCTTCCTCATAACTAAGATTCTTTATATCTGTATAAGAAAAACATTGAAAAGTTGCCACAAGCAAGAGGATTGAATAAATAATTGTTACCAGGATTTTATAAAGGTGATTCTTATAAGAAATTTCTATGTCCTTTGTAATTGAGTCTTATTTTACTTAGTAATGACTTGTCATCTTTGTCTATGCAGCACTTTGAAGTTTTTTTCTTATTGATTTATATGTATACTTGATTTAATTAGACCTGACCAAAAAAAAGAAATTCTTGAGAAGTTGTCCAACTTCAGATGCAGAAGATCAGGAAGTGAATCATAACATAAGTTTACATCATTGATTACTGTAAACCAACTTTTATTCGCGTGCGAGAAATTTTCACGAATTTGCGAGAGCCTCGTAATCGCGAATATATCTTGCTGCCAGCCGGTCCTTAAAGTCTCTGTGTCTATTAACTACAGATAAAAAAAAGCTTAATCATGAAAATTAATCGTCGCAAAGTAGTTTACCCCTGGTAAATCGCGAAATAAAGTCGTCGCAAATAAAAAAGTTGGTTTACAGTATTTGTGAGTTGTGCTGACATTTAGTTGGTGACTACAAGGATTTAGTACTTCAAAACATTCTGCATTTTTTCTAATGAATGCTGCCAGTGTGTTTGGCACATTCTCATTCAAAGGGCCTTTAGAACACAAACTGAAATAGAGTGGCCTGGTGCTAAGATTATAGACTTCTATTGTTACTTGATCTACAGAGTTATTCAAGCAAGTCCAAAATAATATTTAGGTAATCTGGATTTCATAACATGCATTTAAACTTGGCAATTTAATTCATAGTCAGTGAAATATACTGATAACTTCATTCTTAGGAAGTTTTTAAATCATAAGAAAGATAAAATTCTCAGTTGTACCAACTGTTTTTAAAGCCAGAAGCTTTTAACTCCATTTATGTGTTTTGGAGCTTATCTCTGGATCTCTGAGAGACACGTTGTAGAATGTTAAAGTGTTCAGGACTTCGTCTGACAGAGAGTGTGACCTTGACGGATGTAAATAAACACCAGCCCCTCTGACCAGATAATGGCTTAAACATCCAAATATTATTGTGCCAGTGGAAAACCCCTTACTGCTGTAGCGGTTTTGGAATTCTTTTCTTTTTTGAGAAACATTTCTCTCCACTCTGTAGGAAAATTCTGGGAAATCTCCTGTCTTATCGTAACAAACCAGGTAAACATTCTTTTTCATTCATAAAGTTTCCTCTGGAGATCTGTTTTAAGATTAAGGAATCATCTGCATCCTACTGTCATGTTTGTTTATTTTTACTTCTTATCATTAAAGCGTCCAACAGAAAGGAGTGCAGGGATTGCAGCAGTTATGTTTTTGTAGGAATTCGGTTAGGGAAAAAGATGATGCATGAGATAACTGTTTTGATAATATTTCTTCCTTTATTTTTTTTTTACCTCCTTATTGTCACTGATTTTGGCATCAAGAATTGTCTGGAGGGATGTAAATCTACACGAACAGAAAAGTGGGTGTATATTAAATCAGAATTCCTAACTGGTGGTTCAATACCAGAATGGCAGCTCGGAGATAAAGTCCTGCAGATTTATATAAAAGTTATAGATTTTATGCCAGTATTGAGATCACAGAAGGTTGAAAATCAGAAAAATTGTAAAAATAAAGGGACAGATGGTTTCTTTTAGGGAGAAAATGAAAAGTATTTGTTGAATTCTTATTCTTCTCTTCTCAAAAGTAGGTAGCTTTGATACTTTAAAATTTTATGAAAGAATTGAATTTTAAAGTATTGTTTCTAAGAAAAGAAGATTGAGAGTATAGCGTATATATAGGCCAATAAATCAGTAACCTCCAATAGAAGTCATTTTCACAGGTTTGTCTCGTCATTCATTCTCATATCGTGACATAAGTAAACCTGTACAGAGTAATTTGTACAGGCTTACTGAGAACAGTTGATGGATGGTCTCAGTAAATCCTGTGAGTGCTTACTGTGACAGAATAGAAGGGGCACCTGCTAATGTGTACTGTTCTGTTTGTAGGATGCAGTACCAGTAGAGACTGAGGGGGGACGAAATGAGAGTTAATGTCAAGGAAGGATCCAGAGACCTGTATTCCACACAAGGCATTCATACAGCAGTAAGTGAAAATCGGTTTACATTTAAATTATATAAAAAAAGATTATATGCATGGGATGTTGGTAATATAATACTTATAATGCGATCTGCATTTTTATGCAATGTTGTAAAAATCAAGGTTCAATTACTAAATGAGGGAAAAAAATCCATAATGCTTATAATTAAGTTTATAGATATGGACTGGTCATTAATAATTACAAAAAAATTACAATCAAAATAGTTAAATATTTCAATTTGACACTAAGGAGGAAATTGTTTTAAATTGCCATTTGGTGATTAATTGATGAAATTAGATTTTTTTGACTGACTATAAAAAACAATTCAGAAAAAAATTGATTTTTAAAAGTGCAAGTGCCTTTGTACATGCTCTAAATCTTATGATAACCATTTAAAATATTTCAGTGTTATGCACATTCTATAATCACTAAGGAACTGACAGTGTATAGATCTCACCCAAAATATATTTACTTGGTAGTTATGGCAGGAAAATATCTGATGGGAAAACCATGTCAGCTGTAGAGTAGGCAGAGCTCTCCTATATTTCTTTGTATTATTTTTTTTTTTCGTCTTCAAGTGTCAGAGAAAAGTGAAAAAAAAAACACGTTCAGGCATATTTTCACTTAAAATTAGAATTTTTCTGCACTTCTAAGTTTTGTTGATGTCAAAAGCTTGAAGTGTTGTATGAGCTGAAATACCTGTAATTTGTTTACCTTTTTGAAATGCTTCTTAGAACATCCAGTACTCTTAAGTATAAATTCCATAGTTTTGTGTCTCTGTGAATTTAGTGCTGGTTTTTATAGATGAAGCAAAATCCCCACTTGGTGTGAATGAACTATAAACCATGTGAAGTGAAGGCTATGACTGCTATGCGAGTTGTACTTTAGTGTCATTGGCTACTTATGTAAGAAAAAACAGTAGTGATGATAGGGGAAATGCTGAATTAGCATAGTAGATTTATTTATCAGTGTTAGGGATATTTAAAAATTGTTATTGACAAAAAATTTCAATAGTTATATAAAAGACCTGCAATGACAATTAGCAAAAACAATTTTGAAAGCTATGTCCGTGTTTTGATAATAAAAATAATTGTTTAATTGGAATATGTTGTCCTGATCTACATAAACATTGTTTTATGCTATGTTGGTTATCAGTAGACCGTAGCTAAAATTAGGAACATTACTTAAACTGCTAGATAACTTGGTCAGGTTTTATCGTTTATTTTGGGATTTGTCATCAAATGGCTTGTCAGAAATATTCTCTGCTTTAACATTTTGCTACTTTTGACTTTTTTTTCAGTCAAAAACTGGAAATTCAACCATGTCATCAGTGGACAAGATGAAAAAATTATTAAGTCCTGGCACGAGGAAAAAAGGACTGGGGAATATGAACAAGACATTTGGTGTGCCTCTGGAGGAACTGATGACTAGGTCCCCTTCAGGAGGGACAGTGCCGTACATAGTCAGCAAAATCTGCGAACACATTCGAGATAAAGGTTTGTAACAACATAGACTAAACAAATAGGTAGAACAGAGATATCTGGAGTGCTGCATGTTCCGTAGATCAATATATTTCACATTGTCATCAAATCTCGTGCTTAATAGGTTTATGGCAGTCAGACAGAAAAGTACAAAGTCATAAAGGTACAAAATCTTGAACTATATCCTAATCTTGTTTATATTAGAGTATACTGTTCTCAACATTTGGTGCAAATAATTTTACTTTACTTAGTTTGGTGCAATAATGTTTATAAGAAGTATAAACGAGTTTGAAAATACATGTAATGTGTTTTATGAATAAGTGACTATGGAGACATGTTTCAGTAAAATAAACTACATGTATATGTTTACTTATATGAAAGAAATTAAGACGATACTTGATTTTAGGCTCTCCTCAATGAAGTTGAGGGGAGCTTATGTTATACTATCAGCATCAGTGTCCTAGATTTAAGTTTTTGGAACATATTTCTTTTCAAGTACATGTACTGTAGATCCTGTGTTAATCAGAGGTGCATGAAAGATGCTTTTAGTGTGTTTCATTTATAAGCGAGACATTAATTTTCACTAATTGTTGTTATTCCTCTATATAATCGTAAGGAATACATTATATACGTGTGCCCAATTAAATTTTCGTGAGCTCATTTCTTTCAAAATTGATTACAAACCCTAAAAAGTGATTTACAGTACTTCTTTTGTCCTATATTAATCAGAGATACATGAAAGATGCTTCTAGTGTGTTTCATTGTACAAGTCAAGGTTTTATATGCTGTGCACACTACCAGATTTGCTATAGATGTTGGATCTTTCCTCTGACCTACATTTTCAAGATGTGTGCCAAAGTTAGAGTTTTCAGAGCTGTTTCTTTCAAAATTGATTACAAGCCCTATGCTAATCAACTTTGCACTAAAAAATACATTTATTGATGCACACTATTAGAGTTGCTTTAGAAGTGTGATTCGACCTACATTTTCCAGGTGAGTGAACAGGTTAAAGTTTCAAGAGAAGGTCCATGACCAAGAAACTATGAGACCTACTTGAACCAAACTTGCATGGATGATGCAAAATTTTGCCAAATTAATAATTTTCTTTGAAATTGTCTGTGTAAAAATACCTTAGCACATTCTTTTCAAAAAGTTTAAAATAATATTCGATATAAAGTTAATTAAAAAGTTATATGAATAATTAAACTTGGTCTTAAGTCATAATTCCTTTTGTAAAAGGGACCCCTGGATTTGACTTACACATCATATAATTTTCTGGAAATATGACTACTTAACTGTTTTGAGATTAGTCTATCTCCAAACAATATTTGTTGAGGTGAACTCTGTTATCTCTGATTACATGTTTTCTTTAATGATGCACTTTAGGATTTGAAGCAGAGGGAATTTTCCGCATTAATGGCAGCACAAGAATTGTGGAGAAGTACCGTACCAGTTTTGACATGCGAGGGGATGCAGACTTTTATGAAGAGGAAGATTTGATGGCAGTGGCAAGTCTACTCAAGTTATTTCTACGAGAAATTCCAGGCTCTTTGATTCCAGAGAATAAGACTCAGAGATTCATAGCCATTCAAGAAGGTATTTAAAAGACATGGATAAAATTACAAAAAATCAAACTGCTGAAAAGGAAAAAAAAAATGCATTTTTTGTTTTTGTATAGTTGTTTCTTTGGGGCTGATACCTTTGATTTCAAATTCAATCTATTGGGGCCTAATTTCTTCACTTATCTCATTAATCTGAATCAAAATGTTCAGGGAACATCTGGATTGGATTATGAGTTTTCATTTTAGGATAAAAGGGAATTTTTATGTTCTGAAATAATCATTAATGATAAATGTTGCAGACAAAAGTCACACCACCAAACCTCATAATATGTATTAATATAAAAATGTAGACATTCATTCATTCTAGGCAGACAATAAGTAATTTATGACAATAGAGCTTAATGCAATTTACAAGATGCAACAAAATTATTAGATATGAGTAATATGATTTGATTATTTTCACAGAGCATCAAAATGACCCAGCTGGTTTTATATCTGCCCTGAAGGCAGAACTCTCGGAGCTGGACGAGGTACGATATAATCTGCTGAGGTACCTGATCCGTTTCCTAGTGGTTGTGTCACAGTTTGAACGAACCAATAAAATGAGTCCCATGTCTTTAGCCATTGTCTTTGGACCAAACCTCTTCAGGTAATTCCGTTTTCTTTGAAATTAAAGAGAAAACTTTTCAAATAATGAAATACTGGTATACAATTCTTAGTGCAATGTTTGTTTATTATGATGTATTTTCTATTAAGTGTGTATTTTTACTGTGAGTTGTCCTACTGGCAATTCTTAATAAGATTCCTATTATAGTTACATTGAGTTAATTATAGCCTACTTTTTGTGATGTAATGTTGGCTTTTTTCACTGGTAATCACAGTAATTAGTGTGTAATTTTACTGTCTCTATATTAATGTCTCTGATAATGCTCTTATTTATTACATCAGATGTGGTCAGGGAATCGTGGGATTGAAAGATCAAGGGAAGATAAATCAGATTGTCTACAAATTCATCACACTGTACGATTCCCTGTTCAGAGAGGAGAATGAAATCTCTCCTTACAATGAGTGGGTAAGTGCTGTATTGTTATTGAAGGATACATATGAGTTAAAAAAGTAAAAGATTATTTTACATGCTGTGAAATCACAAATTTTTGTGGGGGTAAATTTTCGTTGTTTTTGAGGCATGAAGAGACCCATGAATTCATGTGTAAAATGTTACATACACAACTACTCAACAATTCTTCATCCACGAAATCAAATCCTCATGAACTAAGAGTTTTTCCTCAAAACACAAAAAGTTGACCCACGAAAATATGTGACTTTACAGTAATATAGATGGAAAGGTGTTTTTCAATATAATATTTTTATTTTAGATTAAACAGAAACAGAAAGGCCCACCCAGACCTCCCCCTCCCAAACTTCAAGTAGAGGAGTACAAACCAGTCCCAAAGCCAAGGAACACTGTAAGTCTGACCCAAGGTCAATCAGGTCATTGTGTCAGAGGTCAATGTACAAGGTCACAATAAAAGACACTGAAACTAGCCTGATGCACCATGCAGAATAAGGTAGGCACTCTAAGTCCTTGGTCATCAGGTCTGTTAATATTTGTTGATACACTGTACTTTATAGCCATCATTTTCTAATGTTACTCTGTCTGTGTGTCTGTAGGGAAGACTGGACGCCTATGACAGTGCCCACTACCAAGAGATGGATGACTTTGACCACAGTGAGGAATCGTCCAGTAACACCCAGGGGCGGAGTCACAGTCCACGCTGTAGTGATGATGAAATCCCAGGCAGAGCCTCACCATTTATGCTTGACAGGTAAGACTAAACAACTAAGATATAGTTTTCTCTCATATGTTTAATTTTCTGATGTGTGGTTAAGTCATTCCAGAAGTTGTGCAATGTTTAATACATCAAGTGTTTCTTAAATTGTTTATGCAATAACCAATGAAATCGTTTGAATTCTTCTGTTGAGAACAAATGATTTGCTTTGTTAACATTGATGCACAAATTATTTCTTGTTACGTGGAGCTCTTTTGTTTACACCTGGTTTATGTTTAGAACTGTAGACATGGTATAGAAGCTTTTAGCGCATTAAACAGGTGGTTTGTTTTTCTTTCAGTGACGGAGGCTACAGCATCATAGAATCTCCATTACCATCAGCAAGAACGTCAGAGTAAGTCAAAATACCCTCACTGTATACAGGACCTGCCAAACCCTGACAGGATTGGTTTTGAACATGATAAAGAAACTTACGAACAAAATCTATTTAAACTCTTCTATTTAATTTAACCAGTCCAACTTTACTTTTTTCCTAGAATTCTTTTGAAGATTGTATTAAAATATCATAAACACAGGAAGGTATAAATGTATGGTATCTGTTTTACAGAGTTGTAGAGAACATTATAGCCAAGTCTATAAAAGAGCACCTGTTTGGAGATGACATCAGTATGTGTGAGACCTTCGTTGAGGAGGAGGAGAGGTAAGGACAATACTATGAAAATATCTATATACTGTATCTATTGTAGTTTAAAGTAAAAGTTGATGTTGTTATTTATTGAATCTTGATTAAACTTTTGAAATGGATTTTTTTATAGCATTCATTTTCACAAAAAATTGAATTTATTCAGTAAAGAAAATTTGGAGAACACAATACCAGTGAAGGACCGTATTAAGCAGTTTGAGTGTGGGACAGATACCTCTGAAGCACAGAAATTCTCCAAGTCTGCGAGACAGTCTCCTCCAGGGCCAGAATCCATGGACAACTCCCTGTCAAAGGTCAGTACTTGTAGATAGGCTGTTTATAGTTTTCTTCTTTTATGTATTGGCTATTTATTTTGTCTTGTGAATAGTTTATATTTTGTATTTTGATTTTTATAGGAACAACAGAATATGAAGATGAATGGATACAAACATGAAGCAGATATAACCAGGTTAGTCTCTGAAGTAGATTTAAATCATTCTGTAAGTTCAGATACATGTATATTAGTTTTCTTGACAGTTTTAAAACAAAAGTTGAACAGCTGTTAATTGGTACATATATTCTGTATTTAGTACAAAAGAAAATGACTTCAGTGGTGTACACAGAGAGGATGACTTTGAAAGTGTGAAGAGAAATTCTGGAACCTTATCATCAGTAAGTAGAACATTTCTTTACAGTGTTTTTATGAAAAATGTTTTGCATAGTTTTGAATCATACAATTAATTTGCCATCAGGTATTAATACTCTATTGTTAATAATACAAAATAATTTGCTTTCTATCCTAACATCAGTTCAAGAAGCCTGCTGGTCCTAGAAATCGCCGTTCTCCGAGTAGACTGTCTCGTGGTAATTCTTTAGAAGAGAAAGATGGCATCCCAGATGGTAACCACCAGTCTAGGAATGATAACGCCTCCATAGAACTGGAGACCTCTTCCCTTCCCGAGAGCAGACCCAGTCAGAAGGAGCCTGTACCCAAACCCCGCGTGGCCTTCCTAGAACTTACCAACCACACAGAGAACAAAAGTTCTCCTGATGCCTCACCCAACAATGCCAGGAAGCCGTTTATTCCTCCACTAGATCTGTCTACACTTCACGAACATGTCGAAAGCTCGGGTCTGTACTTCTCATCAAACTCTTATCGAATCATGAAAATGATTCCTGTTAAACTGTTCCATTGGATTGAATCAGAAGAAAAGTGAAAGTAATTGTAACTTTGTTGTTTACAGATCCAATCCCAGCAGACAAAGGACAGTCTGTCTCTTACCAGTTAGCCAAGTCCCACATTAACGGGGGAGGTACTTCTGATGTCGTCATCTCTCCTCGCAGTAACAAACTCATCAAAAGGAAATCCAAGTAAGGGAGTTAACTCTGAGTAGACAGCATGGGATGATAGCAAAATAACAAAATTAGGTTATCATCTAAAAGCAAGTTGTTACAGGCTTAGTGCATCTTTATGAAGAAGCAGTTGTCTTTCAGATTAAGAATTTTGATATCAGCTAGAGTGGTATCTATATAGTTACTGTAGTTACTGTATGAAAAAATAAGCTTAATTTTTTTTCTCTGAAAAGAAAGTACTGAATGACATGTACATGTTTATATTGATTATGTTTTACATGTTAACATGGTATTAATTTATATAAAATCCCTATTATTAATTGTTTATAGCTGTGCTAATTATGGAATATTAGGCAAACTGTTCCTGGTCTTAGTCTACATTCATATTAGATCAATAGATTAATTTAGTGACCTTAAATTCCTTTTCTAGTGGGGATGATCTAGAAGCTCCCCCCTCTCCCAGTGCCTATCAGAGCAGTCCCCCGGCCAGGTGATATGGCACTCTACACCATGTACACTCTCACTCTTAACAGATTTCCTGCTTAATGTAGAGAAAGGGAAAAAAATAGCACAATTAGTTAACTTTTACTAATTTATTATTAATTTTCCTTGAAAGAACTCTATGTATTGGAATACAATGTATATATCTGAGCACACTATTTAAGTAATTACAAGACATATTTTGAATTTATGTTTTAAAAAGTAGTAGATTATTGTTAGTTAAATAATGTGTTTTTTCTTATAATTGACCATCAAGCAAAAACTTTGAAAGGAAAATGTGTCATTTGAGTATTTAAAAAGAATGACACAATCAATCAAACTATTTGTAAAATACCCCATTGTTCAAACTTATTGTATTGAAAGAAAGGCAGTTTTTATGCACAAAGATAAATGTGTTGTTTCATAAATCTGAATGCAATCATAGACATATACTTTTCTATAAACTTTGCATAAACATGAGTGCATTGTATTCCTAGTACAAAGGGTTTTTAATAATATTTTTTATTTGATTTTTTTTTTCTGTTTCAAAATTTGCAAATTAGCTGTTAGTTACACACATGTATCTCACACGAGCTTTTTTCATCATTTAACATTCTTGCACTCATGGCTTGAATTTCTTAACATTGTTTAGTTAACTGCTCTTCCCATAAGGTTTCTTTTTCAACTTACCAGAAAACTTTCTTCTCTGTAGTATTTCTTTTGCAACCTTACTTTATAAAGAAAGTATTACTTCTGGCTTAGTTTGTATTTCTTGTGTTGAATAAGTTATTTCTTTGTGATTCGAACTCTTGGAAGGTTTAGTTTGTGTGAAAAATACATTACAAATATTGCCTGTTCTTCTTTTTTTTTTTAAGTAAAACATTTTTGAGATTTGACACTTGCTACAATTCTTTCTCTCCTATCAAACAACAGTAACTTAATTTGTGAAGGATGGTGTACTTTTCTGTAAATTTGAATTTGAACCATTAAATTAAACTAAGATTTTGATGTTTTGCAGTGTGCCAATGAATACTGATGTAGCACCATCTCCACCCATCAATCAAGATCATTATAAACACAGGTAGGCTACACTGTAACATGATGAAGTTAAGATCAGTTTTAGAATGTAATGTATAAATCAATCTCATTAAAATAAGTTCTTTGATCTGCTCCCTATTCTTTTTAGCTCACCTGAGCCGAAACTGCTGCATAGCTTTTCTGATCACATTTTGTCAGATATTTAGGACACAATGTGTAGATGTGCATATTACCAGGAAATTCTGTAAACTTTTCACATTTTCGACTTTTCTCAAGAACAATTTCAGAAACTTGCCACAAAGTATCCTTGGGTGAAGGGGATTAAAGTTTGTTCACTGAAGGGCCACGCCCTTTCTTCAAGGGGAGATCTTGGGAATTAATGAAAATTTATATATTTTAAAAATCTTCTTCTTAAGAACCACTGTGCCAGGAAAGATGAAACATATGGATAAACATCCTCAGGTAACGTGTAGATTCAAATTTGTGTAAACTTATACACTCTAAAGTAGATTTAAATCATTCTGTAAAGTTTTACATAGATATATATAGGATTAAATTTTTAAAAATCTTTAAAACAAAAGTTGACAAAGCCATAATTCATATATTCTGTTATATGGAAGCATGCTCAAGAAAATTCAAGTTTGGTCAAATACACAGAGAGGATGAAAATGGCCGAAATGTTTTACATGGAAATATTTAGGAAAATTCTTTAAAAATCTTCTTCTCAAGAATGACAAATTTCATAATTCATCATATTTATATGGAAAATGTTTGGTAGTTTTGAATCATTTGGTTAATTTGCCATCAGGGGTATTAACAAAATGGCCGACCAATGTTTTACAAAATAATTTAGGAAAATTCTTTAAAAATCTTCTTCTCAAGAATGACAAAGCCATAATTCATCATATTTATATGGAAGCATGCTCAGGTAGTGTAGATTCAAGTTTGAAATCATGACCCCCAGGGGTAACCACCAGGCCAAAATGGCCGACCAAGGTTTTACATAGAGATATATAGGAAAGTTCTTTAAAAATCTTCTTCTCAAGAATGACAAAGCCATTATTCATCATACAGTTAATTCTCGATAAACCGCCACCTTTTGTAATTTAGAAATCATGGCGGTATAACGAATTTGGCGATGAATTGAATTTCCCATCTTCTGGAAAACAAGAAGTAGAGTTACCGTTCTTAGAAATACCTCTTAGCGTTTCTATTCTTATTATTACATGTACATGTATATAATTAAAACATATTTCTGGTTGAAAATACTTTAAGTCATTTTTTAATGTACAAATTCGCTAAAACAAAATATGCAGTTATGAAATAAAGAAAAGTACATGGGTGTGCATTTAAATCTGGAGTTCTGCTATTGAAAAAAAAATGCTTGGTCGATCGTCGTGATATATTGCCGATAGTAAGTAAAATGAATTCATGAATAAATTTATTGTTTATGGCAACACTGTTAATTAAACATTCACAATTTTTACCGTATTATTATTTTTTCAGCAAACTTTGCAATGTTTAAAGCAGAGATCATCTAAATTATATAGTTATCGGCGTACTTTAACAACGACCGCTTTCCTGGCGAAGCCGTGATAGATTATTAAATAGAAAACAAAATTATTATAACAGTCCATGTTAAAATCTCTGTTTATTTAGGTCTTGATTAATTACTTAATTGCATGTACCTTGTCTGCCTTTGCATGCTTTACAACAGGGATGGTAACCAATTAGCCGCGCTTCATGACCACACGCACCTGTGGCGGTATATCGAAATACACTTAAAAATTTTGTTTGAAAAGGGTGGCGGAACAACTTGGCGTTATAACAGAGAATTTTATATAGCAGGAAAAACGTTCTTAAATCATGGCGGTTTGCGAAAATGGCGATGAATCGATATATATAAAAATCCTATTATTAATATGGAAGCATGTTCAGGTAGTGTAGATTCAATTTGTTCAAATCATGACCCCCGGTCTTTAGCTACATTTATCCGAACAAAGTTTTACATAGAAATATATAGAAAATTCTTTAAAAATCTTTAATTCCTTTTCTAAAAAATAGCAAATCCATGATTGGTCATCCCACTACTTTTCAGATTTAAAGCCGCTAGGCCAGGTGATATGGCACTCTACAGCTCTCACTCATAATTTTAATAGATTTCGTTTTTTTTCGTAGAGAAATAATTGTCCATAAATTATTTAACTTTTGTCAAATTATATCCCCAAAGTTTTTTCTTTTAAAGATATCAAAATTCAAAAGTTAAATAATTTTTGTTATGTCACACAAAAAATAATCCTATGTTGATATCGCGTGAAATCACCTTCGAAAAATTAAATTTATCGCTTACATGTATTACTCATGAAGAACAAACCTGAGCATTTTCTCCACAACAAAGTGTACAATTCTAGCACCCGTCACTAAACTCCCTTTTTAAAAAATCTTTAAAAATATCTGATTTTCCTTTATTCTGTAAATGTGCATAATAATATAAAAATCACTATGGATTATATTCAGTTAATTTCTTAATTTTTAAAAGATATATGTGTTAGGATTCATGGAAAAAAAAATCTGAATGTAATCATTAGATATATATAAAAGTATTTTTTTCAAATTTTGCATATACAAGTGTGCATTGTATTCCAAGTTCAAAGGGTTTTTGTCAACAAGGTTTTTGGTTGATGTTTTTCAAGGATTTCTAATAAACTATTGCAAATCAATCTTACAATTAATTTTTATATATTATCTACATGTACATGCATACTTTTATTGTTCTAACACAATATGTGCCTGTTTAACATTAAGCACTTTTGACTTTACAATAAAAAGCATTGTTTAATTAGCTGCTCTTTGCTCAGGTGAATTTGCTGCCCATGGGCCTCTTGTTTATTTCATAATATAACAAAATGGTAAGCAGAATAAAGATCTAATTATACTCCCGCTCTGAAGGAGAGGGGGTATACTGTTTTACCCTTGTGTGTCTGTGTGTCCATGTGTCAATTTTTTTTGTAAAACTTTTATTTAAAACGTATTATTTCTGGCTTAGTTTGTATTTCATGTGTTGGAAGTGTAATTTCTTTGTAATTTGAGCTCTTGGAAGGATTAGTTTGTGTGAAAAATACTTTACAAATATCATCTTTTTCTCGTTTTTTGAGGTAGTAAGCTTTTCGAGTCTTGGTACATGCTACAAAATCTTTATTTTTCTCCTATCTAACATCAGTGACTAAATTTGTGAAGCATTTTGTACTTATCTTTAAATTTGAATTTAAACCATTAAATTAAGATTTTAATGTTTTGCAGTGTGCCAATGAATACTGATGTAGCACCGTCTCCACCCATCAACCAAGATCATTATAAACACAGGTAAGCTTTGTTGTAACATGATGAGGTTAAGATTTGAAGTAGAATGTACTGTATAAGTCAATCTCATTAAAATTAGTTCTTTGATATGCTCCCTATGTTTATTATATCATGACATAACAAACTGGGAAACAGTAAAGATCTAAATTTCATTTAGTTTGGGTGTAGTTGAAAGCACTTGTCTAGCCAACTTTATTCAAATTTTTGCAGCTCAGCAAATATGGAAACAGACGTAACAAGCAGAATAAAGCAGCAAAGCAAGAAACTACATGGTATGTTTAAGATAAAATATTGAATTTATTGCTAAAACAAATAGCATATACATGTATTTAAAGAATATATAATTTATCACAGATGGAAAAATTTAAATGTAATTTTCAATTGACTCTAGAAAAAATTATTGAAAGTGATTTAGAATCATTGTTTTCTACAATAGCTTTGAAGAAAAAACTGAAGCATTTTGAGGACAACTTTGAAAAGGAAAATGGATACAAGGTAAACAAATAGAAATCACATGTCAACGAAGTCTTGACAATCTTTTCAAAATCAAAATATTTATTCTGAAATTTTACAAACTTAATTTGTATTATTTTTAAGCCCTCACTAGCAGACAAAGCTAGCAAGCCCACTATCAAGAAGTGGATGAATGACATCTCAAAAGCAAAGAGAGAGATAAAGAGTAAGTCTTACTATATGTTTTTAGATTATTTAACAAAATATAGCAATGTTGGCAATACTTTGTACCATATTTAATCATTTTGCTTAGGATTAAAGGAGGAAGCTGAGATAGGAAACCGCAGTCGCCATGGGAGTGGGGCATCCTCCAGCGGAGAGCGACTAGAGCCACCAGAACTGCCGCCTACAATGGAACAAACACTGAACGTCATCCTGCTGAAACTGGGCGATAAACGACGCGACGCCAGACGCCCGGAGGATGTCGATGTAATGAACAGGAAATTTATAATTCATGTTGTTTCTTACAAGTAAAGGGTGATGGATAAGAATAAAACAGGATGAAGGCCTAAAAATTTGTACTTGACTTGTTAAAATAATTCAATTACAAGTTTGATGGTTTGATTAAAATTTTGTAACTACTTTTTCTTTAGAATAACAAAAGACAACAAATTATACAACTGTCACATCTACTGCAATTCTCAATTTGATTAATGATAACTTCTCAAAGCATCACGTTCTTAGATGATACCTTTGCTTTTCTGTTTTAAATCATGGCTTAGTGGATTTATGTCTGTGTAAACATTTAGGTATCACAGGCTTGTGCATCTCAACGTATTCTATTAAAAACTGTTAAAACAAATCATTGAATAGGACTTGGTTTTCTTTGCCAGATGATGACCACAGATCAGGTTTTAGATGAAAAGTTGGCAGTTCAGAAATCCCTGCTTCATTTTGAAAATCTTCATGGAAGACCAGTAAGTTGTAGGAATCTTAAAATTCATATCAAGTTAAAAACAAAGAAATTGTCAACAAGTCAAATATGGAGTATTTACTGTGTCTAGTCAGATGGTTCAAATTGTTTCATTTTTAGGTACAATATTTTTATGCTCAAATATTATTTCTATGCAACATTATTAATTTTTTGCTTCGATATTTTCCTTCTGCATAATTGATTTTATGCTACAATATTTTTATTTTTTGTGAATATTTAATCATAGAAAACAAGGGAGGAGAAGGATTTGATGAGACCTTTGTATGACCGATACAGGAAAATTAAGAGACTCCTGTCAAAGCCTAATTCTGTAAGTGTATCAATAAAAGTATACAGAACAGTTTCCTGATTGATGTGATGAAATAAAAATTTCTACATTATATGTGTCTTTTATTTAGCCACGAGAGAAGAATGAGCTACAAACAGTGCCAGAGGATAGACCAATAGAATTTGAGGGAGACTTCCAAAACCCATATGTAAGTTGTATAATCAATATGCTCAAATGATTGACAATAACAAGATAATTTTCCTATTTGATTTTACAACTGATTGGTGAACAATAAAAAGAATGTGCTATAAGTTTAGAATTTCAATGGGAATCATTACAGCGCCCCTCGGTGCGGATCCCCACAGCCCATTATGACGACCTTGAGGATGGCCTTGGGTCTGGTATGGGGACAATGGACGATGGACTTTGCTGTCACTAGAGACTTTTCTGTCCTCCCTGATTCCATGCGACCAGTGTCTAAGGAAGTGACAAGGAAGGAACATTCTCCTAAAGTGAAGAGGAAACTGAGTCTGCCAGAGGAAGAGGAGGAGGAGGGCAACCAGAACCAGGAGCCAAATCTCCACGAAATGTCAATGTAAGTATGACATTATCGGTCTGGCTGTTCTTGTTTGGCCTTCAGTTCTGAGAAAGTATCAGGAAATTATCCATTTGGAATTAATTGCATCTATATTTGTAATGTAGAGTAAAAGTGGTCATGCCAAGCTCTCATGGATATCAAAAGGATTGTAGATATTATTTTTGAAAAAGGTATTTACTCCAGGTGTTAAGTATGCTTACATTTTGTTTACAGACCAGAGCTTCAGGATGAGTTGATGAGGTCTAAGGGAGAGAAGAAAAGAATACGCAGGACTTTAAGAAACTTTGAAGAAGATTTCTTTCAAAAAAATGGAAGGTATGCATTTGTGTGATTTTTTAACTGAAACTGCTTTACTGTATGTATGTTTTGTTTGTGCCCTTTCACTTTCAGTTTACATATATATATTCTCAATATTCTGACCTTCAACCTTTACAGGAAGGTACAGCGAGATGATAGAGAACCATTGCAGACAGAGTACACAAGTTACAAGGTACCAATTATCATCTTATAAACAAAACAGATTCATTTAACTTCCCTCTTGTTCATGTTATCAAGTTCTGTTATAACAAATATACATATATTTCATCTTTTTGTTTAGGATTTTAATCCTACCAGGAATTTAATCTTTTTTTCCAGCAAGTAAAAGCCAAATTAAAACTGCTGGAGGCATTGTTATCAAAGCTACAGAACACAGATGAAGTCTGACTGCTCTGTCAATGAGTGGCTCATGTATGATGAGTCGATGGATGATCCCAGTGTTCATAGAAACCTTGTCAGGGAAAGAAATCGAGTTTCATCTCAGAAAACTGTATCTAGTCAAACACTGCAATGACCAAGAGTGAGTCCATGGAGAGGACGATTTGACAGAAATAGTGCTGTAACTTTGAATACAGAGGTTGCTGTATTGTTGCTTTGGTTATATTATCTTGTATGCTCAGTTTTTAATGTTCAGTCTTTTCTTAAACTGTGTATACAAATGGGTATATTGGTAATTAGATTATGTTGTTTATTATTGCTACAAGCTTTATATGCAGTACCGTCCAAAGTAATATTCACAATTTTAATAACTTTTTTTAAAAACTTGATAATGTCTTCATAAACCTAGAATCATCCAGTAACAAATCTTTAATTTATTTTCATGTATATAATCTTCTAGTCTCTGTATTTTTCTATAATCTTGTCATATTAATATAAGAATAGTACATGTAACATGAATGCTAGGCTTCAGGTCAAATGAGAAAAACAGAAAAAAATGCATTGAAACATTGAGAATGTACATGTACTCTTTATTTCTATTTTATCTTTATAGTCATTCATGGTGATGTCACTGGTGTTGAGTTATTAGATCTGGCTTTGCAGAATATTTTAAATATATACAAGCATAGTTGAATATTTTCTGCCACTTTTACCCATCATTTCAAGAAAATTTAATACTTCAAGAAAATGACCTATAATAATATATGTACATACTACCTACAAGAATATTATCTAATGCATAAACACTCACGAAAATTATCCTATACTCCAAGAATCTTGTTAAGTCAGATTTTGCTCACCTGACATTCCACCAAACGTCTCCATTTTATACAGTGTGGATGTCCTCTATGTTTTGTAAAATGTTGAGTGACCCCTCAAGGTCACTTCTGAAGTGATAATACAAATGGCATTGTGAATATGTATGATAATTATGTACGTGATGCTGTAGTACGATTTAAAGGTAGGACCAGAATGAGAGACGTTACTAAACTTACCTGTATAAATGACACAGAATGGTTTCCCGTGATAGATGTTGCCAAACCACTTCAGTTGTTAGATTGAATGTTTCTACACCATAAAGATGGCAGTGGTTTTATTATTATTTTATTTTTTTAAGATGGGGAGCATTTGAGGTTAGTTTTGTAATTTGAAGTTAGTTTTACAAGTTTACAGTGCTAAGAAAGTGCTATGTATACTATGTGATTTTCAGAAGTTGCAACATTGTTTATGAAAGAAAAAGTAAATGAGGGATATACAGTGTAGTAGTGTTTGGTTTTGTGGGGGTGGGGATTTAGTCATAAGTTTAATTCTCAATTTAGAATGCTTGTTAGAGTAAGTGTCAAAAGTATCTTAGCAAGATTCTATAAATCACATATATTTTGTTAGACTGATTTTGTGATACAATTGTAATGCCCTTGAACAAAAATTACTTGAAGTTAGAACTATTTCCCTGTCTGATTATGACTAATAATGAGGGACAGTTGTACTTAGCTATCTCAAACTCGGATGTCTCAAATACCATGGATTTGTCAAAAGTAACCAATAAGTCCCAATAACTTTTTCTTTATTTTTTTTATGCTCAATATGTTGAATACACATGTATTTCTAGTTTTCCTTGGTCCCATCAAGATATTACATGGTTTGACTCTAATGTTTTTATTTTTTTGCTAAACCTTTACAAAATTTACTGAGGATTAGAATTTGGTCTCTTTTCCATTGATATGACAGCAAAGCTATATAATGTAAATAATTTACAATTGAAATAAGAGAAATTGTGTGAATTTATTGAGAGGGAACAAAACTCTGTGTGTCTGTCAAACATCTTGACCAGGATTTTCTCTGTGAGGTATAACACACTGTTCACATTCCATTTTTGTATGGCATTGCGAGGTATTTGTATGGTAGATACTTTTGATAGACATTTACCAAGGTTTGATGACAATGTTACAACTCGGAGTTGGTTGTTGTGAATATTGTACAGATTAACATGTTCTTTTGTTAAAGTTGTTACATATATATTATGACAAAATTAAACTGTTTTAAAGTCTCCAAGTTTGATTGTCATTTATTTGAACATATCTCTACCACCACCGTACAAGCAAAACACAGTTATATTACTTGATACCTGTAAAAAAAAATCATCCTAGAATGCTAAAGAAATAGTTTTCACAATTGTAACAATCGCATATTGTTTCAAAATGGCATGTGCGCTTTCTGTGTGGACTTGAACGTCGCATTCCTTTGCGCCTGAACTCTAGATTCTTCAGATGAACGTGGGAATGGTCGACCCAATGTGTCTTTACACAGAGTCACGCCAAACCCAGGCCGATCCGGCAAGTCGATAAAACCGTCCTTGGGTAAGGGTTCGTCTGGAAATAACCCGCCAAAATATGGGACTATTTTATCAGCTTTCGGACTAAGGTTGATGAATTCTGCTAGAGGACAGTTACGAAAGGCGTACTGTAGATGGTACGAATAGATACTGGATCCATGGGGAATGACTAACACGTCATGTGCCGACGCCATGGCGACGATTCGGCGCGCTTCCGTGATTCCGCCGAGCCACGATATATCTGGTTGGAGAATGTCCACACATTTAGAATTAAGTAGTTGTTGATATCCATAGCGACTGTACTCATGTTCCGCTGTAGTCAGTAAAACTGTGGAACCACGCAAGGCTTCTCGTACTTCTTTGTAACCTTCATAGCTGTCAGGCGGCAAGAACTCTTCGATCCACTTCAATCCCAAGGGTTCAAGTTCTTTCGCTAGTTTCACAGTGTAAGGCACACTCAGTGCCATGTAACAATCCAACATGAGCGGGAAATCTGGACCTACAGTTTCACGCCATTTCTTAAATATTTCTACGTTTTTCTTTAACCCCTGGTCACCATCGGCTGGTCCATAGGCACATGGAATTTTTGCGCCAACAAATCCCAGTTGTTTTGCAATATCTGGACGAGCAGTTGTAGAATACACTGGCAGACGTTGCTTCGTTTTCCCGCCCAGTAATGCATAGACCGGTTCATTTCTTAGCTTTCCCAGCAGATCCCATAGTGCAAGGTCGACAGCACTAATGCACTGAATAGGCAAACCCTTACGTCCGTAATTGAGGGTGGCCCGGAACATTTGGTCCCACATGAGCTCCACATCTCGAGGATCCTGTCCCTCCACGAACCTGCTGAGGTGTTTCTCCACGATATAACAGCCAGGGACACCACCAATGGTCACGCCGACTCCACATGTTCCATCGTCTGCTTCCACCTCCACAACCAGAGTGCCGAGAGCGTTGATCCCCCAGGATTTCCGAGTGGAGGCATATTGCTCGTATCCAGACATGGGGTTTGCTATAGGGGTGGGGTAGCCATTAATCCAGTGAGTATCCTCCACATCATGACAGTCGGCGCCCTGGTCCTCGGGCTTTGACTCCGAGACGTAAGCTCTCACACACTTTATCCTCGGGATTTTTTTGGTTTTTCCTTCCATCGTGGCCATTTCAATGATCTCGCTTAATGTACTTTTATGCCAGTTCGGAATGAGAATCCTTTATCTTTCTGACCGTGACAGTACATATTACGGCAAAGATTTCTATGAGGTCTTTATATACAGACGCACGGGAGACCAATACATGGGTTATACAGATAAGCAGTATTCATGTCAACGTTTGTATTTATTGTTCTATCTTGTCTCTAAATGTTTAGCAAATGTTAAAGAAGTCTCATACTTGAATAGATCAAATTCATCTCATTGCATCTTGCAAACAAGAATTTCTAGCTTTAGTGGTCAGCGACGACCTCACCCCCTTGTATTGAGATGAGGATATAAAATACTAGTAGATTATTCACCCACAAACTGAAGTGCGGTGATTATCACCGGTAGATGAACAAGACATGTTTGTGAAACATTGATGCTCCGGTATGGCACCTTTTGGTGGTGATTAAAATTTCTCAAATGCAAATCAAACATCCAAGATCAAGAAATGAAACCTGTTGTTACCCAAGGAAAGGACCTTTCTCAATAAAATACCTGTGAAATATGAAAGCCCAAGCTCTACAAGTTATAGCCAAGGTTAAAGTTTTTCTTCAAGCGTGGGTCAATCTCCAAGGTCAAAGGTGTTACATTTAAGATACCCAAGTGAAAGCATTTTATTAGAAATACATTTGAAATATTAAAGCTCTATAGCACCAACTGCTCAAAATCTACGACCAAGGTTCAAGTTTTCAAAAAAGCTCAAACTTCAAAGTCAAGATCAAAATTGTTGATATCCGAAGGAAGGTCCTGCCACGAGGAATACATCTGTGAAACAAGAAAGCTTTAGTACCAACGGTTCAAATGTTATTTCCAAGATTTAATTTTCTTAAAGGTGGGTCAAACTCAAGGGTCAAGATTAAAAAAAAAATAATATACATGGAAAGGTCTTGTTTCAATAAATACAGATGTGACGTATAAAAGCACCAGCTCCAACTGTTCAAAAGTTGTGATCTTGGTTAAAGTTTGGTAAATTCTTGCAAAAGTTCGTCAAATTCCAAGGTCATCATGTCAAATATTTTGATACCCAAAGAAAAGCATTTTCACAAGAAACAACACCTGTGAAATATAAAAGCCGTTGCTCCAGCAAAAGTTTTGCTTTTGCGGACAAAGAGGCAGACGGACAGAACAAAAGTAACTTCGATTACTGAGGCATAACAAGCAAATTCAAAGAATTATGGTCCCCCGCTTTCGGTGTCTTTGCGGGTGAGATGTTTTTTTTTATGACATATTGTGTCTAATATGAACATCCTATCATATGTCATTTATTTAGGAATTATCTTTGAAGTTGATTTTTTTTGAAGGATGAAAACCCTAATCCTGACCGTTTAAAAGTTATGGCCAAAGTTAAAGTTTTTTAAACGTAGGTCAACTCCAAGGTCAAGATCAAAGGGGCAAAGTTGTTGATATCCAATGAAAGGTCTTCTCACAAGGATTACATATGTGAAGTATGAAATCCCTAACCCTTACCATTCAAAAGTTATGGTCAAGGTTAAAGTATTTTCATAAGTACGTAAATCTTTAAGGTCAAGGTCAAAAGGTCAAAGTTGTTGATATCCAATTAAAGGCATTTTCACAAAGAATATATATGTGAAATATGAAAGTCCTAGTATCTACCGTTCAAAAGTTGTGACCAAAGTAAAAGTTTTTTAAAAGTAGTTAAAACTCCAAGGTCAAGGTCAAAGGGTAAATCTTCTAAGTATCCAATGAAATGTCTTCTCATAAGAATTACATATGTGAAGTACGAAAGCCCTAGCCCTCACTGCTCAAAAGTTATGGTCAAGGTTAAAATTTTTTCATAAGTATGTAAATCTTCATGGTCAAGGTCAAAAGGTCAAGGTTGTTGATATCCAATGAAACGTCTTGCCACAAAGAATACATATGTGAAATATGAAAGTCCTAGTACCTACCATTCAAAAGTTATGGCCAAAGTAAAAGTTTGGAATTTTTGTGTAAAAGTGGATCAAACTCCAAGGTCAAGGTCAAAAGGTCAAATTTGGTGGTACCCAAAGAAAGGTCTTGTCACAAGGAATACACATGTGAAATATGAAAGTCATAGCTCCACTAAATCAAAAGTTATGGGCAAGGTTAAAGTTTTTGTGACGGACAGACGGACACGAATGAGATTTAATGTCCCCTCGCTTTCGCGAAAGCGGGGGACAAAAAGGCGGAAAACTAATTAAACCTTGAATCAAGTTTCACATGGAGACATTGTTCACAGTAATATGTTTGGTCTGGTCGATCAAGTGCATATACTAGTATAACCTTGAGGATTAACTTTCATGGATACAAAACAAATGATTGGTATAAACAGCAACGTAGTATCGTTTTTGAGAGTGGAGAGCCAGCCAGAGAAAAAAAAATGTCTTACCTGAAAAAGTTGACAAGCAAAGAAAAAAAAGGGGGGGATTACCCAAACTTGAAAATCCTATTTTGTGTGTGTGTGTGTGTGTTGGGGGGGGAGGGGGGGTAGAGGCCAACTTTTTTCAATACCAAATTCTTTCAGTAGCATTTTCTTCTTCACTCAATACTACATTTTCGTTATATCAATTTACAGTGGTATAAAGTGGTGGGACCAACCAGCTTTTCAATGAATATTTCCAATAGTAAAGGTTATATTGCCAGGCCCCCCTGCCCTCCTGTTGCTACGTGTCTGATAATTATTTGATTCATTTGGTTATGATTCATGCATATATCAATTTCCTATAATATTAAAAACTAAAACATTTTATTCATCAAGTTCCTCTTTTTGGTCGCCATAGTCACTCAAGAGTCCAATTCTATTTGCTTTCGTTCGTGTTTCTTCAGCTGTCGTGCGTTAACATTTGATCTTTTTCACATTTACAGGTTCTAACTCACTTACTGGCAAGAATTCAATTTGGCATTGGGTCCTTTACCAAAATAGAAAACTTCAAGAACCCAGGGATATTAATTCTAGATTTGTGGCGAGGCTCTAATGATGATATAGTCCATACACTCTTCCCTTTTCTTGGGAATAAGCAAACAAAATAAGATCGTGAATGGTTATGATGAACAAAGGTACTTTTTGAACAGATTCTATATAAAATCAGGGACCTATATACTAGTATATGAATCCTTTACATGGTTGTGAAATAAACTTTACATAGATATATCATGATTAAGTTTAAATTTTCGTAATTTTTTTTAACGAAAAAGTTTGTAATATCCCCAGTTTCTGTTACGCCATTGTAGTACTTATTAAGATTCTTTAAAATACATACAAGTACCTTATTGTTTCTTTTGGGACATTATCTATGTAAAATATATAACAACTATAATCTTTTGAAGTTTACAGGTTTTAATTAAATAGCAATATTTTCCTCTTAACGAAGTGTCGAGTTCAAAAACAACATTAATGATATCATTTATTTTTTTTTACTATCAACAATATAGGATGGACATTTGATAAGGATTGATTGGCCACTTCAAATTCATTAACCCATTAAATGAGTCAAACTAAACAAAGTATTTTAAAGAGAATGTTTCTAGAGGGTTATTTAAATATTAAAGAAATAAAGATCGAACTTAATTGTTCGGAAAAAGGATTTATATACCACTAAATAATGGTGAGAATATGATGGATGGATATTCTCGTCAGTACATCTCCACATTCCCTGTTAATGACGCATTATAATTATTTGACTTAATTTTCATTTAACATCTTTAAGATTTGGAACTTAAAAGCTCGCATATTTGGTATACTGTATTAAAAACCTGTCATCCACCTAATATGAACTCGTTGTGTAAGAAAATATATACTCGTACATGTGTGAACCGAACCACTGAAAAACCTGTTTGTATTACATCAGTATCATAAAAAGAAAGTTTTCAGCTCTCATAAAATAATCTCCCACGACTTCATTTCCAAATTCAAGATATTCCAGTAACTAGTAGTAGTTTTTAAAAGAAGATCACAGAATAGGAAGTCAAAATTAAAATGCAATCATCTGTACGTGATGTTAGTTCAGGATGCAATCATAATAAACTTAACTTCCATTTTCAAAAAGTATGAAATAAAAGTTTTAAAGCTATTCAGACCAAAAGGGCCAAGCATTGCCAAGTACGGATTTGTATATACATGTATACATAGGATTTTAAACAAGAGGCCCATGAGCCACATCGCTCACCTGAGTAACTTGGGTGATGCAGTTCTTTACCAGATTCCCCCTCTTGCTATACCTATCATGCCCCACTAACCCCTTCCCTTTTATGATTTTAAAACTTTAGAATCTACACTACCCCAGGATGCTTCCATACAAGTTTCAGCTTTCCTGACCCAGTGGTTCTTGAGAAGAAGATTTTTAAAGATTTGTTCTATATATCTCTATGTAAAATTTGAATTCCCTATTATGGCCCCGCCCTACCCCTGGGGGTCATGATTTTAACAATTTAATATCTACACTACCCAAGGATGCTTCCACATAAGTTTCAGTTTTCCTGGCCCAGTGGTTCTTCATCGTCGCAAACCACGGCCAAAATGTAAGATCCTCTCCCATTCTGGCCGTGGTTGAACTAGGAGAGATCGAATTCTTCGTAGCTCATTAAAATATTGACCAATGCGAGTAAAGCATAGTCGGAAGATGAACTTTATCGCGACCTTTCAATATCCAATCGCAGTAAAGGAAATATTTCTTGTATACTGTTGACGTCAGTTGTGATTTCGATGGAAACAAAACTTGCCACTGACTGAATATGACGTCATAATAGAGAGGCGTAAATATTCAAGATTACGACACTTTTTGTGATCAAGCAGCCATGGGTAGGAGAGAGCTATATGCGGACTCCGGACCATGGCTTGAGACGATGGTGGTTCTTGAGAAGAAGATTTTTAAAGATTTGTTCTCTATATTTTTATATAAAACTTGGATTCCCTATTGTGGCCCCGCCCTACCCCCGGGGTCATGATTTTAACAATTTAATATCTACACTACCCAAGGATGCTTCCACATAAGTTTCAGCTTTCCTGACCCAGTGGTTCTTGAGAAGAAGATTTTTAAAGATTTGTTCTATATATTTCTATGTAAAACTTGGATTCCCTATTGTGGCC